ACATGTTACTTTTGTAAATATAAGAAGTTTAAACACTTTAAAAGTTCTTAGATTTGGTTACTTTAAGGTTACTATTGTACATAATTAGTAGGTTAAAAACCTCTTCATATTGTAGAAAAACCTGTCCTACACGAATAAATTGAAGTATCAATGCAATCATTATTCCTTTAAAATGTCACACCGTTAAATATCATGCAATTTACGTTTCAACCACATGTTGATGAAATGAAATATGACTGACAATGCACTAACGTTTTTAATTGCCTTAATGTAGACTCATTATGTAACACAAATGAAAAAAGAAAACAGAAACAATTGCCCGGTTCTTACAATTCTGGACATTTACGTTCAAGTTTTGAAGTTTTTATGTTTCCATAAAAATAAAGAAGCATTATCAAATATAATATGAATATCTATGAGCTAATACATGTCTGATCATATATGATTTTTTAATTCTTTCAAAACGTAGGTACCAAAAGTTATATAAATGTCAACTCTTTCGTTCTCTGTATTTCTGATAATGTATCAAATAAATTAAATACGACATTGCGTTAAATTTATTTCACCTTTAAGATATTTCCTTTCAAAAATCTAAAGGGTGATTTTAAACGTGTACAATAAAAATGTACTGTTTATACGGAATCAGATATTCAAAGCCCTCCAGTCATTGCCTAAAGGAATTTTCCATGAAACATTATGGCCTGGCCTACCATTACACATATTCCTTAAATTGTTTTGTTGATAAACGAAACGATAATTTTAACGCAAGGTATAAGAGGAGCGTGTTAAAGAAAATTATGTATAAAATAAATGTAAAACTCGGGAAAAAATAAGCGGTTTCACTCATGGGAAATTAATTTGCATAGCATTGTGACATCTGCTGACATAAATTACAATAAAAAATGTAATTGAATGTCTGTACCTGACTATCATAGACAGCCAGACAATATTTGGTTATTTATAAGTCCTTTGACTTATACATATATAACAGATTATAACATATTTTACTTTAGATAAGATGTTTCGAAACATGAAATATACTGTTTTTTACAAGACTTAGTAAAGTATACTTTATGTTCTCTTCTGGATATTGTGCCATAATAAATAAAATATTTTTGAAAGTGTAATTCCAAAATGCCTGTATAAAAGATATTTGTTGGTATATAATTCGTCAGCGCCTTCCAAATAAAATCTAATTTTAATTAAAGACCTGAATTCTGTAAACAATTATTTATTTATTCGTCATTTATTGATAAACCTTACATATTCGTTCTTAATAATGTGAAACAAAAAAAAACACTATCAAATTATATAATTAAAGCCAGCAAATGGAAAACGAAATGTTTTGCTTTAAACGTTGAAAAGATATTGCGTTTATATCGAACTTTCAAATAGGTCATAATTTACCATAGTAGATATAATATGGTTCTGACAAATAATATATCTTTCCAGAAATACTGTATGATTTTCACCGTAAGCAATAATGTTAATGACAGGTACTATTATATATATATATATATATATATATATATATATATATATATATATATATATATATATATATATATATATATATATATATATATATATATATATATATATATATATATACAGTAAAATGCCACCTAACGACCACGCCACAAATAGGACCACGCCGCTATTACGGGCACTTTTTAAAAGTACAAAATATTTGCCTTCTTTATTTAATGAGAAAAATGACCAGAATACCGACCACGTCTCTAATCCGGCATAACGACCACTTCTGTCAGACATTTGTGTGTATTTCTTATCAAAACATTAACCTGTATTACGACCATGCAACATAATGGCCAGACATCACTTGGTGTTTATTGCCCCCAAATTAATTGTCGTAATCTTCCCTCTGGCGTAAACAAATACACCGGGTCAAATGAGGTCATTAATATACATCAATTGATTAGACGCTTGCTTTACGATGTATCTGTAGCATTCAAGCGTCAACATGATCAGTTTAAACCACTTCTGGCTAATTAATCTCAGCAGCTATGGTGCGAGAAACGATTAATTTGTAAGCGTAATTAGGATGTGATAAACAAGTAAATAGCACGTAAAATTGTTTGTTGTGCATCACAATTTATAGCAAGTATGGTAAAAATTGCTAATTACACCAAATTATCAGTTCATGTGTGCTTTATTTCGATATGTAATTAATGTATAAATCATAATGAGAGTCATACATATTAATACCTCATATTTTTCTTCTAAAGTGGAAGTCGTAAATTAATGTTTTCATCATATTAATGATGTACAGTATAATAATTATTATCATGCATTAAAATTTTTTTTATTTAAAAAAAAATGTGTTTCTTTTTACTCATTTAATTAAGTACATTTACCATGTGCATAAAACTATACAAGATATACATTAAGTTTAGTTGGACTTCGTCGGCTGTTAAAGTGACTTATTCACTATTAAGACCAGTTCACTATTAAGACCACTTTGAGTCAGACCCGTTAGTGGTCTTAATAGAGAGAATTTACTGTATATATATATATATATATATATATATAGTAAGTACAACACGTAGTTATCAATAAAATATGAGTGAATCAAGGTCTGTAATTGACCGACTTAAGCAGAAAAATTGAACTCATATATTTTCAAGACGTTTTTATACTTAAATTCTATTTTATATAGTCTATTCTTATTTAATTTATTTCAAATTAGAATAGCAAAAGTTTTGCAAAACATAAAAACAAAATTGTATGAATCTTTGTTAAAGACAATATCATTAAACTAAAACTTAGTCGAAGAATGTTTCAATTTAAGAGATATTATGCCTATCTTAGTTCAAATGAACAATGTACGGGCGAAAATTAAAATAACATTTTCCATAATTGTGTTCAGTATTATACCGAAATTTTACAATGAAAAATGAATCAATAATCCACGTGACCAAAGGAAAAGTCTATAAATAATTCAGAATGTTTCGTTTAGATGAATAGGGTAGTTTTTGTTATTATAATTTAGGTCCTTTTTCGTATTGTAAACATTTTTCATTATAAATTATCGGTCTATCGCCATTATAAAAGTCAATCTTTTGAAATATTTTACCAATTCAACTCAGACTTGACAGCAAAAAAGAACTGAGCCACATGGCCCTTTTAAGAAGATATTTATTGAGAATAGTGTTTATTTTGTTTGTTTCTGTTTTTTTATTCAGTTGCTTAAATCGTGTGAACGGGTTTAGGAGCTTATTCTTGTCATTATATAGAAGTTAAAAATCTTACAATACTCTGTATAGGCCTCAACAGACGGTAGGATTTTGAAGAACAACATCAATTAAAACTAAGATGTACAAGCAAATCTTAATGTGACAAGGCTACTATTTCTTGAATTCGTAAACCTTAATACTAGATGTAAGGGATAGGACATGTTCTATTTTGAAAATCTTGTCGTACAGACTTCCCGCAATGACAAGTAACAGATTGCCCAATTATCTCCTGATAATGGGTGTAATGAATAAAATTCCAGAATAATTAGGGCTAAAAATGTAAACAAAGTAGTAAGATGGGGTAAAAATGATGTTGAAAAACTCTTCAGGAGACCCAACGTGATGGTATGTTCGAATCCAAATTAATCCGAAAATGATTATGTCACGGTATTGAACTGTTCTCTTATCAGGGCAGATAGTTTGTAGGCGGCCGGATAGCTCAGTCAGTAGAGCAGCAGTAAGTATTCCTAGGAAGAAAAATAGAGGTGCTTCAATCATTACTCGTGGGGAAAAGAAAATAATTCAGTGAGTAAAGTATGGAAGGGATCAATTAGGTGGGAACTTTTTTAGAGAACCTCAGATGCTTTTTACAATGCAGAATTACCGTCTGAATGCAAGTGTTGTACTGCTTTGAAAATTGTACATCGTATCTCTAATTAGTGTTGTACAACTTAATCCTACCGTCTGTTGAGCCTTAAGCGATACACTTTATTTGATCTGGTACAGATAATACCATCTAGCTCTAAAATTGAAGATTATTTAATATTAAATAAACTTAAACAATACCGAACTCTTTGACATGTTACTGATGGAAAGTTTAAGTCCTTCATTTTGTACAAGAAAAATAAACAGTTTTTTACTTTTGTTGTTAACTACATGTAATTCAATACACTTGCAGATAATAATAGTTAAAGAACAAGAGCATTCTATCGCAGACAAAGTAAAATGTAAGTTTAAAAATAAGCTAGCAAGTTAAGCTTAATTCGTTCACACCACAAACATTAAATTATGGTTTAATGTGCATTACCCATACCATTTAACAATACTGTTACCTTTATATCTTATTGAAATTTGATTTATCACGGTATCAAAATGCGTATGTTTTACTTTCAAGGTCTAGTTATCTTATCTTCTCGAGATCTAATTTCAGTATATGCGCAGCTGTGTGTTATCAGTGTAATCGGTCTTGTTTTCATGCAATTACTATGTAGTTTTGTTGTGATTAATGCTTCCGAGTGATCACTTTGTTTCCAGATTTTTATACTTCATTACAGCAGGTGTCAAGTGCTGTGTGGCAGCTGTAAAAATTTGCCTCGTACTTCACTTCAGTGTTGTTACATTTTTCAGGTCCTTCGGGATCATTGATGCAAGCACTATTAAGCGTTAAGAATTGAGTACCGCTCAAGCCGGTGATAGCGGGCGTGAGTGATGTTGTACTTATCCATTGTCCCTCATGTACAGACTCAATCAAACCGAGTTTACAATTTTCATGTACTTTTGTTGTAATTTATGTTTCCGAGGAATCATTTTGTTTCCAGATTATCGAAAATCAATAAGCATGATGACTAAAATGTTGAATATAATATGATATTTTATAATTATTTTATGATTGAACGATCCTGAATAACATACAAACACCATGTAGAATGACAAAATCCAACCAAGTAAAACGGCAATGCAAATCACGAATATATACACTTTTATAAGACAAACAAATTGAAACAACATATTGTGTTAAATCATACTTGGAGTTCACAAACTTATTCACTTGAAAATATCATGCCTCATTGGCTGTGTGATCCGTTATTCTTTATGTTTTCATCCTGCCGTTCGTTAATGCGATTCCTATAATACCATCTGTATTTGTTCAATACTATTTCAGTTAGAAAAGCAATCATACTAAGGACCAAACCAATTACACAAACATAAAAGGCACTTTGAACATCCATTAATGAAATTGGTTTTGCCTCTGTGATTGAATTGCCAGCGCAGAAACTTGACTTAGGCCACCATTTCCTTTTCCAAATTTGCAGTAAGCCTCCTTCGTGAATCTTCATCATTCTGACAATTAAAGAAAGCTAATTACCAAGATATGTCAGTCATAATTATAAGATAGTTAGTTTTTGGGGGAATATTAGTTCAAAAAGCCAAATTATGCGTTTAAGCAAATAAGGTATATTTGTGAAAATTGTATTAAAAAACTGCTTGGTAAATCACCGAACGGTAATTGTAGACGTAAAATGACTTTGTAAAGATTTTCGATAAGTACTTTATGGGGAATGAGGTATTAGGATTATTAAACTAACAATTTTACACTTTAAAGGATATGTATAAGAGGGTATAAAGCTATATCTTTTTTAATAACGTTTATTTATTGTAACATCAAGTTGTCTCGATAATCTTGGTCGATTCTACAGAGTTGGGACATAAAATGTCTCTGTTATTTAACACGAAAATTGTCTGTAAACTAAATAAATGTTCAGAAACAAATTATTACCCTGTTATTTAAGGTAGGGTTTTAACTGTAACGGTATAGAAATGAGTTTCTGCATGCGCCATTCGCTGTTAGGATATATACGAAATATTTCTTCCATTCAGGTAATATGGAAGTATTCTTAAAAACTTTTAACGCAGATATGTAGCTTTTTAAGGCGATTGGAGAATGTGCTAATAGCATGATGCCGACATTCCCATTGTAATAGCAATGATATAGAGGTCACGTCATCTATGCTAAAATGTATTTGATGATAAGTCAGTCCTGGTTGTTATTTGAATACTATTGAACGCAATATAATATAACGTACAGCGTTATCAATAAATTAGGAAGCAATCTGATGCAAGAATGGACAGGATTAACATGCTAACAAAATAACTTTTGAGCAGAAACTATTTTCTATGGCCTTTAGAAAAGGTTGAAAATTAGTATTTTGGACAGAATATTACTTACTGGTCTGTAAATATAGCAGCATGCGAGGACTTGTCCTTAAAGCCAAACACATAAATTAGTGGCATAAACTCCTCCTTGATTTTCATCAAACTGCATTCAGTGGCCATTACAATCTCTATATATGTTTTGTCCCCTACAAAATAATTTCCGAACTACAGACCTACTTACTTTTCCATAGCTTTGATAGGTGTTATTTGTAATGGTTTTAATTACAATTGTACTATAATACGTTTAAATAAAAGAACTTATATGTTGCTTCATATTGAAATGGCTTTTAGATATTAATGTTTAAATATAGTTCAGCGGCTTGCTGTACAGAATGTAGGATCAAATAAAAGCAAGAACTGGTTTGTTATCAAGGACCACATTGAATCGTAATTATTCATAAGTAATATGAAACTTTGTGCAAAGGTATACCTATCCAGGCATACTTCCCTTCCTTTACTCGATTCACATGATAATCTGGATCCAGGTGTAAAACACTTGGGTCTGTTTTGTTGAACTCTATAAATGCTTCTCCAGTTGCTCTGAATGCTGAATGACTAGAGTTCTAAAATGAGCATAGAACTACAAGCAATTATCTATGTCATGTATGCAGTATAAATATCGAATTTCCATACACACTGGAATTCAGCAAGGTGTAAAATTACCAATCATCAGAAACCAGTCAAATCAGAAAAGACTCGAGTAAGAAGATGAAATTTTAAAGCAATTTCTAACTTAACATTAAGGAGAAAGTGAAAATCGCAGATTCGTATTTTCGTGATCATCTGTTTCACGGCCTCTGCCATATGCATTAAATTTTATCGTATTGTCTGTCAAGAATCTAATTAACATAAGACTTCATAAATAAACAAAAGAATGCCTGGACACGGCATATCATAGTTTTATATATTTCTTTACATAAGGTGTACATGTACCGCTCCTAACATATGTAAGAATGTCATTTGGAAAGATTACGCTCATTGTTTTAACGCGTTTATATAGGCAACTTGGTGTTGCTTACTTTATTAATCTTACGTCAAGGGACTACCGTGGCCGAGTGATTATGGCTGTTGACTTCATACCATTTTCCCACCACTGTGGGTTCGAATCTCTGAAAGGACTTTGGATTTTTTTCATGTGAGGAAAATATGTAGCATGTTTACGGAACTTCAGTGGTTCTAGTCAGGTGCCCGTTCGTGTCTTAAGTAGTATTGCAAGGAGAGGCTCCGGAGGTCTTCTTCCACCAGTACGATGACGTAAAGCCCGGCTAAAGAAGATTACAATACTAACGTCGATAAGAAAACGTAAATAAAAGGTTGTGTCATTCTGATTTCGTTTTATTGTTAATGTATTTGGTTAAATATTAACAACAGAAGCATAATTTGAACAGGTATGATACAAAACTGGTTAACAATGCTATGCATAACAGGCATGACTTTATGCCTAATTGTGACTGACAAAAAGCTTAAGACTTGCTTTATCAAATAAATAAAATAAAATAAGGGAACGACTTTAATCCCGATGGCATGCTTTCTATATCATGTTGTAGATTGCCATGGCGATGCAATATGCTAAAATCTAAGACCTGTGTATTGTAGTGTATTGAAATGTTAACCCATTTAAGCACATAATTTGATTGTTCAATCGTTCTTGTTATTCATTACGAATTGAGGTTGAAAAAATATAAAAAAATTATGTCTAAATTTAAAGAAACAAATTAAACATACTGATATGACATTCTTTTCTATTTAATGCTACTTACTGGAAACTCCCACTCCCAGATTGTTCCGCCAATAGTCCCCCATTTATATGTTCCCTTCAGTTTATTCATTTCTTGTAAGGTATTGAATGGAGGTTTTTCTTTTGTTACGGTAAGAAAAGCAATAAGGTTGCCACAATATGTGCCTACGGTAATTATACATGTTAGCCACCAACAACTCATCAATGTCCTTCCAGCTGTAGATTCTGGTAAATGTACCCCTCCTGTGAGGTCAATTGTATTTTAAAAAATTATTTTATTACAATATTAAGTTTAATATTAGTATGCAGTATTTAAAGATTCAATTTAACGACTGTCGTAAGCTACAGCACGACTTTATCGATAGCCTGTTTTACCTTCCCCTGAATGCCATTAAGATGATCATTTCCAAAATGGCTGCCATTTTTGGCATGCGGGTGGTGGTGATGATAATATTGTAATATCTATACATGTATTAGAAGCTTTGTACATGCTATTCTTTTCAACAGTTCTAAAATGTTTTAGGGAATTTACAACTAAACAGCTCTGTGTGTGGCTGTTATAAAAAAATTAGTTACAGATAATAAAAACTGTTAAACTAAACTTCGCAAAATGCAAGTAAACTGAGAATGAGTCATTTCAATGGAAACTTAAGTTGTAAAAGAATGCTAACGTAATTGTGTTTAAATTCAGAAACTGATCATATCATGATTAGATTATTTAGGCTTGTAAAGATTCATACTTTGACAGTTTCACTCTGAACATAAACCATTTAATTGTGCTCTTTTTTAAAGTCACTGTAAATCAAACTTATGTAATTCAAAATTACTGTAATATACACATTTAGATATAACTCAATTTACCTTGACAGAACAACGCTCCAAATATATGCCAAAACGAGCGGTCTAGTGTTCTTGGTGTCCCGTTTATTTGTCTGTTTCCGCTTCGGTTGATGGAACTAGCATCATAAAATGGATTGTTCTTTTCAAGAAGATAAAATATTATGGTAACTATCAACACAGACGCACCTGAAAATAAGATACAGTACTACAATTTTCATTAAAATATTACAAAAACAGCATTCATGTTGTTTAAATAGCGGTCGTTAGTGTAAATTAGAACAAAGGGGCACCACAAACCCTTAGTATGCTACTAAATTTTACAATAAAAGGTATTTTAAATAAAATTTTTAATCATATTGGTAAATATGTTGACCCAAATATGGTTGTTTTCAGGAAAGGAATCGACAGTATGTCGAAGTATGTCTATAAGGTCATAGCTTCTTACACAATCGGGATCAAATAAATTCCGTATTTATTTTTTTTTATTTTATTTATTCATTTATCTATTAAATGTATATTTTACCGGCACATGAGAAGAGAAAAAATCATAAACCTATAGCAACGAAAACCTCCCACTTAAATGGATCGATTAGAGTACGCCACTTTGTAGCATTCGCATCCGGTTTTTTAACTAGCACCGTTGTATATTCATAAAAGAAAGGGTAACTGTAATCCATGACAGATTCTCTTTCTGCTTGTACTGATATTGGTGCAGCAACAATATCAACTTCCTGAAATTAACATGCAAACATGAACTCATTATTTTTGAATATAACCATTTAACAGTTCCTACAAATGCGTTTTACAATAAACAAATATTGACGATTAAGTAAATATGGGACAGGCTATGGCCATGGAATAGGCTAATGTGGTACTTGAATATCACATAAGTCTGGATATTCAACCAAATTTCCACCCTATAACTGTTGTATAATATATCTTAGTTTGAATTTTTCATTTACTCGTAGGTAACTTGTCATAATTGTCCGATTTTCTTTTTCACGCAAACAAGCCCAAAAAGCGGGCGGAAAGGGCAACCGTTGTTTAAGATTTTTTGGTAAAGCAGGTAAGTACACAGGAAAAAAATACACGTTTTTAATTTATCCTTGTATTTTTGACAGAAAGAAAACACTGTCTTAATCTGTAAATTACACATGATGATTGATGTACGTAACGTTGTTAATGATTGGTCGGACCTAGTATTCTATATAACGTAATGTCATTAACAATTGATGTTTAACAATCTTTGGAAAATTTTAATTTTTACTGTTTGTTCGTTTTCAGTACAATCTTGACAGCAGAGGTCGAAATCTTAACATAATCGTAACGTTCATAATTATTTGAATACATGTGGCTCTTATAATGGAATTTTTAACCTCACCGCACTATCTTAAAAATCTTTAATGGACTTGTACATATTTAAATTCCGACTATACAATGAATTTCTTTAAGGGGGTTTTCCTAATAGATGCTGACATAATAATGGATGTTGCAAACCAAGATTTTGGTCTGTACAAGTTGGGAAATACCAGTTGCAATTAGCACGCTAAAGTTTAAAAACCAAGTTAGGGCTGTTTGTTTGGGTTTTGAATGTTTGGAATTTAACAAGGTTTTAGATAGATATATAGGAATATTTTAAAGGTTGTTCATTAAGTAAACTAACCTCTCTCTGCAACTGACCGACTAGACCATTGAAAGTTAAATTCTCTTTATGGCTTAAGCCTCCCCATTTGCCATCGGCTGGTTCAGTCAGGTCATACCTACACGAAAGAGTAATTGCTTACAACATTAAAATACACTCCGTCAAATAATTATAATATTTAATGATTTTATATTTTAATAATTTTAACAATAACGTTTAAAATAAGTTCATGTTAAGATAATTCTGTACTTATGTCAGGTTTGTTTATAGTTTATTCATGATCTTCCTGATGAATACTAACGATGCGTATTCAACATGCGAACATTCGATAAGCAGGAACAGAGTGAAAATAAAGAATATGCATAATGACTAATCCTTGTAATTTAGTATATTTACGTAAAGTTCAGCTTGCTGGCTAGCTCGTTCAACAAGTCCATACAGAATCCTTCGTAAACATAGGTATTATTTACTAGTTTCTTCATCACAAATGGTGCGTACTGAAACAAATAAAAAAAACTAAATATATCCCAAATGTAAAGTAACAGCAGCAGCCCCCCGTTGACAGCAGATAGCTAAAGTACCTCTTTTCGAAGTATTTGTTTGAAAGTGCTTTGAGATTAAATCCCGAGCTTTGTAATAGAAGACCGATTTTTTTTACTTATGTTTCATGGTATTTACAAAAACAAAACACACACACTTAAAATGTTTATCCAAAACGAATTAAAGCCCCACTTAACAATATAAAATGTAGCAATAGTTTGAATAAGCCACTGGCCATAAGCACAATTTATTCACATACTTAGATAACATCATATACCCGCGCCGCTTTTATGATACCGTTAAAACGGTATTGTACTATTGGCATAATATAATTTGGCGTGACGTCTTTTGCATTATGGAAAAAAAATAGAGTAAATATGCGCTAAATGTTAGCGTTACATTAAAAATACGTCAATTTAAAAGTGTGTGTTTCTTTTTATTGTAAATAATTCTTGTTTTGCATATGTTATAAAGAGAATATACATGTACATGTATTATGCTTGCTGAAAGCTCGCACAATATGATAACTATTTTTCAACTCATTCAATAAATTCCGTATTGAACCTACCCTTATTCAATATCCCCTTTTAATATAAAATAATCTAGATCGTTCTTGACATAGTATACACTTTTTAGAATTTATATTTAAGCAATAAATAACAGCCTGTATTGAACAAAAAAATTCTCTTGCAAAGATTAAAAGGATATAGCAAGCTAAAGTTGATTTACATTTCTATCTTTGTAACTGAAGACACATTATATAAAGTGGTACGTTTTATTACATCATAAATAAATATATAACACTTACAGAGAGCGTAGAAACAAGAAACGATCTCCTATTGTATCCGTATTTTGTGTTTGGAAAAATGTCTGACAAAGCGGCAACATTGCCGTTAAAATCCGTATAGCCAATACGACTGAATTCTCTCCCTTTATTCGTCCACATCAGCGTGTCTATATGGTAACCTTTACATTTGCTGGTTGGATTCCAATATTTCGCTTCCTAAAACAATCATTAGAATGTATAAAACTACATGAAGCATGAAAACCCTGGACCGTCAAAGTAAAACTCAGCAAGAATCTGTTTGTCTATAATTTGCGATGATAGGTATTCTTTGATAAGTGTACTTGTTATGTGAATCAGATATTTATGATAAGTCTACGATGAACATATAAGGAAAGGTAACTCATAATGTGTCTCATATAGCATGGTTGTTATATCAAAGTAATTTTTAAAACTGATATTGAGTTTGAAACAAACGGAACTGTGACAGAAAAAGACCTACCTGAATTTATTATATACATTAAGCAAGCGTAACGATTTGTAACCTTTTCTAACCTACCCTTTCCAATGCGGTGATGAATCTCACTTTAAAGGCATTGAAATTTGTATCAACTACTTCTTCCCTCAAAGCACCATGCATAGTAGATTCGACATGCTTGCATAATGCCTTAAATAAAACGTAATTTATTCATGTAATTACCGTTATACAAGTATATGTTGTAGCTGGCATAGAAATCAGTGAAATTCCCTTCACAAGTGTCTTCCTAAATACGTTCAAATATAAATATAAAATATTATAAAATTTCAATATTTAAAATTGACTTTAATTCAATGTCTTACATTCTTATGTCAATTTTCTCAAACTTCTTTTCAAATTTTATCTTGTGGCCTTTAGGGTTGAGGCATTACAATTGCAATCACCGTTAAATTCCTGCGTGATCGTTGAAGACGAATAAATGGGTTCGAATTATAACCGTCTCTGATCTCTGACCTCCAGCAGGTTAGGTGGTTCTGACCCGCTGTGTTGCATTTAAGTTTGTAACACCTGAGGCCAAAATGCGTTTTCCATACTAACATAATTTTTTTGGAGCGCCGTAAAACAAAACCAAACACACACACACACGCGCGAGCACGCACACAGACACACGCACACATTAAGAAATGTTTTGTTCAAACATGTTCAAATCATATGATTTTGTGATATTTAACTAGATATTCCTTTCAACAATTAATGTACATATGTATATGCCACTATATGGTACTGCGTTTAACAAAAGGGCTCTGATAGCCGTGCATCTCTCACCAGAGGTACTTTGCTAGTTTGTTTGTTTGACGGCATATCAACACATAACTTGCTATACCGCGACGAACACTATCATTGTTAATATAAGATTATTAAACCAGAGCAAAGCTTTAGTACAAGGTTATTAAATGAGCAAGTTAAATTTATGAATACATGTTTATTTCCTTTAAGTAGTCCCTCACTTTAATTTAGTTCATCAATTTTTTGAAAAGGAACTGAGTAAGTGCATTTACAAGTGTTACCATTTCATGTTGAATGTTGAATTGTTTTTAAGCCGGTTCTTGTGGTGGTGGGGCGTAGAAGGTTGCTTGCAATTACCACTACCGTTCATGAACAGACTCGATTAAATAGAACCTACAACATTTTCAATTTTGCCTTTTTGAACACCCGTTAGGGATTATGTTTTGCCTTTATTTTATGGTCAGATCACTGTTATTTGTGCCGTGTGACGGCTGTAAAAAGTATCACCAAGGTGTCATATTTGGCGTTTTTCTAGACAAAAGACGGATGCTATTTTATAGCTCAACTATAAAATTACTTTTTTATGTTTTCTATATTATAGCATTATGCAATTAAAGAAAGTGATACATACTTCAATATCCATGGTTTGAAACTTTGGAACAGCGAGAATTACAACGTTGTCGAGGTTATTTGAGAACTTCTTTAGTAAATTCGAAGCTTTTCGGCTGTAATCGTACAGAGCAATCAACCATCTCGTAGACATCGTGAGAAGCGTCTTTTTGTGGTTAATTATATCAAACTGATTTGCCTATGATTAAATGAAAATCGAACAAGTACAATGCAAAAGAAATTTACTAATTATTTCATTTTGCACAATCAAATGTACTTACAAATCGTTGGTTTGTATAATTGGTTTCGGTGGGTAGCATTTTGCCTCTACTCCGAAACGAAAAACCAAGTTAAGTTCCATTGATATGAATATGTGATTGACTATTGAATAAATAGTTTACTTCTTGAAAGCAATCTGGTGAATAGTAAATAACGTATGAGACTACCCGTGAGCCGTTACAAAAAATAATTTAAAAATATAATAAACAGTGTTGCCAGTACTTACTGCTTTTAAAAGTTTCTTCGCATTGTCAAACCTGCACATAAGAACAACGCCTACACTTTCCTTAACCTCTCTTTTCTTTTCATATATTTCACTCAGAGTGTGAAGCGCATCTTGAACTTTTTCGACGTCAAACATTGCAAAAATTACACGCTCTTTTGATAAGCCATCAACAAGCTGAGTTGTCTCTATTTCTGTAGCAAATCAAGATAGTCAAGTTTCTTATAAACCTTCTTTTAAAATAAAAGAACAGATTTGCACAACAAGTGAAACAACGTCATAACCAATTTCGTATATATTATTTTTAACTTTCTCGTTTAATGTAATATTTTGGAAAAGGCTTTGAAAAGTATATTTTCTTTTTCAGCAATAGGTATTACCAATATTAAACAATAAAGCCGATATTAAGTTTTTTTTCCTTCATTTTTTTTTCAATTGTCAATTAGTGGTTTATTTCTCAATATTTTAACCATTCATTTTAAAATTGCACTTGATTGAAAACATTTTTTCAGTAATTTCATAGAAGTCTTTTATTTAAATGTCAATAAATCCTAGCAAAGTCATAAATAAAATGATTTATTTTTTAAAAGTACCAGAATAAAATAAATGTTTCAATTCGTAAATGACTCGAATGTGACATTTCTTTTTTTAATGGTTTGATTTATTTTAGCATGAGATGCCTAGTATTACTGTAACATTTGATCATTGCTATATTTAAAGACATAAACTAAACAAACTTGACATATATATGGAGAAACTTTCTGAAATTTTGAGACACGCCGTAAGGTAATTAGTCTAGCAAAATAAAGAAAAATGTGATCTTTAATTACCTGTTGAGATCTCGTAAAATATTATCACAGAACGCCATTTCAGCAATTTAACCATGGCACGTATTGCTCTAGGCACTGGCATTTTCATTAAAATATCGTCCCTGAAGGGAAGGAAACTTTAAGATAAGACATCAAGATAACAAGACTGAATTTGGTTTTTGAAGTGGTTTACAGGCATTGTTTATCACAAGATTGACAATTGAAACAATTTCTTACAGACAAGCCGTTAGAACGTATCTGCGGATGGTTGCAAAACCATATTTAACCATTCAATATGTATTGTAAAATAAATTTTGAATAGTGCTGGGGTCGTTGACGAAATTTTGCATTTTACAATACAGACCAAGAAAAGGCCCAATCAAAGAAAGTTTGCGGCAACATTTTGAATTTTGGAGTTGTCGGCGTTCTTTAGTGATTTCGTTTTATTCTATTTTTAATATTAAATACCATGGACCAATGGTTCATTGCCGTATCATGATGAACAATATAGTTTAGGAAATACGGTGAATATGGAAAACTGATATGCTACTAGGCTTTAAAGGGACTCCATTAAGGTTTTTGCTTAACGGAACTTCATTTTTCTTTCAAGAGTTGTGTACAATATGATGAAGTTCTGAACGTATTAAATTTCAGATTTTTTTTTCCAGAATTATCATTATTGAATTAGTGAATTTGTATAATGACACAAAATTGAAAGCGAGATTAACTATTTTCCCTGCATATTAAACAATGAAAATAAATTGATTTTTATTTAATTTCCTTACTCTTAATTTTTAAAATCCCGAGGCAATAACATTCCAAGGAAAACGTTTTTAAAATTTTTACCTATCCATGTTTGTAATGTTGAGATCTTTTAAGCAATACATGTCCGAGTCTGAGTTTGACATATCAGTGATCATGGAAGTTGGGTCACATACATTTGTTGTATCATTCTGTCCGGTATTATTTCGACACTGAAACTGAACGATTTTAAGTATTAATTTAATACAATACGCATCGAGAAAAAATATTAGATTTTGCCCATGCGCGTAATTACTCGATTCATATATTTATATATTAAGAGTATAAAATACACGGACGTGCATAAATGAATATTAATAATAATATAAGTTATAAATTCTTAACATTAAAATTCTTGCTTCATATTTGAATCAAATATTTGTGAATCACTACTCGTTATTAACACATTTAAATTGTATGTCAACCAAGCCACAAAAGCAGCCCCCACTTCACAAAAGTCCCCTAAATTTAAAATGCTTCATCTGGATTTCTTGAAGTTTCATAACTAGCACCCACCTGTGCTTCAGCTGAAGAAATAGAGACTTCAAGAGTATTTACTTCAACAGCAGCCGTACTTCATCTGAAGTCTCATCCAGCTTCTAATGAGCTTCTGAATTTGTGTGTATGTGCTTCAATTGAAGCACCAGGGCTGTTTAAGTGCTTTCTTTTGATAGTATTTGGTACTAGAAACTTCTTTGCTACTTCTAAGACTTTGACTGTTTGTTTGAGAGTTATTTTGATACAAAATGTACTTAAGTTCTGCTTTTGAAAATTAGCAATGCATGAAATGTTTTGAAGGGGCTTCAAAATGCTTTTAGAACTCTGAACATACATAATTGTCAGCTTGGAAAATATTCATACAGTCAATGAAAACGCATGTATAAAAAAGAAAATAACTGAGAAAAATCAAACACTGGAATAAATTTATGGTAAGTTATTTGAACTTATTACTATTTATATTTGTAATTCAATATAAAATAAAATGAAATAAATGCACAATGATTTTTTTTAAATTTTTTGTTTTCCTTAAAAAATATCAAATTAAGTTTTAAATGATAAGATCAGATTCAAATATTTTTTAATTTTTATAGTCTTGTATTGTATGATATAATTGTATAGCAGGGAATTTGAAATCTGTAACGGCCGTCAATGTACCTAATGTTTTCCAGGATAACTAACCAGTAATCTCCAATTTCTCGGCAAGTGACCGATCATTTGTGAATCAGTAGTAAAACCCAAATAGCCATTTGAGTGAATATCTGACATTGATATATACTCGCACGATGATTGTACCTTAAACACCTGGGTTACAAATCCAATGCTTCCTATTTAGCTGAGCGGGTGGACGAATATGTTTGCCATCGACGCTTCCAGAGACTATGTGGGAAAATATATAATCATTTGCAATAATTGTGCTTTACAAGGGTAAAAACGAATACGCATTATCAGCGATATCACATGCTCCGAAACCCGATCAACGGAGCTAACCAATACAAATCATTTTATAAACATTACCTTCACAATGTTAGTAGATCTTGCACCAAGTTTTATCAGCTTCTTGTGTTTTGTTATCAAAATATTTGGCATTCTCAGAACATCCCTGTCATAATCTAGCAGCATAATAACATCGACATCTGGGTTGTTGTCTAGTATTTGAACTAAAATAAAAGCATGGATTATATATGTCACGATTTTATGTTAAATAGATAAATTTAAGGTACAATGTAGTTTTTAGTCATTACCCGTGTTTATCTTGAAACAGAAAAAAAAAACATTTCACATGTAACACGATCTCGGTAAATACAAGTCTGTTCTGCTAATTTATGTATATAAATGTATCATATTTACTGATGGGATTTATAAAATTACAATTATTCAAATCTTTATTGTCATTAATACCATTATTTTACTTTTTATGATTATACAAATGTCTTTTATTTATTAAACTGTTTTACCGAGGCTATGTAATTTGGATTGCTTTATAACTTTATGCCCAATCCCAATATGTATTTTGTAAATATTGTTCACATGTTAAAATAATATGTTTAACAAAACTTCCAAAGGTTTGTTTGTGTAATGCATATGTTAGAAAAAAATGGATATTGCAGTAAAATTAAATAAAAAGTCTTCAGGAAAAGAAAAATTGTTGAAACGAGGTAATGAATTTACAAAGTAAAATATTTAATTTACCTGAAAAAATGTAAATTCTATTCTGCATATAATAATGTGCGTTAATTTTAATTTAAAATGTTGCAGCCTAAGAAAATAGGTTAAAGCTACAAAAGCCTGTCTTGCATTTACCAAGTGTTTTGTAAAATCCTTATCCATCAGGGCAAATTTTGTAACAAATGATGCTGCTGTCTTTTATTTCTATTTTCTATACTGATAATTGTTTCAATTATGCGAGATCAAAATACAATATTCAATATTAATATCAAATAGCATAAGAGATAAATATCTGTATACCTGACCGTGATAAAAGAAAAGTTTGCGTAGTATCAATGAGATGTTTAACAAACACAATATCACATCTTTGCTTCGAAGTTGTTTCTGTCTCTACAAAATTGTCCCCTTTACCAATTATACCTGCCAATGTAAAACATGCATTTATCTGTGCCCCTTTATTATTTTATTCAACATCATTTCACTTATGTTTTTACATACATATCTAAACAATGTCATTGATTTTGTTGCAAAATAAAAAGCCTAAGTTTGAATAAATGTCATCAAAAGGCATTATTCTGCAAATGGTTCCTGTATACTAGAAATAACTGTATAATCAACGTTTGGTTAAATTGCATTGTTTTTGTTGTTGCTATTGTTGTTTTGTTGTTGTTTTTGGTCCATTGACATCTATATACGATATAGAAACGTATTTTCTTCTGATACCCTTCCGCAATTTAATTTAAGATACATTTTTCGGTTATTGTTGTGTTTTTGTTTAGGGCATTCTATTACTTAACGACCACAAAGAAATGCAAGGTTGAGACTTCCGTCGATGCTTCTTAATTTCAAATAATCTCTTACTATTTTCGAACCAACATATGTGGTACAAACGTACTTATATTTTTTTAAGATTTAAATGTAAAATACATGTACGACCAAAACAGCTAAACTGAAATACTGCAGTCTCGAAAGCTACAGTTCATGCCCCTAGCATTAAAAGTCGTAAAAACATACGGTGGTTACTGAAAAATAATTATTTACGTTAACAATTGGTCCGCTGGAACCGACGGTGTCTTCCCTTTGCGACTCTACAGCCTGGCTAGCCTGCTTACATGTTAAGTCTTCTGCAAATGTTTCTTTATCTTGAATAATTTATAACCATTTTCAGATACTTGTACTAATGTGAAGTGCCGCTGTAGAGTGTACTGAACCTTGTTAAGATATATAATATTTGATTTAACCCTTTAGTTGTTGGATCGCAAATAACAAACATTTGCCACCAGTAATGAGTAAACTGGTATGCACATAGGGTCCAAATTTTTGATTATTGTCTTGTATTTTAATATTGAAATTCTTAAAACTTCAAATAAATTGTTCCAAATTCAAAACTTAGGCAATGTATTATTTGAGCCTAGGTCGTTGTAGTTATATATAATTTCATATTTCAAAACGAACTATTTCTTTCTGTTTTTATTACAGTAATATAATGCTGCCAAAATACAAAGTACAAACGTTATAGCATTTATTTGATATTAGAGAAATTACAGATAGCATATAATTAATACCCTTTTCATAACGAACTATTTTATGACTTGTCTATTGCAATGATAACAAAGACAGATTGCTGTTTGTCGTAAAATGTTAGTTTGATAAATTAATAGGTTGATTTTTTTACAAATCAGTACATAATGACAAGGTAGAGAAAAATGTACAATAATGCTCCCGGAATAATTATGATAACGTCTACAGAGACAAGACATTATGAGATTTAAAATATTATACATTTTCAGTAATATCATACAGCAGCAATTAAACTAATAGCATATTTTCAATGTGAGATTTACATATGAAAAGAAAATCCTAGAATAAATGGACAGACAAAGGAATTGAATCGAGTTTCAGAGCTTTTATAACGGAAATAACGATATTCTAGAAACTGATTTTGTTTTATAACAAATCAAGTAAAATATTTTATTGGCAGAAACAAATGCATGTTCATCGCTAAGCTACCGTGGCGGATATAACATACTTAAATTACGTAAGAAAAGTATAGTATACGGTTTACAAATACTACAAAAATATCAAAATACGAATATGAACACAATTAATAACGGGTGATATGTACATCAAACGTGAATTTACTCAATTTAGCTCAATGTCTGAAATACAAAACTTACTAAATTATAATCCGATATTATATATATTCTATCTAATGAAATCTGCTTTTGTATAGCATTTTTGTTCGATCGAACGAACCAATTGTCTTATACAAGACATTTTATTCGGTCTTTTTTTTTCGATTGATCGAGCAAAATGTCAATTTTATATTTTCATGTCATGTAACATGTCTTTTTTTATCTAATGAAATGTACTTTTCATTTAGCATTTTTGTTCGATCGTTTCCTTATTTTGAAAAAAAATATATATAAAATTTGGTAAGGTAGGTCATGATCATACAACCGTTCGGTCGACTGCACATTTTACTTTTCGATGTAAGAAAGAGTTCTTATACAGGATTTTTATCGGAATTATTTTGTTTGATCAATCGAACAATATGTTTGTTAAACGTATCTATTTATTTCATGTGTTAAAGGTCCTGTATGCCTTGTGATTGATATTGTTACTGTGTGTATACCACACTTGCAAAAACATTTATATGTATATAATTATGCAAATAAAACAATTTCAAACATCCTAAAATATGTAAAATGTGTACTGCAAATATTTGGGCACATTATATTTAATCAATAAATTATATGCATTCATTTCTTATTGGAAAATTTGACTTAGACTTTATAGAAAATAAATTTCAAATTACCTCCCTTTATTTACATGAAATGTTAAATTGGGTAATATCTTTATAAATAGTGCTTATTGGACAAATCTTAATTTGAGCATCATATTTATGAAATAAAACCATGAAAAAATGTGTAACAGGATCTTTAAATCAAATTTTCAATAAAATTATATGCAAAAAAGTAACTTGATATTTTAGGCATTTAACATTTGTATAAAACAACCTTAATGTTTACTGCCAATAAGGGTAAAAAAGGACTGAGTGGACAGTCTTTTTTTATTTTGGAACCAAATTTATATCAAATTGTGTACCTTTTTACTGGAAACAGATTGTAAACGACTGTTTTATTGTTACTAGCTACATTATTTCGTATTAAGATTGTGTGTAAAAATTCAAAACAAAAATACCTGACTTTTTACAAAGGCTTTACTTAAATTAAGTACAGTTTTTAAATTTTCAACGTATGAATTCAATAAAACTAAATTGAAAAAAAATCAAACTAAAAAAAATGTATTACAATAAAGTTATCGTGACTTTTATTAATTGATTGATGTGTAGTCTTTTTCAGTTTCAGTACTGATAACTCAGTAAAATGATCATTCTAAAATTCCATATACATGTATTTCTAGCTAATTATAATAGCAATATTTGTTGCCGGTGATATCTTTTTTTAACTTCATGTTTAATTTGCATTTCCGCTGAATAGAAACGCAGGAATCAAAAGAAGCAATATGGCGTTGATATGACATAACTATATTATTGAAAATACAGCAACAATGACTTGAATGTATTTCTTTAATTGAACGTAATTTGTTATTTATTATTCGGGCCATAAACCTTCCTCATTCTGACCAACCAGTCCGTTAACTTGCATATTGCCTTCAAGGCCATGTTTTATTTGTTAAATATAGATTATCAATTGGAAATATTGTAGGGCATGTATCATATTTGAACCAATAGACAATATCGTTTCGCTTCATAAAATAATAATAATAATAATAATAGAGACTTTATTTAAATATTACAACCCATACCTTGTATGCCTATTGAAAATTTAGATTGTAGACCAAAATTTATTTATAATTGATATGTTCCAAATTTTGTTTCGAACTAAATTCCTTATTCAAGTATATCATTTATAACTTCTTAACATCGTTTCGAAATCATAATAAAAATCAAGCGGCGTTTTTTGGTTTGTCCTAAAACATAGAACAATCTATCGTAAGGGAATTCCGTGGAATGTTCATATTACTCTTAAAAAATGAAGTCCTGATATCAAAGGGAACAGCCTTTTGTTGTTGTTGTTGTTGTTCGGCTTCTATCCTCAAAACAAATATGAACAAATATCAAAGTATTGATTTTTGTTTTTCTATAGTCCAAGATATATTATTTAAAAAAAAAACAGAACAACAACCAAAACAGCAACCAAAAAAAAAACAACAACAACAAACAAGCAAGACATGTAACACCTATTTTATAATTTTATTATGTATGTCGGATTGAATATTGCTTAAGACGGCGTTCGGGAGTGTGAAAGTGTGTTGCGATGTTTCACTGGAATAATCAAAACTCAATTAAATTGAGTCAGCTATTTCCAATTATTTTTGTATAATATTATACATTTTGCTAACGATTAAGAAATTGAAATTAAAATGAAATCAATACAAAATATTGTTTAAAAATTTGACATTATTTACATTTATCAAGAAAATAACATACCTATTCCAATACGGTTTTCATTGCATACTACATTTCCAGATGTATAAGCGAAAAACAGTCCCCATACTACAGCCGTTTGTATCCATGCAACCATGATTCTTTAAGAGGCTACCTATAAGTAGTGATTCTGTTGTCAGACTAGTTTTTCTTTTTCGTTGTCTGAATTGTTATTAATATATACGACCATTCAGTCGAGACAAGTTGATCGGATAACTCGCGTAGCGATTATAGCTTTTTTACTTCATTCAGCGTCAGCAGTGCAGTGAATAGAATAGTTTTAAAATTAACAAATAAATCTTATTAATATTCATTTAATGAGTCGGCTGATAAAATGTATCACTTTGTGTTATCTGCTGCTGATTAACGGCGACATATACAGATCAATTCTCTGTCGTTTGTCCGTCCGTCCGTCTGTAATGACCCTTTATTGATTTTTAATCGTAAAGTTTGTCCAATCTACTCCTCTTACACCACTAATGCCATTTCAATTAAACTTAACGGGATTGATCGGGATCTCAAGAACTTGCGCTTAATACATGGGTTTTCTGCTTGAATGATTATAGCTCTTGAATTTTAAATGCGTTTTGGCAAGTTGATGGTTTTTGTGTCTCTTGCTAAACAGTACCTGCAACATTCTATTGGCTATCATAAGGTTACACATGTGATTACTGATCGCTCTAATAATGTTAAATAAGAAAACAATATAAATGAAAGACATTGATTTGTGAAATTAAGTTAAAAAAAAACATAATCACATTTGTTTGTTTTGGGAAAAAAAAATTATCATTTTAAATTAATCATATTTCAAAGTAGATCTTAATCGTGTGCCCTTTGATGCGTAAAGGGTTTCATTCATTTCAGTAGTGTGACATCTTTTAAGTTCTTCTAGGGATATATATTATTAGAATATAAAATTTAATGTATTCAAAATATGGATTTCGGTAAAAAAAATGCGTTTTAGCCAATGAAGTGATGCGATAAACGCGCTTCCTCAGAGTTCTGATAGCGCGAATAGTTTATTCGCCGGTATTTTGAGAGACAAGCGCGTTATGTAAAAACTAAAGGTTTCTAGTTGTTTTCTCGTTTAAGGCAAACGCTTTCTTTAACTTGGGGACTACACCGCTTTTCATGGACTGGCACGTTGAAGGTTCTATTATTCCGGCTGTATGAACACATCTGCTGATGTTTCTTATTCAAAAATGTTAACAATACATGTTTAAATGTTGAATACTGCTTAAGCTGTGCTAGGAGGCATGGACGGTAGTTTGCACTTGCCAGTACCGTCCATAAACAGACTCAATTAAACCGAGCCTGCAATATTTTCAATTTTGCCATTTTCATGCCTTCTTTTCAATTTTTTAGTTTTAATATTACAAAATTTTTAATGCCTGGAACCAAACTTTTCCTGTCTCGACAAAATTTCGCATTAAATGCGATTTAGAATCTAGAAACTGCGTATCAATAATGTATAATAATTTCTAAAGATAATGTTATACTGGTGATTAGACGTTGCAATGCTTACATTACATATATGTTATTCCCGAACGAACAAAAATTGTAATACATACAATATTTATATGGCATTTAGAATTGAATACATTCAAATCTGAATATATATTTTATATACAAACTCGATATATTTTGATATCGATAATTCTTACATCGAATCAAAAACGATTTTGTACATGTTTCCCTGAAGACATTTTTGATGTTCATTTTAAACAAAGAAAAACAGTTTTCTAATGCTTTTTTTGCTTATGCAAGTGTGCATTATATCACAATAATCAAAAGGGAATCCTTAAGAACGCATTGTAAATTTTGCCTGATCATGCTCCTGGACGGTAATGGGAAGTGCAAGTTATCGTCCACGCCTTCAGCACCGGCTTAAGCAGAATGCAACATTTAGTCATGGTAATGGTGAACATTTGAATAAAGAAACATCCGCAGATGTTGTCATACGGCGGTTATCACGGAACCCTTCGGTATTTGGTCTGACATATGTTTGGTTTGATGAGTGATAGATACTCTTTTGAATCTGAGGGAATATATTGCTTTGCTGTCATTTTCAAATTGAAATTAATGATTAATACTTTAAAATATGATAATTTTCTAAAATGAAGGCAATTATTTGATTTTGCCACTGGTGTTATGGCACCAAGTAAACCTTTGATTATATACATTTGATCGACTTTTTGCCTTGATCTATTTCTTCAACATGTTGTGTTTTCAGCTGATCCAAAGTTGAATAAAAGTGATTTGTCCCAAATAATAAGACATTTTTTAAATCATATGACAAGCTGATAATTTCTTCATAATATTAATAACTTATTTTTATATAAGAAGGACAAAAAGTAATTGAAAAATACAGAGGAACTTATTTAAAAGTGTTTAGGAATAAAACATAATAAACATAAAAAAGGAAATACTTTTTTGTGTTTATGCTTTATTTTAATAGTATCAAAATACGAAGTATTTGTAGTATCCAATGTATACAGTGGACTGGAAATGACCCGATGAAAGTAGTTCCGTCAAGTTCAATATGTGTATTGTTGAGGTGTCTGATAAAGATAAGGGTGACTGGTAAAGCTGAATTTTCAAAGCATGCATTGTATCAACAGAAATAATTGTAATAACATGATAAATAGAATACCAAACAAGTGTCTGATATTACAAAATTTATCAGGCAAGGCTAAGAAAATAAAAGAAGAGCCTCGCTCTAAATTGTTTTTGAGACGAGTGTGATAAATTTTATAAGATTAGACACTTGTTTGGTATTCTATTTTTTATCATGTTTGCAAGATGTTTAGATAGTAGATATTGTAGACTACTTATTGTAAGAAAAATCTCCAGACGTTTCGACCTTTGATATTCAAGTCATAAATAGACAATATATACTGCATTTCAGTCAAAAGGTATATATAAATAAATGATATATGTCACATATAAACATAAGAAAACGATTTACAGTCAACTCTGTTTTGAAGACATTATTAGGAACATATGAAATGAGGCTATATCAACTGAAATATGAAAAACAAGATCAACAAAGAAGGGAGACATTCAATGAATGCATCCCTCAACAAGTCAATATGGAACTGGTTGATATGCTAGAAACACTCAGCCTTAAAAGATGGGTGACAGCAAAAATGAAATATTAACACATATTTCTAACTTCAAATAATATATACTAATCGTCTTATCAAAATTAAATTCAGTGTGCAATAAGATGCTTTCATTTGAATATCATATATAATTTCACAGAATGCACATTTGAACTGTTTTGCATTACGTTACGTTTGTAATAAAATTGACATTTTCTCGTAATGAATAAAATAAAACAGTTTAAATGTTGAATTCTGCTTAAGCCGGTGCTAGGGGCTCGGACGGTAACTTGCACTTTCCATTACCATCCACGAACAGGCTCAATCAAACCGAGCCTGCAACATTTTCAATGTTGGACTTTCTTTAGGGATTCATTATTTCTATCTTGTTATAGGCTTATATATAAAGTTGTTTTTATTCACTCCTTTGATGTAATGAATTCGAAAACGAAACAACATATAGGTAGTCATCTTGTTTTGTAATATATAGAGTTTAATGTCTTCTTATTAAATTTCTCTGGGCTTAAATCGGAATGCAAACATAAAATATAAAATTGAATACTTTTTACTTCTTGTGACAGTTACTGTACATTTAAAATACTTGCTTCAAACAAAATTGTGCTATATATCGTGTTGTTTAATGCTTGCATGATATAGATAAATGAATTATCTATGTTTTACACTTTATTTATCTGCACAATATTTACACATTTGTTTCACAATAATTTTTATTAACAAGATTGTTTCACAATAATTTTTCATTAACATACAAAATAAACAACATTACTTTCAATAATATTCAGATCATTGGCTTATCCTTATACTTATTAACTGTCTGCGTATACTGTCTTGAAATTATGTTGTCTTTCTAGTACAAAGTACGGATTTTTTCAAGAAAGGAAAATTGCAGTTTCGTAAATTCATGTAAAACACATTCGACACGCTTTATAACCGTGTTCAAATATTTGTTTGCTAAACGTATATAACCATTTAAGATTATACAAATCCACAGAGAACCGTATATACTGATCCAAATAATCTGTCTCAGAGATTTAAGTCTCAGTAGACAACGTCTATTACTGTCATGAAGTTTCATTCTAGATTTTATTGTTAAATAAACCTCCTGTCATTGCATAACGTACTCTCTAACTATGGTATATTTTGTTTCTGAATAGCTCGATCTGTGCATTTCACAGTCTTTTCACTGAAATATATGAAACATTTCATACAATATCTTAAAGTGCTCGCACTACAAATCTTATAAAGTACATATATAACGCTTTGAACAAGATATTTGTTCAGTCAACCTATAGTAAGACAAATTGGAAAACTAAACAAACTGAATATCATGCACTAATACAATGAAAGAATAATAACTATTTGTGTTCACATCTTAAATGTAGGTTAAGGGTTGGTTAAATGTGTTCAAAGGGTACATACATTGTTTGTCGTCTCGGCATGCATGCTCGTTCTTTAGCACTGAGATTGATATCACCTCCTATTAACCAAATTATAATTGTACATTTAAAACCTTTCAAAACTACGTTTTACATTTTTACAGAACAATACAATTTTAAATGAAGTATTAAATAAAATAATGATATCGAAATGATTCACTTAGTGATTGTCATATTTAAAAAAAGGAATTATTACTACCAAACTAGGGTCGTGTAAAATGTAATATATCGATACAGTTTAAATAAGAAAACTGATATATGAAATCAAAGCTTCACTATTGAGAAATGAATTATAATTATCAAACTGGAATCATGTAAAATTTAATCTATCTATACAGTTTAAATTAGAAATCTGATGATTATATCAAATCACAGCTTCAGCTTAATGATATGTTTCATTCACTTTCTATCTAAATAATCATACCTCTAGACTGATTAATGATTATGAGTAGACATCCGAGTATAAGAGACACTGAAATACATATAAAAAAAAGTTGTATCGTATTTTTTAACTTTTAAATTAATTTAACGTCATATCGACAGGTAATTGACAAAATATATTAGCATGCATTGTATTTGCACTGATGTACATGTATACATGAACACAAAACACTAACCAAACTGACATTTTACGACCATATTGAAATACCATACCCAAACAGCGCTCATACTCTCTCAACATGCTGCATAATTCTGTACCAAACATGTTAGTTCTAAAAAACACATACACTAGACAAAACAAGAAGAGTGAATAAGGTAACCAATTCAATTCAATTAACAATCTGTAATCGTTTAATACCAAACATACAAAAACGGAACAAAAATACGCATTATTTGGTACGGACACACATTCTTACCATGAATGCCACAAAATAAAAATGCATAAAATGACTTTTCATGTAATAAATGTTCAAAATCACCTGTCATGCAAGCTGTGAAGAACACCTCTAATACAAGGTAACCGTAATTATCTGTCAGGTACCCGGCAAAATAGGCAGCGCCTGTCTGGCCAACAGCTGTCATTGCGTTCATTCTAAGTAAATTCAATAATATTATGATATAAGAAATATAAATGTTACAAATTTTGTTGATGTTTTTTAAGTGTGACACTTATGTATTCGTACCTACCTACCCCTACCCTACCCTACCTACCTAAATATTAGTTTTATTGTGTAAAAGTCCTTAGTTTCAAGTTCCAAGTTTCAACAATGTAATGTCATTTTAATTTTACATACATGCCATATGCTGTTCCGAGATGGTTAAAAGGTATAACAAAAGATGCCATTGGCCACATTGTTGCTGTAAAAATTGAATAACCAAGACCCATGGATACCTGAAACACAAAAACAAAATACATAAAGCATGTAACGTCATGTGTACAATGTTAGACGTAACTAAACGGTTACAAACATCTAAAATGACGAATTCTCAGTTACTTTTACACTTGCCTATTTCAATGTTAAGTATATTATACTACTGGATCTAATTATTAACAAAAACCATCATTTCTTGATAAGATATATGAAATAAATAAACACAAATATAATAGTAACGATGAAGTTTGTATCTTATAGATGTTTTTATTCCAAAATTTAGGTGAGCAGTGAGAAAAGATGATTATAGGTAGGTATTGTTATACTCACGGTTGCTATATATGGCTCTAGAAATGTAAATGCAAGAATAATATGGCTGCCGATAGAAAGAATAATCCCAACAAACATCCAAATAAGACTTTTCCCAAATTTGTCTATCATATAACCAAATAAAGGCATTGTTATTGCAGCCATTAAGTACACCATACTATAAAAGAAATGAAAAGGCTCTTTCTAAGTTAAGATGTTGCTATTTATGTCAAGTTGTAAATTCATTTTGATCTTATTGTGCTAAATGAATACAAAAATAAAGCTAAATGAAGAAAGCACAGTCAAGTCTAGACTTTAAGAATATTAAGAAAGTCTTTACTAGATTAAATATACAGTGAACATTTTATATCATTGGCTATTAATATTTAAATTTTCAAAGCAGTCATACGAGGATTTATCAAAAAGTTCTTGGTCTGATGTACTTCCGGTAGTCAGAGAACCCGACTAATGGTCTTACTTTTCAATATAATCGCCCTCTACATCAATGCACTTTGCCCACCTGTACTTTTTTAACCCTTCAAATCAGAACTCTCTATTTTGGTCCTCGAAGAACTCATTGACCGCCTCCATGACACCATCATTGCTTCCAAAACGTCTACCACGAAGCTTGTTTTCAGTTTCGGAAACACGTAGAAGTCAGAGGGAGCGAAGTCCAGAGAATATGGGGGATTGGGAAGAATTTCAAAGCCGCAGTCAGTTGCAGCAGCCATCGCAACCTGGGATATGTGAGCTTGCGCATTGTATTGCAAGAGCAGAACGCCTTGAGTCAGTTTTCTCCTCCTTTTACGCTCGATTTTTTGACGCAGACGTCTCAATTCGTCTACATAGTACGTACCGTTTATGGTACGACCTTGCTCAAGATAGTCAATCATAACTATCTCCCGACTATCCCAAAATATTGAAGTCATCACCTTCCCTGCCGATGGCACCCTTTTGAATTTCTTCGTAGGGGGTGAGCCAGGGTGCTTCCACTGCATGTTCTGTTTTTTAGATTCTGGATCGAAGTGATGGGTCCATGTTTCATCCTGAGTTACGATCCGGTAGATAAAATCAGCTTCATTCTCGTTGGGAGACAAGAGATATCTTGAAATGTCAAGCCTGGTCAGTTTCTGGTCGTCAGTCCACTGTCTTGGGACTCATCTAGCGGAAACCATTGACATGCCATAGACATCAGTCAGAATTGCCTGAACTGAATCAAAGCTTATACCAATTTCCCTAGCAATGCTTCACAGGTCTCGCTTTCTGCCGCACAAGACCAGATCGTGCACAGCATCGGCAGTTTCATCGTTGATGGCCATTTTTGGCCGCCCAGGCCGCTCATTATCTCCAATGCTCTCCCTGCTCCTCTTAAATTCAGTAGCCCATTTTTCAGAGTGCTATAGGTATGGGACTCCTTCCCAAGATTATCCATGAAGTCTTCATGGATTTCCTTGGGAAAATCCCTTTCTTACAGAGGTACTTAATGACGGCTCAGATTTCAACTTTCTCCATTTGGTCCCCTCTACTGATCAAAGTATGTTTTATGTTACTTAATATGTGTAAAACCGCGTGTAACTTGGTCAATATTTTCAATACGATATCGGTATCGACGTATTGTGTGTAAATGTCAGTGTGGTGGCTAGAAGTATATCGGGTCCAGAACTTTTTGATCATGCCTCGTAAGTACTTACCTGTTTATGCTATCAGCTTGTTGTGGCTCTCTTTCGTATTTCATTTCATAAAATACCCTTTAAACAATAAATACAATTGAAGTTATATATGTCATGAAAAGTAAAAGAACAATTTCTGTTTACTCCTTAAATACGAGCAAATCGTGATAAAAAAATAAAAGACGTGAAAACCAAGTGATAATGCGGTATCCTTTAAAGGGTTTTGAGCGAGTCTTCTAAACTGAAACATTTTGCATATTAAAATGAAGAGTTATACGACCACCATGGCCAATGATACGAATCGCTTTTTTAAGACTCCTCTATGTCATACAGTGTCCGTTATATTCATGACAAAAGTAACATTTTCACTAATTTGAATGTGTATTCAACATATGGAAACGTGTACGGAGTATACATACAAAACATCACTTTGGCAACTCTATACGATATTGATCGAAAACTATTTCTTGTATAAATAATTGAAATTAAGTAAGATACAGCTAAAATGATTGTCCTCTTTCCTTATTGCATAATGGTGAATCATAAAACAAAGTATAATCTTACTGTCCGAGCCCTACGAACGGAAACAGCGCCAGGTAGTAACACGTTGTAGTCATTGCTATCAGCCAATAAGTGATCGGGAAATTTTTGACGTCAGACACACTAACTTGGTCTTCATAAAAAATATTTCCAAACACAAACGCTTAAGTAAATAAAACAACAAAAAGGGCAAATAGATAATTTGATATAGCATAACGCAGCTTAACAAATGTGACTTTAACTCAACAGCCAGAATACTAGTATTAAAGAACAAATAATGAACTAATCAAACAAAAAGTGTATTATGTCGTTTTAAGAACACCGTTGCAAAGTATTTATTCAGGAACAGTAATATGACAGTGTTCATTTAACATTAGTTATATGTTTTAAAGAAAACATCAGTTATTCTGATAATACGTACCAATGGCATCATGTTTGATTTTAATTTCTTCTAATGTAAAACTCATTCTGTCAGCTCGTTTATCCAAACATGCAACAACAACTGACGACAGAAAAGACAAGAATGCAACAACCACACCTGAAAATTGATACTCAAGCAAGATGATAATGTGAGAACGAAGCAAATGAAGTATTTAGAAATTGAAATCTAAATAGAGTAGTAATGTACGTAAATATATGTAAACAGATAATGTGTTAAAAAATTGTTGTACACATGTGTTATTATGATATAAGTACAGTTTATATACATGTATGTATTATTTTCAGCGGGAATATCAAGACACTCAAATTAACAAAAATTAACGTTTGGTCCGTTAAACTCATTGAAAGTTTTTTTGTTGTTTTTGTCTGATATTCTGCATACCTTAGATATTTGCCACACTACTACTGTCATATAATATGATGTTAATTCATTTACCTAACGCGGTGCTCGTTTTGGGCATAAAAGGTATGTATGTTTTACCTGTTAAAAGTGTTAAACCTAAACAAATGTGACCATGCGACACCTGACCAATGTAGTTATATAATGAATCCATAACGTTAATGTCAACCACGCTGCTCTGAATGAAAAGAACACCAAAATGCACACTTAAACACAAACCGATACTAATCAAATACTAAGCGAAGTAATGAACCATTTAGACAGTGGTTACAAATCGATTTGAAGGCAATATGATTTGTCTAGCTACACACACAACATTTTTAAGCTTTTACTGAACATGTCTGTTACAATTAAGCTTGATGTTGCTGATAGAAGCACATATCTTATATCAACCATTTCCGAGTCAGACTCTCCTTTCTGGACATTTGGACCAAAACCTGGACTCGAAGTTATGAAGAAAGTCTTTGTTCTTCAACTCAGATATCATGTATTTCATTGATCTGAAAGTGCCACAGAAAGTACACTTATCAAAGAAAATCGTAAGATTTGAGACAGGCCCCTGAAAACAATATACACTTAGGCCAGTCCTAGTGTCATATATGAAAATACAATAAGGCTCGAACCAATGATACCTAGTTAAAATGGCAAATACTTCAACCACGTGACAATCGCTCCCGTCGAACAACATGGTTGAAGTATTTGAATGAAAACTATCTTTATGAAGCATATGTATATAAATATAAAATAATTAGTAATAATATATATAGCTATGTAAAATTTTTAGTGAAACAAAACAAAAGAGCAATTAAACATGACATTTTTTTGTTTTTTATTCATAGGCTTTGTAACTTACCACTCGAGCAATACTTGTTTTTAAACCAAACACCATATTGATATTTGTTGTTTTGAACCACTTTACTGCCATATTATCATTTGCTATTGCCATTGGTCCATTAACGAATCTAAAAGAAAGTAGTTAACTTAGAGTATTTTTTTTATTAATTTATAATTATTTCTTTTCTTTTTTAAACGGCAAAGTTAAGATATAATAAGATGCAATGCAACAATCTTATACACTTCTCATATGTGTCTGCTTTTGCCGTTAGAATGATGTTCCTTTATAGGGGCATATGCGAAATATGCACATATCATTTTCTAGAATGTTGCGAACGAGAAAATGAAATGTCTACAGTCGATACTTACTGATGAGACTTAAAATTTAGAAAAATGAGCCTTTCATTTCTATAAAGTGTCTGAATACTTGTAGAGAGATACTAATATTACAAAGTTTACAATTATATCTTACCTGACATTACCTAACGGCACTCATGTGCATACATGGTGCCGGACTTTAATTACTTATAATTATAATGGTGATGTCTATCTTAAATGTTGATTGTTTTCGGTACAATGAAATCACATCACAGTGAGCGTGATAAATGTAGAAAAATGTTATATTAATTGACTCAAATGCAACACTTCACTCTACATTAGGTCACGGAAAAACGTTACATTTCCCTCTACTTTAGGTCCTGGAAAACGTTACATTTCACACTACATAAGGTTACGGAAAAACGTTACATTTCACTCTACATTAGGTCCTGAAAAACGTTACATTTCACTCTACATTAGGTCACGGAAAAACTTTACATTTCACTCTATATTAGGTCATGAAAAAACTTTTCGTCGCGAAATACAGCGGTGTTTTACCTCTAACAATGGTTTTATTGAATATTATAGTATAACATGTACATATAAACTGTGCTATTAAGAAAAAGGAATTATGTTCAACTATATTTTGTATTTTGAATTAATTTAAAATCAACATAAACACTTACCCATACACAGCTCTTGCCACAAACATAATCCAGTAACTATTCAATAAAGCTCCCATTGAAAACAGACCCTGTAGGTTAAAGGATAAATCTTTAAAAACAGTGATATAAAACTTATATAAGTATTCTAAACAAGAAAATCTAATTATTTACAAACAATTGACTTACTAGCAGACAGCACAGTTGATATCTGGAATTTAACTTAATACGATTTCTAGTACGTCTGCAAGATATTACACAGTCAAGAAGAAGTCAAGACAAAGAAAGCTTTAAATATACTTAACAGAAGATATGTAGATTTACATAGATGAGTTCGTGTTTACAGTAAAGAATAGCTTCTTTCACAATAATGCAAAAATGTGTAATGTTCGAGAGACGGTGTCCATCTGAACACATTGTACTTATCTTACATGAGCACACGTGACTGCAATTGAAAACATTGTAATTCCAATTCTGTTTCCGAATACCCTATCTATTAAAAAGCCGCCAAATAAACATGACACAATACTAGTCCATTGTATATTTGAGTAAAATGACATATATTTTGTCTCTGATATTTTAAGATCTTCCAAGAAATGATTTTGTAAAGCAGCTGGACTGTCGGTACAGAAGTAATCTCCTGCAATATATAAAGAAGAAAAAACGACGCAACTAAAAATCAACAAGGCAAAGGACAAAGCCCCTGACACACCAAATTACCTAAATAACGTCTAAACGGCATTATAGAAAATATTGCAGACTCGTTGTAAACTGGTTTAAGCCGGTGCTAGGGGGCATGGACGTTAGCTTTCATGCTGAATCAAACCGAGCCTGCAACATTTTCAATTTGTGGTTTTAGATGTTCTTTAGGGATATCGTTTTCTTTTTTCTCTTTTTGATTTAGCCTAATTCAATTAAACGGTAAATAACGTATTTCCATGTTTGTGAATTTATTAATCAGTTTTAAATTAGCATTTTTATCATTTAATTCAAAATCAAAAGATGAAACATGGTTAAATTGTGGTATTTGATTACTGTGTTATAAAAGAAACGTGAATGATAACCTACCTACACCAATCAAACATATAAATACTAAAAGTATATATAGATGAAATCTAGACTTTGGATCACATGATAAACACATTTTTGAATGTCTTCCAGTTTCTTTCTCGCCTAATAAAGCTTGGCTTTCTTCCTTCATAATTCTTATTGCTTATAGTTGTCAATTTTTTCATTAACTATTTCTGCCATCTAGGTAATAGTTTGTATTTCCTTTGTTGTTTTCCGTTTCATCTCTTTGTCTTTTTGTGTTTTATTATTATTATTATTATTATTATTATTATTATTATTATTATTATATTCCTATTTGTTCATAACCAAAACAGACTATTTTGTTGTGTATTCTCTTAAAATTCCTCACTTTTTCACTAAAACGTTTTACTTAAATTTAACTGTAAATCAAAAAGATAGTTGACATTTGAATGACCTCTTTAATAAGTGATAACTTAAATGATAGCATGTATGGTACAGATGAAATTGTTATAAATATTATCGAACTAGGTCAACATAATCTATAAATGTAAACTTCTAAATATTAATCTTTTGAAACAATAGTTATTGCTCATTTATCATAATTTTGTTTTTAAAAAACAGAATGTCAAATAATTGTATATGGACATACTATCAAAGGTTATCTACTTTAAAAATGTATTTTGAGAACACTAAGTTTGTTCGCAAATACCTTCTCTTTGTATGGCTTTATGTGGTAAAAGGGGTAACCTATGCATTTTATAAGGTCTTGCGAACACTATGGCTGTCTGTTTACTGTGTTCTGTAACCTGGAAATGACGGTTCTGGTAGTTAAGGAGAACCAATGGATCTCCAGTGCCCTTGAATATTTCTCGCTCGCTCTCTCAAATGTGAGCAGAGATTATTTATATATATATATTTTTTTTTAGCAGAACTTGCTCATTGCTACAAATAACGTCTGCATTTAAGCTACATGCCTCCAGATGAGTCAAAATGTTCCAAGAAAATCAAACTTGAGAACAATGTACTAAGATGTAAGGAAAGTAAAAGTTCCAATATTCAAATAATACATGTATTTACACATTATTTTGCCATTAATGACTGATTTTTCATTATTTACAACAATATTTCTACTACACAGTAAAGGCTATTGATGCATATTTTGACAACTTTTTGGTAATTTACGTGGTTTGTAAGTGCCATGATTGTTAATGTGTAAATTGCTTCCTTTTGGTTACCTTACAATATTTTACATTCAAATGCATTTCCAAAATGTTCATGAAAATTAGCATGAATCTGGATGCACGCTTTAAGTAGCGTCTCTGCTTCTACAGTTTGAAAAATATTATGACATTATGCACTGATTGGAAAAACATAATAAGCGCAACGATTTTGGAAATACGTTTCTTTTATTTTAATAATTCCGCTGTGTACACATTTATTATTCATATATGTGTAACACATTACTGTGCCATAAATGCTCGTACCGTAACGCCTAAATAATGTGATAATCAAGTTACATATTGCTACTTTGGTTCCATACACTGATTAAATGGTTTCATATATTGAAAAAATGAATTAATATATTGATATTCATATTAATTTTGCATTTTGTTTAAATCGGTACCAGCGGGTGGAAGGTATTTTGCATTTTCTAGTACTGTCCATTAACATCTTTTAGTTTTGTCGTTTTAAACGTTCTAAAGCGATTTTATTTATGTCTATTTTTCAAACTTATGCGATTGAATTAAACTCGACCTGCCACTACAAATGATTGCCTTTCACTAGCAACAGTGACATTTGTAGAATAGACATTCAAAATTAAAATTGCACGTGAACTAAGGAGACATATCAATAAGTTGTAAAGAGTGTTGACACATTACTTTGTGCAGTATAGAACATTCGTCTATTGACAAGATATCACAAAAACTACTGAGGCCCTTAGAAATGCGTAAATAAACGTCTGAAGGAAATTCAATCTTCAGAGAAATAAAGAAGCTTTTAAATAAAATACTAAAACCACTCAATAGCTGCTGTAAAATGCATTAGAAAAGACACAGTATTGCACCACATTCTCCAAAAAAATAGAAACTGTTTATTGAATATTAAACTTGCACAGATTTAAAAATGGTTTCAAATTCAGTTATCATATCATGATTGACATTTTAAGTGTCAAATACTGCTGTAGTTTAACATAATTGATGTTTAAGGGCTAGGTTCACGAAACATGTGAATTGGCCCAGCAAATTAGTAAAATATAAAGATTGCAATAAAACAAAACAAATAACATATCTCGCAGGCATGATACTTATTCATTCTAAGCATGGTCTAAAATTTTATTTAAATTCATTTCTGGAAGGAGTAAAATACGAAATAAAAACACCTATGTCGAATATTTCACGTGTTTTCGTCATTTTCGCCATATCTTTCAACGGAAAAAAATATGAAGGCATTTTCCCGACACTTGGATATTTCAAACATACTTTACTTTAATATCAACTAATTGGCACTCAAAATTTCAAGGTGTCGAAATAGTGCCTTCATTCTTAATTTTTATGTAATATACTTAGCAGATGGTCAAAGTTACGAGTGACTCGGGGTCGAATTACAAGCTTTTGTTTGCAGGCTTTCCTTTCATTAATTGATTGCTATTGTATTTGTAAATTTTATTTGAATAAAATAAAATAAATGACAGTGGCATTAATGATATTTTCATTACTCACTCGCATGAATCTTGAAGTTTGACAATTGAATTCCGTGTAAACTTGTTATGCGTTAGAAGTGTAGTCTACACGACGCAAGGGGCGCTACTCTTACTGACAGTTCATCGTTATAAACAACGTGCACATTTTCATTGTTACGCAGCAATTTGTTGAATTACTTGACATATGTAGACATGTAAAGGTATGTTGAACATATTCTTTATAAAATTCATGTTTCTTTTTCGTTCGCTGTGCCATTTTAATTTGATTTTCTTCATTAAAAGTGTTGATCTGCTTGCACTTGCAGACGATAAGCCTAATTCTCGTCCGTTAAATATGACTTGGGATAAAACCACGAAATAATGTTATACAGTCGGAATAGATATTTGTGATCAATAACAATCTATGAAATACATTATCGGCTGTAAAATAAATTATGGGTGAATTAATTTCAACAAAACACGGTAGAATAATTATATAGTTATAATTATCTTCCTCAGGTTATCGAAAGTCTTCATGGCGCAGTGGTTGTAACGATGGCATGGCATGTGAAAGGGTCAGAGTTCGAAACCTAGATGAGGTACAATTTTTTTTCTTCCTTCCTTTTTTTTTTTTTTTTTTTTTAATTGTTGTCATACTAGATTTAATATTTCAAAGCTCCTATTCAAATAATATTTTCATAATTTCTACAAGAGAAATAGTGTTGATAAACTGGTAACCAAAGAAATACTACTTGTAACAGTTGCAATCAATTATTTTTAACTTATCTTTTTAATTGATAATGGAGAAATTTTAAACATAGATCTCTTTCATTAAACTAGATGCATCAATTGAATCTGAATTTATTTAATTTAATTCTATAATGTTTATATTCTATTCTAGGATGGCTCCAACTCCATGCGTTTTGTGTGGGAAAAGACTAAAGATACATCAAAGGAGGCCTGTGAATCCATATCTTATCCGGTATCTCAGAAAAACGTTCATGCTTGAAACTTCAAAATCTGACTACATATGTGGAAAATGTAGCCGACCGGCATATCCTTCTCAGCATAACCAAAGACCTATAATATCAGCATGTCCTGTTCCTGTCACAGCAGAAAAGAATGATATTCAACAATTGCCAAGTCCACCATCGGTTTCTTTGAGCTTAAAAACAATTTCAAAAAGTCATTCATACTGTTTCATTTGTAAGAAAGTAGGATCTAAATTAATTGTTGTTCCATCAAAACTTAGAACAGAAACACTTGTGAAGCATAATATCCTCATAACAGCTGACAGTAGGTGTTGCCCTGCTCACCTGAATAATAATCGTAATGGTTTCCAAGCAAATGTTTTAGATAACGTAAAAACATTAGAGTCTGTTTTATTAAACCGGACTACAATTGTGAATGTTATAAATAATGTCAGACAGTGTATACTTAATTCATCGTCTAATAGAATGTCATTTGACAATATTGATACATTTTCAAATGACGATTTGTGCAATCTTACAGGTTTGAACAAAGAACAGTTCTTAGATTTATGCTCTATTACTGAAGAACATGTTAGAAATACGCCAGTTAGAAGCAACATTACTACACTGGGTATATTTATGTTTAAACTTAAGTCTGGATTATCAAACAAAATTCTTTCAACACTTTTTGATGTATCTAAATCAAGCATAAGAAGAGCAGTACATACAATCAGAAAAGTGCTTGTTTCTGAACTTGTTCCTAAATATCTTGGCTTCCAGCACATATCAAGAGAAGAAATTATAAAAAGCCATACTCGTTCCCTATCACAGTCACTACTTGCAGAAAATGCCAGCCAAGCTATAATTGTTTTAGATGGAACATACATATATATTAGAAAAAGTACAAACTTCAAATTCCAAAGACGTTCTTATAGTGTACATAAAGGGCGGCCACTTGTTAAACCTATGGTAATAGTCAGCACCACTGGATACTTTATTTCCGTATTAGGACCATATCTTGCGGATTCTAAAAATAGTGATTCAGGAATTTTAAACCATGCAGTAAGGAATAACATAGAGGAAATCAAAAATTGGGCTCAGCCAAATGATATATTTGTTGTTGACCGTGGATTTCGTGACTCCCTGCAAGTGCTGGAGGAGATGGGAATAAAAGCACAAATGCCAAAGTTCATGCCGAAAGGTGCCAAACAATTAACAACCATGGACGCTAACCACAGTCGGTTAGTAACAAAGGTATATATGATTTATCGTTTACCACATTATTTTCTTAAATGAACTTAAAGGGACTCCACTGAGTTTTTTTGACATGATGGGACTGAAAATATTTTTTCCAGATAAATGTACCAATTGATATAGGTGTAGACCATGAATCTTTGTGCAACCGTTTAGATCATTTGCTCACTTGGTTTTTCCATAATAATTATTCAAATTGTAAAAAAATGACCCAAAATGAAAAGCGTTTAAACGCTTTCACTCAAATTAGACTTTAAAGAAAAAGCATAAAACTACAATTTTCGATTTATTTTAAAGTATATTTCTTAACTATCTTTGCATATATTTCTGTTTAAAGCGCCCCAGTTAAATTATGTAAGAAATTCTAATGTTATGTTTTAGGCTTTTAAACCTCAGTGGAGTCCCTTTAACTGTCAAAGTGTTAGTCTGATCATTAAATTTTGCTTATATTTTCTTTAATTATTTTATCTTAAATTATTTATCGAAACTATTCATACTTGAACAAAATAACAAGTGTGACTAGACAGACATGTAAAAAAAAGGAAGACCCTTTTTTTCTTTTTTAGATTTGTTTTTACTGTTTTTTTGCCATTAGAAAAAGTAAAAAAGTCGAGCGTTGCCCCCACTCTGCGGTGGCTCTTTTTATGATATCCAACTTTCTTTAGAATAAATACACCAATTCAATTGATTTGCAATTTTTTATCACATATGTGTTTCTAATAATTGATATATATTTTTTGTTTTTTTTTCTCAGGTCAGATGGGTAGTTGAAGCATCAAATGCTCGAATAAAGAGATGGAAGTATCTTGACCATGTATTGCCTACCAATCAAGTTCCGTACATTGGTGATTATGTCCGCATTATTTGTGCCACATGTAACAAATACCTTTCACCTCTAAATGCAACCAAAGATTTGATGGATGACACACTTGTAGCAGAGAGAATGAGAGATAAAATCCAGAATGTTAACCACTTACAATCGTATGTTCAAGAAAATGAACTGTATAAGCGAAATATTTCAAAATGGCAAGCAGTGCAAGAAATTGACAATTTCCCCTCCATAGATGATTTTACTCTTAGTCTTTTGACTCTTGGTACCTACCAAATGAAACTTTGCCAGTCATATGCACAAGAGTACCTTGATGGAGATTGTGATATTTTGGTGTATAAAGAATCAAAAGACTTGTTGAGGGTAAGGCTTCAAAGTCGTCATGTATCGTCCAAGTCTTATTTTGTTTGGATTCAGTATGATTCAGACCATGTCAAGGCTTGGTACTGCCAGTGCAAGGCTGGTGCACGGACAGTTGGAACATGTTCACATGTGGCTGCGGTGATTTGGTATCTAGGCACATCTAGGCAGCAGTCTGACAGGTACGGAGTACAAGACTGGACTCAATACCTTGATGATGCTGCCGAGATGCCGCAGCCAATAGATTCATCTGACTCGGAAGACAGTATTGTAGAGGAATAATAAGTAAAGGGAATCATACCAGTAATATTGTCAGACTTGTTATTTATATACATAACATTTGTAGAAGTGATGTATCCAATGATTGTTTCATTTAATTAAGTCTGCAAGTGAAAGGTTATGAAGATAAAAGACATTGTTACTTAATTACTCATAAATGAACATGAATGTTTTTGTTGCCATTTTATGAATCATTTTTGTAATCTGCATATTTTCATTTTAAAGACTGATTCATGTAATCATAGATGTGCAGACTTCCTCTTTTTTAAGTGATAATGCCCATATAGTACATTGTATGGTACCCAGAAATTCCTGTTTGTTTCAAACATATTAAAAAAATGATGAACATATGAAGTTATAAAAAGGAATATGTGTTGACCATACATAACATGCAATTATATTTATTGTACAAGTAACTATAATGGAAATTATGTATTTATTCTTTTTTACATTTTGTATATTCAAAGCAGATCTATTTATATGAAACCTTATTATCTAAAACTTTAAGAATGGTTGCTATGGAGATTATGATTGAATTTCATTTCAAAACATAATTATTGATGTTAATATACATGTAGTTTTTTATACACTACATAAAATATTGTTAAGGTAAGATTGTTAATAGTGGTTGCTACAGAGATTATGATTGAATTTCAATTCAAAACATAATTAATATACATGTAGTTTCTGTACACTACATAAACTGTTGTAACAGTTTTCAATTTATGATACCATTTAGCTAAGAATATTAATAATTGTTGCTATATAGATTATAACTGAATTTCAATTACAAACATAATTATTTATGTTGATATACATGTAGTGTTTCTGTACACTACATAAACTGTTGTTAAGCTAAGATTGTTAATAGTGGTTGCTAAAGAGATTATGATTGAATTTCAATTGAAAACATAATTATTTATGTTGATATACATGTAGTGTTTCTGTACACTACATAAACTGTTGTTAAGCTAGAATGTTAATAGTGGTTGCTAGAGAGATTATAATTGAATTTCAATTGAAAACATAATTATTTATGTTGATATACATGTAGTGTTTCTGTACACTACATAAACTGTTGTTAAGCTAAGATTGTTAATAGTGGTTGCTAGAGAGATTATGATTGAATTTCAATTGAAAACATAATTATTTATGTTGATATACATGTAGTGTTTCTGTACACTACATAAACTGTTGTTAAGCTAAGATTGTTAATAGTGGTTGCTAGAGAGATTATAATTGAATTTTAATTGAAAACATAATTATTTATGTTGATATACATGTAGTGTTTATGTACACCACATAAACTGTTGTTAAGCTAAGATTGTTAATAGTGGTTGCTAGAGAGATTATAATTGAATTTCAATTGAAAACATAATTATTTATGTTGATATACATGTAGTGTTTCTGTACACTACATAAACTGTTGTTAAGCTAAGATTGTTAATAGTGGTTGCTAGAGAGATTATAATTGAATTTCAATTGAAAACATAATTACTTATGTTGATATACATGTAGTGTTTCTGTACACTACATAAACTGTTGTTAAGCTAGAATGTTAATAGTGGTTGCTAGAGAGATTATAATTGAATTTCAATTCAAAACATAATTATTTACTTTAATATACATGTAGTTTTTTTTTGTACACTGCAAAAACTGACATTTTCAATTAATGATACAATTTAGTTAAGCATGTTAAGAAAAGTTGTTATGGTGATTATCATTGAATTTGAATTCAAAACATAATAATTAATGTAATACACATGTAGTTTTTTTGTACATTGCAAAAACTGACATTTTCAATATTTGATACAATTTACCTAAACATGAAAAGAATGGTTGCTGTGGAGATTAAAATTGAATTTCAATGTGAGAAACTAACAACATATTCTTATCTAAAAAGTTAAGGCAAGTTTTACAAATATATGGAACAAATGTTAGTCATTAAATGAGAAATATACATGCAATTAAATATAGAAAAAGCGATTTTAAGAATGTTGTTTAGCGTTGCTATGGCAACAGGGATTATGTATTTACATTTAACATTCTATAATTTCAGTACATGACTATTTATGTTGATATAGATTTTGTATGTTGACATTTTAATGCTCAATATACTGAAGTTTTCAGTATATGATACCATTTAGCTAATTATTTTTAGAATGGTTGCTATGGAGATTATAATTGAATTTCATTGTAAGAAACTAACAAAATATTTGATTTTACAAACTTTAATGCAAGTTTTACAAATAAATGAAACAAATGTTAATCTTTCAATCAGAAATGTACCTAAATGGAGAAAAAAGATAATTTTAAGTATTCTGTTTTGCGTTGCCATGGAAACAAAAATATAGTTTTGAAAACAAAAATTTGTATGTTTTACTTTTAAGCCTTCCCTGGACAATCATATTACAAAGTTTGAAGAGTTTCGATGATAGGGCAATTTTCAGTACTTCGTGAACCTATTATTTCATAATCGTAAAAATTGACTGAATATCAAGTTCTTACGAAATGGAGTTGTATGTAGGTGTGTTTATGTTTTGTTCTTTTGTTGTTTTTCGTTGTTTTTTGTTTTTTTTTCGTTGTTTTTTGTTGTTTATTTTGTTTTTGTTTTGTTTTTGTCATATAAATCATGTTCTATGAATTTACAGAATAAACGACAAAGGTCATCTTCATTCTTCAATATGTAAGCCAGGTCGTCTTTCTCACAATTGACCTTTTAAAAGGGTCTTGTAAAACCATAGTGCTTCTTTTTAGGAAAATCTTATTTCAAAAATGTTCAAATTGAATATTATTTTTTATAATATTTTTTACAGAATAAACGACAAAGGTCATCTTCATTCTTCAATATGTTGCCAGGTCGTCTTTCTCACAATTGACCTTTTAAAAGGGTCTTGTAAAAAATACTTTTGGAAAGTCTCATACATACAAAGATACATATACGCACGCATGGACGCACGCACGCAAACACACACACAAACAGACACACACACACACGCACGCACGCACGCAAACGCACATACACACACACACACACACACACACACATACACACACATACATACATACATACATACATACATTGAACAAAGATAGGTATCCTTTTTCTTTCTTTAAATCGATAGGGTTTTTTGGATAGTTCAAAAAATCATACTTAAAACTAATGAATTTGCTATAAAGTAAATCATTTATATGGCTGACAACTTAAAAAGTATTTACAATTATTTTGTCGTCTAATAGTAGCGGGATTTCAATCATCCGTCTACCTATTTTGTTATGTCACTTAACGTATTTTCATTGTTTTAATTGTTTTAAAGTTTTTGTTGTCTGTTTCACTTTCGAAATTTTCTGTTCTTTTTTTTTCTTGTCAGATTGTGGTATTTCATTGTTGCTATTGTTTAAGAGCTGTTGGATGTTCTGTTAAGTTCTTTGTTCTGTAACGTACTTATGTATGTTCCGTGTTTGCTGTATGCATTTGTTCTCATATTCCATTGTTACGTATTCTGTTATCAGTCATCGCCTCCATTCTTTTATATTTGGTCGTCCTCTCCGTTCTTATAATTTGATTAAACAGAAAATACAACAAAATAATGAAAATAATTAATAGAATAAATGCCATTTTCTAAGATAAACCTGTTATATATTCACCTGTCTCTACTGTTTCAAAAGGACAGGGAAAATTTGCTGGGAAAATTTCCTTAATTTTAGTTGACAAGATTCGTAAGCATTTTGGCTTTACCCATCACACAGAACATATTATATTTATGAAATATAAAAAGATTTTTCACTAAGCATATGTCATAAAACATTAAAACTAACAATTTGACACTTTTATAAAGTACGTATTGAATACTACCTTCTACACAATAGTTTGTCATTTTCCACAAGTCTTAAATCAAAAACAATGATTCAATTTCAGCATTAACAATTTTCATTACTATTCCTTACATTGGCGTGCATACATTTGAAATTTTACAGTCATGTATGCAAATCAATATACATAGAAGAAAGACAAAACTAAAATGTATGAATAAGAATGCAGTCAACATACACAGATTAATAACATTCGGCTATAAACACGACACATATAGTTTTGACGGATATTCACCTGCATATACATAGGTTAAAATCATTTAGAGTTCTTTTATATATATTAAAAGCTAGTGTACATAAGTGCAGAATAAAAACAGAAAACAACTTACTTTCATAGATTGTGATACTGCTATAATGTCGAAAGATGTTTGGGTTTCAAAAGTTCTGTTGATACTGCTAATGTTTAAAGTGAAAGTGAAATTTACATACAACCAAATACCTACTCCAGACAATATTTCTACCTTGAACATTATCAGTATCAACAATACCTTTTGTAACCCAAATGTCACACGAAATTAAAGCTATATCTTAATCTATAAAAGTCGTTTCCTGTCTGAATTCTGTACTTCAGTACAAATATAGAAAAAGGAATTAACAGAATGACACGATTCAGAACTGTTCACTATTTAGGAGAGAAAATATGCAGCCTGACGGGGACTGTATTAATGCACTTTGATAAATATATTTCTATAGTTTACGCTAGAGAAAAAAGGCGCCAAATGTGATAGTGTGAGAAAAGTGTGAAACTAGACTGGGACTCGAACCCTGGACCCTCGAAATACCGTACCACTGCTCTCCCGACTGAGCTTTCCGACCGTTTACACGTTAACTCCCCTAAAAAGTGTACAATTCTGAACCATAACATAAATGTTGGGTAAACTTGTTGTAAAATTACTAACTTTTCTGTAAATAAGTTTACTTTTATCCTTTTTAAAAGGTTACAATTACATTCTGCTTTATATATTTTATCAAATGTGTCATTTTCATTTAAGACGGTGCGTAACAATACAATAATATTTAGCTGTATTCGGATGTATTCGGGTATTGACAAGTCGCATTACGCATTTAATGAAATTATGTATACAAGTGTTTCATAAATGAAATAAAATTGAAAATTATGTTGAGAGTGTGAGATAACATTTTGTGATGCCATTTCGTTTCTCTAAATATGCTAACTAAACACTCCTAAAATTCTGTTGCTTAGCAAATTATTAATCACCAAGGATATATTTTGGAAACTAACAAATGCACTAGCACTTAAAATTGAAATTAAACGATGTTTGGAGGTCGTTAACATGTGTTTTACTTAAACACTCATTGAATTCTCTGATGTACTCAAAGAAGTTACTTAAACGGAATAACTCACACAAATCAATACTCAAAGTTTTTCTATTAAACTTCGCCCCCGCTATTCTAACTTGTTAATTTTTGACTTTTCGCTTGGCGGGGTCTCGGGGCGAAAACATGGATGGTACAAATCAGCAACCATATGTATATAACATGAATGTCAATTTTAAACTATCTTTAGTTATTGAAAGTCCCTACTCTGACCTTAATTGAATAATTTTAATAGATTTAACCAAAAATATTAGACTGTGCATTTTTGTAACAAAAACGTTGTAGTGAAATTCTTATTGTTATCCGCTCACCTGTTTTATAGAATTATACAGGTACGGGATATATGTATTGGGTCGGTGTTAAAAACTATTACGTCACAGTTGTTGAAATGCGGTGACATAGTGTTGTAAGAGGAATATAAATTTTAAGAACCGTATCTTATAGGGGATCAGTCTTTAAAAATAAGGTTAGCCAGAGTTATCGTTCTGCAACTATATGAACATCGAATCAGTTATGTCTGCAGCAATGACATAACAAATTACATGAACTGCATACTCGGTTTGATTGAGTCTGTACAATAGGGATAATAAAAAAGGGCAACATCCCTAACACCCAACTGGCACCGGCTTGAGCGATATTCAATTTTAAACACTTAAGTGCTGAAATCAATTATCCCGAAGGACCAGAAAAATATAGCAACACTGAGGTGAAGTACGGGGAAAATTTCGACGGCTGCCACACGGCACATGACTCCTGTTGTTGTGATGTTTAAATATCTGAAAAAAGTGATCCCTCGGAAGCATTAAAATGGGCAAAATTACATGAAAATTGCAGCCTCTAATGAAAATGTGCAAAATCACTCAAACGCTCTGACATCGACTTGAGCAGTGTTTAATTTTTAACACTTCAAAAGCTGGAATCAATTATTCTGAAGGACCAGAAAAATATATATGTCTTGGGCATACTGTTAACAACAATTAGTATGATTTTAAATGATTTGTCTGTATATCGTGTGTAACAACAAGCAAATTATGAAGAAAGGAAACATTATGCATAACATACAGAACAATAAGCATTCGTCAAGAATAAGCAATTATACGAAAAAAGATCTTTTAACATGCAGATAATTCTTGATTTAGCATGTCGCATAAAAGACAGATAGACCAATACAATAAATTGTAGCAGTACATTTTAAAAAACTCAAAATAAATTATAAAAAAAGTTAAAGCGTCTTGTTCAGGTGCGTTTGACTTATGCGTTTTCCGGCGAATTCTCAGAGTCATCATTTTGTACCTTCTTTAAGAATTTATTTACAGCAAACAAAACTTTCCAATGGTCAACATTCGTTAATCCAAATCCAGCTTCAGCTTTTGTCAACACTGAAACATCGTCAACAGAAACTGTTTCATCATTTACAAGTGATTTGTTAACATGTTTAACTAGATTTCCGATTGAAGATTTGTTCATTTTGTATTGTTTGGCGAAACGCTCTTGCACTTGTTTCACATAATCCAGATAACTTTTCCTGTAAACTCGAATTGTTGGATTATTATGTAAAGTGTAAAGCAAATACCAATTAGTTCGAGCCCTTGTCCTCGCCTGTATCGATAATCCATTTGCCTCTGAAATCAAATTTAATATTGACATTCCCATTTACGTTTATTAAAAGGAAGAAAGATCGAATAGACAAAAAGGAAATATAAGTAAAAGATAAGTAATAAATAATCAGCGGTAGAAGTTACACACCCTATCAAAATTATATTAGCTAATAAAACACAATCAGCAATATTTCTCACAGAAACACAACTTTCTATTTACGATAAATATATCAATTTTGAATTACTCACAAGAATATGTATATTTAATATTTTCTTCCAACATTTGTATGTGCCCTACTACAAATATTGACGACAAATGCATTTAAAAATTTTCATCTAGATCTCAGTTGAAATTGATACAACTGTAATACACAGAATAATGTGTGCGTATAGGCAACGCTATATATCATTCAACAAGATATAAATAAATAAGTACCTATGTCAACAGTTTTTTTCATTTTCACCTCAGTTTGTCTATGCTTTTCAGTGTTTTCCATGAGTATTCGAAGGAACATTATCATCACTGGGTTCGTATGGGAACATTCCGTATGAATAAATCCACAATAATTGGCAAACCCTTTAATACAGATATATGCAAGTCAAACCTTCGGTTATGGACACAAACAAAACCAAATTACAATTGATTAAATATGATTTCTTTGCACGATAAACTTATATATAACTAAACTTATATCACATGGTTTCTTATTTCACATGGTTTTTAGATCAGCAATAAGATACAGACATAGTTATTATAGACTCAATTTCGGAGATCATTTGTCCCAGAGAAGAATTTTCACCTATCCCTTATATCAAACCAACCATCCCTTAATACAACCTCAAACCAAAATAATAATCACAAAAAATAATATCACAAAAATAACTGAAAATAACAAAATTAAATCAATAGACAGTACTATGATAATAATATCAAGTGAAAATGTAATATCTGCTAAAAAATACGATCTGTATAAAATCCAACGTAAGGTATCTCTTGAATATGTGTTAATTCATTTAATTTAAGGTAGTACTTTTGAGGTTAGTTGACAAACTACTTCGTCGATTTTGTGTTATTCCGTTTCTGTCAGTGGTTAATATAAAGGTGCAAATTTATTTTCATGATTATTGCGTTTCTAAGGGTGAATGTTTAATCATCAACACAAAACACAAAGCTGTCATCAGAAGAAATCATTGATCTAATAGAAACATTTTGTCGTTACGATGGGTATAAACTTAAAACAACTTACCTGGATCTAGCATTTGAAATCGCCTTGGTAAGGGACTTATATCTAGCCGAGGCAAAAATATGGTGCCTATTATGATTGATTTTATTATCCGCAGCATACATGACAATATTCCAATAAAAATGTTGTAAAAGAACATGAAGAAGGAAAAACTAAATAGCATACGTCTGAAAAAGAAAACTCATTTGTAAGATATAAGTCAAGTAGTGCAATATGTAAAAAAAACGCATCAATAGTTCTTTATTAAAATGGTTTTGAAATGTTTTTAGAAATTTGAAACGATAAACATTATAACACGAATACTATTTGGCCACTAACTTGTTTTCACCACAACGATTGGGTTAATAAGTTTCATCGGTGAAAAATTACCATTGGGATTTTAAAACTTTAATTATTCTCGATCGTGAAAATATTTTAAAATAACCAGGAAACTATATCAGAATATGCAATGCTCATTAATAACCAAATGCCGTCGGACAAAGTCTGGAAATATTAATCAACGGTCGCGGATAATGTTTTAACACTGTATGTAATAAAAGGATTAAAGTTCCTTCTACTCGTGTAAAACCAACGAGTTTAGCATCAATTACCCATTCTCTATTGCCTGTCACCTGGGCCGTTTTTCAAGAAAAAAAATAATCACAAAACCGTATAACTAACACTATCAGGAAAATAGTCATCAATACTGTGGGCCTAAAACATTTAAAGATATGCAGCTGTGGTTATTTATTCAAATTTAACTGTGTACCGTTCTTCTGCTATATTTACAGAATTGTTTGCAATTTTATAATTTTATTACAAATGATATGTTGATACAACCCTTAAAATTGGTAAAAACATTTTATTCAGGGGAGAGTCTTGATAATTTAAAAATGAAGGCCTATATAATAACTAGCGTAGACATTCGGCCACTTTGAACAAGATTTATGCACCGCCTATACAAAATATTAGGTAATAACTAGGAAAAAGACAGGTATGCCTGTTATTTAGTGCGCTATATGTTTATTTCTTTATAATTCCATATTAGTGCCATTAAACGCTAAATCAAGAGGTGGATCTGAATAACCTGTGTCATCAGATACTATAAGAATTAGTGTAAATAATTCAGAAACACAGGTATGTTAATATTTCATATTTTTTTCAAATCAAAATAGTACAAAAAGGTATACTGCTGAAATAATAATCTATCTCAAGGACCAGTAATATAGCAAAATAAATAGTGAAACATACCAAATACCCGACAACAATGATAGAATCCAATCGTAATAGCCGTACCGAATCATCCAGATAATAATACACAATATAAGAGATAGGATGATCAAAATAATTAGATGAATAACAAATCCTGAAAATATAATGTGTTTGTAAAGAGATATTTTACATTGTCAAAATATGTAGTATTAATTTAGCAGCGATTAATTAACGCATGTATATTGATTAGATAGTGCAATATGCTGTGCAATAGCTGTACACTTTATATACAAAAAATGCGAGAATTTACTTCTATACACAGGTACACACTTGACTATATGTAATAAAAGGCCTGTTTGTTTGTTTGTCCAAACACAATTCGATGTTTTAAATGTATGAAAATGTTCATACTAGGTGTTCATGTAAGCAAGTAACATGACATTTTCACTGTAATATAATTTTACAAAATGCAGAATATATTACAAAGAGAGAGAGAGAGAGAAATGGAAACTATTTTTAAATAGTTGTTAATTCAATTTGTTAAAATGATATGCTGGTTATTTCATTATCTTTCATATGTAATTTAATAGAATTTATTACCCCATGTTATATATGCAACTTGGTATCCGGCAAACTTGATACTTCCAACCTTAAAATAAAATATGTCTTTCAGTTTCACATTTGACATTTAGCGTAGTGTTTAAATTGCAAACATAATAAAACTTGTTATATCAAAGGTAGGTTCAACGTACATGTAAATGAAGTATTCAAACCATTATTAAAAAAGTTCTCTCAAGTAACAAGAGTAGTTACTTTGTCAACACTGTTTGTTTACGGAGGTACCCTGAACTCTTGATAATGTCCATGCCTAAATATCTAATAAAATCGGACTTAAACCACAAAATAGAATAAATTTACTTTTATAATCAACATAGTCTAACAATATACATTTTAATTTAAATATAGTTAAATATAGTACATTGGCAATTATACCATGGTTAAGGAATACTCGACTAATTGTTAATCGACCTTATAAATGAAGTATAGGCACAATTGAATTACAAAACAGAAACTTCATCCCGAAGTCCCTAACAGAACAGTGTGAAAATTTTAATATCCTTCGAATTCTACATCTTTTCTTACTTTTCGCATTCCTAAACCTAAACATGTACAGATAGCTTTAAAAGTGACAAAGAAAAATAATAGTATCCACATCAGTAGTATGCATTTCATCTAATAGTATATTCAATTGCAATTAGTGTTTTCTTCATTTGTATTTGATTAATTTATACATACAAAACTTATGCCGTTAGAACAATAACATCGTTACTTTATGTCTTAATTCTGATGTTTGTTTTATGTTTCTTACGTATCAATCAATGTGTCCTGTTTGATATGCATGTATTTATATTCCCCTCGAATTACAACTGATAAATTATTACAGCATTTGATTAATATCTTATTACTATGTCCTGCTTTATCTCATATATCAGGTGAGGAATTAACTTAAAATCATTGACTTTCTCTGCACTCCTGTTTCTATATTGTAATGCAATTTGTATATGTACATAATCCAAGGCATAAAATATTGTTTACATTAAAAAACAGGTATTTACAAAAATTTACAGGGGTCGTTTAAGACAGAGAGACTGACTGGAATAAATAAATTCATTACTACTTTAAAATGCTCGATTAAACCGAGAACAATTGATAAATTGTCAAGGAAGTAATGTTTTTATTTTTGCTACTGTTACAGTTACAATAAATTATGTATATGTTTCGTTACTTTTTATTTCAGTTTTATTGTTTTTGTCATCACTATTATTAGACACATTAATCACGATAGCAAAAGTAAAATTACCAGTAGATTTTTGTTTTCCAGAGTCGATCTTGGAGGTATATTGTTATGAATTCGTTTGTAAAGGTCAAACAAATTCGTTCTGAAATGAAAACCGGAAAGAAGTCAGGTTTATAAACTGAAAGGGTTTAGTATTGTTGTTCATTTTCGAGTGTAATCAATTATATTTGTTGACAGTTTGATGTTAAAATTTGACGTCAAGATATATAGTAACTCTCAGCAAAAATATGACAGGGATCATGCAAGATTACTTTTATATAAAACTGTTTTCGTTTTTATTTCTTTATTAAAATATGTTCGCTTGTTTTATCATAATGAACTAGGTATGAATACTGATGCTTTTATATCATACTTGCTGCAATAAAACAGTTTAAAAACCAATGGCTACAACAAGTTGTTTAATAAATCTTTATTTTTAAAGACTAATAGAGAAACAATAAAATTGGTGCATATACATTTATGTATATATGGACAAATGGAAATGAATTTATTTTAGATATTGTCTTACCTGTACGATGACATCATATGTAAAATTGTGAAGATATTTCCGATATATGCCGCACAAATTGAACAAATGAAACAAACTGAAATGTAAAATGAGGGGCTGTTTTTAAGAAACATTCTATTGAACGTGTATAAAGCTATATCTGATGTATTATTTTATATATAAAAGAATCACTATAGAATTATGTTGTTTTCATAAGCTTATGGTCGTTTCTGGTCAGTTCTGCAACATAAAATGTGTATGTCCTTTAATGTATTAGTCGAAAATCAGAATAAAATCTTCCGGAACGAAATATTCTTTTGCAATTGTGTAGGTTTAGCTATGACGCAACTCGCTTTCAGTAAAATATACTGGCAAATTTTATTCACCTTGTATTTTTTTCATCACAATTTAAACAATAATTTTACAATCCACAGACAGGAAAGGTACCGCTTTATACACTTTAAATCAAGACCCGTATGATTGACAAATATAAAGTCGCACTCAACCTATGAGCTAAAGTATTATATGGCACAACTCCATATCTGTGGCTTTTTCCAACGTCTGTGATTTTTCTTGCGGGGTCACAGTAAAAACAATCAAAATTAGTGTTAAAATGACATACGTATAGCTCTTTGCGGATATAGGAAAACATATTAAATAATATAATTTTCATTGAACAAGATAAATATAAACAATACTAAATTTATAAAAATTTAAAACAAAACACCTTACAGCGATTTATAGCAAACACGACTTAAGTGATTAATTAATCTCTTGGTATATTTATGTTGTAACATACTTCTTATGTCAGATATAAGAGACAGGGTGATATTTATCCCTTCCCTTTCGGCAGATATGTCCTTGGATTGGTTTACTTGTGAAGACATTTCTATCTGATCTAATTTTTGTTGCAGCAAAACATCGGAAGCGTTGAAAACTACTATTATCGCAGCTGTTATCTGGACTGTAATCTAAAACAAACGGGTTTTTCCTTTTAGAAAAATGTTTTTTTTTTATATTAAGAAAATATAGTGAAATATAACAAACTGAAAAATTTAAAAATTGTTAATATTAATTGTATTTACATATATTTATAATCAAAATATACAGAAAGAGAGAGACAGGTATACGACATGGATACAAAATCATGCGGTGATTTTGTATGTGATATGCTATATAACTTATCCGTATGGACTTCTTGTTAAAAATAAATAGCAGTAACTTTTTCAGTGTCTCAAAATAACTTGGGAAGTCATAAGCAGATACAGAGCCTTTATGAATCCACATATCCCTATTAGATTTGGTAATTATGATATAAAATTTTAACATCAAGGTCAGGAAGATATTATCTAAGCCAAAACTTTGCTCATGCACCCCTCCCCCGTCATAAAAATAAGTAAAATGTCAGATTCTTTCTGGAATATGCATCATCATTTATCGAAATTTTGTAACCCCCATTGACAAAACATGAAGCCGCAGTAGGTACAATTTTACAAAAGAGCTTTTACCTTGTATATAACCATCAGTCCAATAACCATGACAGAGATCATTCGGGCTGAGTATCTAAAACCTGTTTGATAATATTATGAAATCATTTTATGAATATGAACAGCTTATTATGCAAAGTTTATTCAGAATTCAACTAGACAACCTTCTTCATCAACATATAGATGACAGACGAATTAATGACAGAAATATCTTACGAAGTTACAAATTTAGAATTGTGTTTCTTGAATCTGTTCAACATAAAATGATATTCAGGAACAAAACATTCAAAACATGATCACGGTATATTTTTATTTCAAAGAATCATATTTACCTGGTTCACGTTTATAAATCCAGTCACTAACGAACGTTTTGACTTTCAAACATATTTTGTCTTTAAGTAATATTGGTTCATCCTCTCTGTAAAATAAACATATAAAATTGCTGACAAATTATGGCATAATAGGTATGCTCTTTACCACGATGAAAGAAAATAGTTTATGTTTGTGATTTACAAGTCAGCTTCAAAAGCACTACAACGAGTGTAGGACAAAAGCCCTCCCGGACAAAAGCCCTCCCGTCAGAAAGTGAAATGGCGGACAAAAGCCCACCCGTAAAAATGACAAGGCGGACAAAAGCCCTCCCGTGAAAATGACACGGCGGACAAAAGCCCTCCCTTAAAAATTACAGTGTGGACAAAAAAGCCCTAAATAATAGGGCGGACAAAAGCCCTCCCGCAGCAAATACATATAATATGTACGTTGAATAGTTTATATTTTCTTTTCAATGCACTCAACATATTAAAATTGTAATCATGAATATTTTTGTTTTCCATTGGCATTTACTGTGTTTGTATGAGCTTGAGCACATTCCTGAGAGGCATCTGAATAATTAGTGCTAAAGTCTGTAGGTGCATATTTATTCACGTAGATATGAAGGTTTACTCCTATGTGAAGTTAAGATTAATAGAGTAATAAATGATGAAAAGAAGTTAAAGTTATCTAACTTTAAAGTTAAAGACATTAATAATGTGCCTTGTAATGAATCAATTACTTTTCAAAGTGACTTTGATTTTAACGACATTTGTGTAAAAAGTTACCTCATTAAACATTTCAGGAAGGTATATTTGGAGTAAAAGGTGGCTCTAGCTCATACACATACTTAGGCCAATTGAAAATAACAATAAATATATGTAACAATTTTAATATGTTGAGTGCATTGAAAAAAACACATGTATTCAACATACATACAACGCATGCAAGTCGCTAGAAGTGTTTTTTTATGAAACTATCGTATTGTTAAATGTTGGTTTTTAAGAGCTCAATTTGAAATAGTTTGTAAATGACGGAAGTTGTTTTGAACAACCAGATAAACACTTAGCCTTATTCCAATGCAATGCTTCCAATTCAAATACTGCATTCAAAGAGATTCATTCAACCACCTTACGTCAGTAGTTATGTTTCAATGCAAATGCATTTTCCCTATTTCAATCACAATGTGGTAATTCTTACAGTCAAAAGAATGGTGTATGCGAATACCATAATAAAAATGAATATTTAATTAATACAATTTCAAAACGTCAAAAATGTACTTACATGGGTGGCAAAGGAGGTTTAAGTAATTGCTTTACATGTTTTGCTTCAGGCGAGTTCTTTACACTGATTGATCTTCTAAGTACTGATACTTTCTCCGATGACGAAAACAGCCTGATAGATTTTTTACGCAATATTCTAAGTACTTGAATAGGTAGACTTATTGCAAGATATCCAAGACAAAGGAGATTTGGTATATCTCCAAATAGTAACGCGAAACGAAATCGCTGTAATGAGATGTAAAAAAAGGAACAGGTGAAAATGGCTTTAAATCATCTTAAATATTTCTTCAATTTGTAAAGCTGTTTTAACCCAAACAACTTTGCATCTAAATGTAGCTTCTTGTTAATACAATATTTATAATACTGCACGTTTGTAGCGTCGCCTTTCATTGTAACGTGGCCTTTCATTAAATGATCGAAACGCTTGTATTATTAGTTCTAAAATGTTTGACGGTCGTGTTAATATGGCCCGATATAAACGATTGTTTGCATAATATAAGTCGACCTATTTGTATACTACCCAGAATCTTCATAACGAATTTATAAAACAGCCCATGACAAAATGAAATTTCTTCGTAAATTGACAGTATCGTGTATATGAAACTGTATAAACGTCGCGTTTAGCCAATGACAAGTTGTGTTACAAAAGTGCAGTATTAAGGCGTATATCATTCAGGTCAGGTTACCCATTAAGGGAACAAGTCAATTAGATATATCTTTTGTCTGATTTCAAAAATCAATTTAATCAATCAATATGAAAACTGCTTACACCCGCTAAATCACACTCAGTGTCCCGGTATATTTGTACAATCAGAAACATCCATGCATACGCTGTTCCTATTGCATACCCTACGTATGATTCAAAAGCGAAGGCCGAAAACATCGGAAAATAGTCAATTCCTATAACTATCATTGCTAACACTGTTTTGAAGACTGTAAATAGAAAACAAAAATCCCAAAACAAAATATATGCATACAATTGTTTATTGATACGTTAAAACGATTGTGAATATAATCAGAACTTATATACGGACAGTAGTATAAACGTTTGGGTTGTCAAAAATAGCGTTTTTCGTGCTACCTTTTTTCGTGTAACGTGCGTGCGTATATCGTGCAACGTGCTTTTGATGAAACGCTTTCTCAAGCGTGCATCGTTTACAAGCTTTGAACGTTTATTGTTTTCCGTGTATCGTTTTTCGTTTATCGTGCGTTTGAGAGCGTGCGTTTGTTATCGTTTAGCGTGCGTATGCGTCCGTTTATCGTTTGGTCCAGAACGTTTGACATGTTTGAATAGCGTGCGTCTGCGTCTGTTATAAGTTAAGAACATATAGTCCAAGCAGAATGATGGTCAACTGTATATGATAATATTTAAGAGTTCTTTTTTTTTCAAGTAAAATCGTTTCTAAAAATAACATAAATTTAGTGTTTTTAACTCTAACATTCGATCTAGTTTGTGACCCTTAAATGAAGTATCATGAACACCGTATATCGACGCGCGTTATTCACACCGGAAATTAGGAATTTGATTATATTTTACAGACACCAAAGATTTAATTACTCTTCAATTGCAAAGTTGTTGTTATTAAAACATTTTTTGAAAAGTAGCAGACAGGGTGTAAGACAATTTTTGCAGAACTATCAACAAACGGGGAATGTAAATGTACTAAAAAGGTACAGTATGATTGTTTTCGTTTGTTTTGAAAAATTATAGGCAACTTCATATGATTGAACAATATAGTACAGTGTACTCTACTTGTTGTTTAGTAAATTTAGCTTGAGAACATTACAAAAGATTGTGTCAATTAGCGCATTATACACAGATAAAAGACTCCATAATATCCCCTCGACATTGTTTTCAGAGACACCTTTCTTATTTGTGAAGGGTAATTAACGGTCGGGTTTTCTGTTATTGTAAATGTGTGAAATTCAAAGGACCAATTTAACCTTTTAAATAAAGATCAATTGCTATATCAACAAAAAATAATAGAAAAAATAAATGTTTGATGTTTAACAATCAAAACTATTTTAATTTACTAACTTTTTTGTTATATATGAATATAATAGGCAAAATATTGCCGTTGAACGTTTTGAAACGTTTGGACAAAACGTTTTATTTTTCGTGCGTTTCAATGCGTTAAGAGAAAGCGTATATCGTTTCGCGTACAGTATATCATTTATCGTTTTTCGTTTTGCGTGCGTTTGTGTATTTCGTTTTGTATAGCGTGCGTTCAACGTGCGTTCGTTTTAAAGCGTGCAACGCGCGTGCGTTTTTTCCCGAGCGTGCGTTTTGGGTTTAAACTGAAACGTTCACCCTACTGTATATATAATGAGGGACAGTAGTGGATTATCTTCCCTTGATAAAAACCGAGGTTAACCAAAATGTAAATAGGTCCAAATATCTGGAATCCTTTGCTTTTATCGTTGAGTTTTATGTAAGACAGGTTGATATGTCTTAATCAATTATTTCCACATGCATCAACAAATATGTAAACCTTAAGAAAAAATTGTTTCATTTATGTCAACAGATTCTACATCTTATCGCAATATTTAATCTGAATATTACAAATGATCATAATTAGCCCTAATTAATTTAGTTTGCTACAAAGAAATAGGCGATTAAGTCCGAGTAATCCAATTATTAGGACCTATCTATTTATAGGGAGTACTCAGGGGAGGTTATTCACTAATGTCCCCCATTAAATATCAATATTTTCTTGTTTTAACGCTTCAAGCAATGTAAAAACTGTGTTGTAATACTATTACAACACAGTTTTTACATTGCTTGAAGCGTTATTGAACACGCATAATACGAGTATTGTGAAATTTTACTAGATGTATGTGTAAGTCATATACAGATAAATTAAATATTGTTTAGATAGATTTAACTCGCAATATCATAATGTTTAGATAATAAATATTAATTCATAGTTCATCTTGTGGGTGCGCCATTGAGTATTTCATAGACAATTATACTACTTAAAACGCAATTTACAGTCATTCACTTCTTGTTATCTAAAGGGGCGTATATACTAAATGTAGTAAAGTGGACACTCTGACTTTGTGAATAAGATTGAATAGTGTCGGGATCGGATAAGTACATTATTTTAGATAAACATGATTGTGCATGATTATTGTTAACGTGAAGAGGACAGAAGATAAATATACTGCACTTAAAACAAATAGTCTAGAAAAACTTTAAAAGTTTATAAATATACGAATCAGCCATCTACAAATGAGTATGAATAGACATCAAATCACAAGCACTTTTATATTTTGAGCGTGGGTCATTTAATGAGTTTTCCGTACTTTACGTAGCATATCATATACGTGTATTATATTTCATATGCTTTCTATTTTAATTAATAATATCCGTGTCATGCCTCACTTTTACAAATACATTAACATGTATATACTTGTGGCAATGTGATGTTTAATGTACTCTTATACAGAACGTTGATGGTTAGTTTGATCTTTTGAGAAGTCTGTTTTATCAAGTCGTATGTTTCAATTTAGGCCTACGCGCTGTTACTTTAGCACATCGCTTTTCAGATTACACATTTGTGGTCAACAAATTTGAGAAGCAATGTTGAAGCAAAAAGAAATCGACTTCATAAGAGATAATATACGAAGAATCTCTTACTGTTCAGTGGAACTTTTAAATGAAAAAAAACACAAGTGTGCATACGATATGCTATACAGTAGGGTTATAGTTCTGAACGCGAGAGAAAGTCTTAGCTTTATTCATTTATTCTAGGCCAAACATCCTCTAAATTGCTATAGATTTTTTTGAAAAATCTAGAAATATTCTAAAAACTGAATGCTCTTTTAGTGGGCTACCTGTGACATACGGTGGTCCCTCTAGTTGGACGATATCATTTTCAAACACAAGTTCAGCTGCCAAATACGCAATGGATCCCCATGCAGCTCCATACAGAAAACGATGAGACTTTCCTAGAATATTCATCGGACTAAAACAAAAGATAAAATGTGGACAGGTGAAATGTGTGTTACATTATGTATATTCAAACGAATTGTGATAGCCACTGACAACAACAGACAAAAATAATGTTCCTTTAAACCGGCTGTTTAATGGCAATTAAAAGTACATGTGTTCCACAAACAGTTGTTCTTTCCTAACAACAATTATAACTTGAAAGTGAATCTTGCACTTTTTATTGGCGGTTTTGGCTCCCTTAATTAATTTAAATAAACTTATCAAGTAGAGAGATAATTATTATATTAATAGTTATATTTTACTTGATTTGTCTTGATCAAACGATCTAATATCGGCAGTGTTACTGTGGAACACTCCGCTTGTCTGATTACATGTGCATCGCCAGACCTAACCTGTAATCGTGATCAGCCTTTTTCACTTGTATACAGCATGGAAAATCTGCACATCATCGCAGTTTTTTACCAAGCTCTATCTTTTGGAAGCTTAATACGTGTATGTTATTATTCGAATGAGCTGTTCCAAATTTAATAGAAGACATGCATTATTTATTACACATATTCACCCAGGTTAGGGCTTTCCTTAGCCTAAACACATCTAGTATACGCAAGTCCAACAATAACATTCCAATGCTCAGGATATCTCACACAGAATTAAAAAGGGTCTTTTGATCAATACACAGCTTTATCGTTTACAAAAGATTTTTAAAATCATTTATAAGGACATGACGATAAAGTTATCAATATTTGCATACTCTATCAACAGTTATCTATTCTTATCTATGATATTGTTAGTTACAAAATCCTCAGCTAAAAGAGGGTGTTTTTCATTGGTGGAAAGACTGGCGGTTATGAAATTTAAGGACAAATTTGTAATCTTTAGTTTACTTGTCTCTAAGATTAAAGTTGTATTAAAAATATTTATACAATCGTAAACTAAATATCACAACGTTATGACCAAAACAAAGATATATCAAAATACAAAAATATACAGTACATATGATTTCATGTACAATTTATTTTGTTGATAATATTAACAACAAACCCAACTTTTTGTTTTTCAGCCTTTACTTAAACATTCGATAACTACTCACTCGTACTTTATTTGCCGTAGCTTTTCTGTTTTCTATGAAAATGAACGATATTTTTGATCAACAAAAAGATTCTCCAGAGCTGATATGAATTGCGAAAATTAATATATTTAAAATGCAACATTATCATAAAGAATCGCAAAACTTTTAGTATAATTATTTTTTGTGCGTAATAATAACAAATTAATTTATTCATAGTTATTCGGCGTTTGTTTACACCGGTAGGTAAATTTACCGAAATACACCCCAATTGACTACCTCAATCTGAAACTGTCTCACTTGATAATCAGTTTCATTGATGGGTTATGCAAAATTGAGTTTAGTACTTATTATAAGATAAATAGATATATTTCTGTATATATGGAACAACATTTATATTTTACATTCCACATTTAAAGTACATTGTAAAATATAACCTGTGTAGGTGTACGACACGTAGCCATGCCAGTAGGCTTAACTAGTACCTCCACCTCATACCCCTAGTATATACAAAATACTAGTCAAGCTGTGCAATTTTTAATAGAAATCCTTTTTTTTATAAAATACATAATTATAACTTTTACTAGTTAGGTTATGTTTAACTTTTGATTTAAGTCTTCTATTATTCATTTTCATTGCCAGATAGATAAGAAGGCATTATAAATAGTATAGTTCAGAGTTGATATGTTCCATTGATTGTTTATTACAGTTTGTTTTCTTTCATAAATAAAAGATATAAACAACAAAAGATTTTGGTGTTATTATCATGACTTAATAATTGCAGCATTTTATGCACAGAAGTGCTTTTACAAAATGAAGGTCAGATACATATAAGTTAATATTATTTAACAATAAAATTCAAGTTGTCAGCTGATTGTGGCCTTTGCAGTCTCTAAATTTGGTAGTGTGGTTGGTTATTATCAGGTATTGACTTTGAAACCAGTAGTCAAAAGTCACGGTGACAAAAAAGCTTCTAGCATCTATAATAACATGACTAATTTGTTGACATTATAGGAGCATACATGTTTCAGCTAGCCTAAGTTTAGACAACTGTCATAGATTATACTAGTAACCACCAAATATATTTCAATTTAGACATTTATATTGTTATAAAGTATAAATAGCATTAATTTTGAAAATATTCTAAAGCTATGAGACATTTTGCACTGAATTTACGCCGATTATCTTTTTTAAAGATATTTCTTGTTTTAAATAAGTACAGGTGATTGTGTAAATGTTATTTACTTACTATATAACACCGGGACGTCCGTGTAGTATATTCAGCCATTTGTTCTTTCTAGGGTGTGTCCATGCTAGTAACAGTGTTGTTAAAATCTAAAACATATATCAGAAGATAGGTAGTTTAATAGCTATATAAGTCGATTTTAATCCTAATTATGTTAAATATCTTAAATGGACAATCAATCTTTCAATCTGGACAAAACAATTCATTACTTTTGGGGGGAAAATGAACTGATTCAAAAGGCAACAGTATATACCATAATCGGACGGCACTGAGTGCTGCCTCACTTTGATATGCACTGGTCGCTGGATAGAATATGTTTCCGCCAGTAGGTTTAATGGTACAATGTCCGTTAAAATGACTGCATATGCTATTATTGCGTCCAGAAATGTTAACTAAACGGCCACTTTACCCGAAAATTTTATACCAGATGAATAGCAGTCAAACTATCTTCTTTTTTAAATTAAACGATAATAAAATAAAAGAGAAGTGTAGTAGATTAGATAATTATTGTTTTGTAAGAACGGCTATATCTTGTTTGTTTGCTTAATGTACAGTATGTACGGACAGACCATGTTTGATCTTTGTCGTAAAATATAACACAGTTGTTATCTCAGGGGGGCTATGGTTCACAATATTTGTTACTTCTCGGTTTGACACACTATGTTATATTGAATATAATAGGCTAGTATATTTTATGTATTTTGATCATTTGATAATTATCATACATGTTTGTATAGAATAGGAGTCATGTTGGCTCATTTCTAAAATGAATAAAGCATACATTTATTATCACAGGTAGTTGATACGGTTTGGAAGTTTTATAAAGTTTGATATTATAAGTAAATTAAATTTGATTTATAAGTTTTTTGTTGTTTGTTTTTTGTTGTTTTTTTTTTGTTTTTTGTTTTTATAATGTGCTTATATTCAACTATTATCTAATTTTAAATGGATCTATGGATCTTTTAAATGATTATTGGTGATTAAGTAACAACTTTGAATATATGAATATATTCTTATCATACTTACAGATGGTATCATAAGGTATAAATGAAACGTAGAACGTGGCACCTTTGTAATGCATTCTCCCCTAAAATTAAGATAAAAATGATCACACATCTACAAAACAATAAAAATCATATTAAGATAAAAACTGATTTGGTTGTTTAAATTTAGTCATGTGACCAAATTAATTACCATGAGTTGACATTTGATACAAACTTTTGTGAAACTCGTCCAGGAAGAAAATGTTATTAAAGGTTCGTTTTAACCGCATTTTGCTGAACTCTGGTATCAAAATGTAATGAAAACTCAATCGAGATTCCAAAATATCAATGTAGCAAATTTGTCATTAATGTCACATATACTTAAAACAAATCGAAAATCAAACTAATAGGAAAGTTCGATCATTCTTAATCTTGAGAAACAGAAACATGAAACTGCTTATTAACAAGAAATCTTTGATTACAAACAATTGCTAACTTACGTTTCCGTTTCGTTTCCTTCTTGTCCTCTGTGCGTGTAAATGTAGCTTAGGATTTCAAAAAGTTCTGCCATTGTCAAGTCTGTTTAATGCTCTCTCCTTTTTTTCTCTCTCTCAAATTTCAAATGGCGCAGGATTTAATCCTCCTCGTAGCCTTCTTTAATAAGATGAGGAAATAAGTTATACTTTCATTTTGTTTGTTCATTCATATTCGATTTGACAAATGTTAACATTTTAAATTTATAAGCGGTACAATGTGCATGAAATACCGGTTTAATGTTAAATAATCATCTAATTATCTGAACGCTTATCCGCTTTTTCTTATCGGCGGAAACACTCATGTAATGCATATGTATTTTATTAATAGGCAAACAGAAGAATGCGGAACAAAATTTCCCAAATCATTTCCAATATTTTGACTGCACTTTGATAACAAACGTGCAAAATTTGCAATCTACTGTGCCGCTATGATAATGTGAGAGTGACGTTGCATTTTTTGCGTAAATACTATACGAAAGTTTAAAATATCTGTCTGAAAAGGTAAAACAGGTTTTATAGAGGCGAATATAATACAAGACAAGAAACCGATTTTGATATGTCTTGATGGCAAAGTTATCAAAGTCATTGGGATGCAATGTAACTTAAATTTTATCACGAGTTCGATCTTACAAGTTGTAGAACATTTTTTCTCTTTCTTTTCTTTCCTTATTATTTTAATTTTACAATAGATGCAAACGGATTGGAATATGAAGATATTTTGTTTATCATCTCAAATAATTTGAATATACCGGTAATTAAATTTTTTATCCTCTGTTGTATGTAGAAGTCATAAAACTTGCAACTCAATATTAGGTTGCACCCACATGCTAGATGTTAGTACATTGAAAACAAAAGAAAAACGTGAAATGAGAAAAAAAATAGAAAATAACACAACACTTATAATCTCTACAAGACAAAATACAACATGTTCGTATTTGATTGTTATTATAAGAAATATTTTTGGCGAGAACCTTCCTTGCGGACATGAAACAGATGCACTACACTGAAATCTTTACAAAAGAAGTTTTCTTCCGATCCCGACACATACTATGTCACTATGTATATTTATACAAGCATACACACGTAAGACACTGTAATAGGATATCAAAGTATTAATAATTATAAAGAAACAAATAAGACTATAAATGTTCTGTTTATATGTGTAAAATATATATATAATTTAAAAACCAATTATTAAACTAAGTTCTGGAGAAAGGGGGATCCCTCAGAAGCATTAATCATAACAAAATTACATGAAAATTGCAGACTCGGTTTTATAGAGTCTGTACATGAGGGATAATGGAAAAGTGTCACAGCCTCCAAGCCCTTTAGCAAATTACATTTTCAACTGTATACATGTAGATTACACCCATTTATCTTGTTTTCACTGTACTATCAAGTTAAACAAGTATTTACTTGCTGTGTAAAATTATCTTAATATGTCAATTGTGATACATTATTTATAAATGAATAAACAATAATTGCTTTACTTACAGAAGCTTCCTCAACGCGTATGTCGTCCAAAGGAAGATTTTTTAAAAATAAAATCATTGCTTTATCTTGAATATGTTCATGCACATGTACGATGCGGTGAAAAGATATGTTCAAATTGATATAAAGGTAAAATGTCCTATAAACAAAATTGCAATCTTTATCATGATAAACGTGACCTAAATACCATTTATTTTAATATCTATTAAATGTATAGTAGGTTAACAAAATCACTTCCCTTCCTGTGCTTTTAGAAATAATACAAGTTGAACTTAAAAAGTTTGCCATAAATCGTTCTGTGATCGGAAGTTACAGGTGTTTGTGTTCGCTATTAACCATAGTTATTGAATTATAAAGTCTCACAATAAATGATACAGTGATTTCTTTTATCCATTGAGAAGTGTGTGTTTATAACAAATCAGTTTGTTCACAATAGTTGAAACGACTGAATGCAACATTGGAATATTGTCCCACAAGTGTGCAATATGCGTTCCGTGACATATACGGTCCCACACAGCTCCATCAAATTGAAGGTCATCTTCAAATAATCGTCTATGGAGTTTTTTCTGCGACACACGAATAGAAATTTTGTCACACGAGCGATGAATGTTTCTGTCTCTAAGAGCCAATTTCTTGCTTCAGTATCAATTAATAATATTTCGTGTTTACTTTGTAAATATGTTGATGACAATTAAACAGTTTGTGAACGAGCATTTGAAAGACAAAAACCTCATAATCATTCTAATTTTCTGAGAAACTCTTTTACTGTATTTCATACTATTTGTTACAACGGTTTTGTGTGTCCGGCATCACAACCGTTTTGATTTGATGCGTGAAGCCGTGTCCATAGAATGTAAAAACTTTACACTAAAAAGATAAATATGAAACATTTAAGTAAAATGAGTTTTTTTTTTGTATTTATTTTTTCTTTTATTGATAAGTTGATAGTGTTTAAAACTTGTAAAATGAAATCAAACAAATAAAAAGTTGTTTTCTTGTTATATCTTATTAGTTTATACTGACGAGCTATGGAAATCTAACTTCATACTCGCATTTTAACGTCTCGGAACTGGAAATGATTGAACAACCTACAGAGAGAAAAATTGTAAGATTAAATTTAACATTAAGTTCTTGTTTGTAAAATTGATGTGTATGAATCCGTATTGTTTTAAATTCACACAGGAATATGATGTTTGACAAATTTGTCAAACATACCTTTTAATTAAGACTTCGTCATTTGATTACACATCGTTCAGTGTTTTTTCAGCTGCATTGACATTTAAGAAAAAAGATTATATTTAAGTTCGTTTTGCAAAATAATTTGTTGGTGACATTTGAAAGTATTTGATGTGTTTTTGTAAGGAATATCATTCTTGTACAAAATCTATTACTTCAAGATTTTAATTTCTAGTGCATATGTTTGTGCTTATAATTTACAATTTTTAAAGAAAATTCCAAAAATTAATACATGTAGTACACTCCGTCTGACTTACTAAAAACATATTGAAACAAAAATTATTTACTTGTAACTGTTACGATGTTTCTTTCATCACAGACAGAAAAAACTGAAATTATATAATGAATAATAAAGGTATCTGACTTTAACATTTTGGAAAAAAATCAATTTAATGATACAAAAAATAGAAACACGTCCTTTTTTCGTTGTTTATTTCCATATTATTTTATGAATATAAATAATATGTTTGTCAAAAATGTCATGATACTGTGATAACGCATGAATTATATACTTGTGGGAAAGGCCAGCTTTCAAATGTTGTTAAAACTTGTGGCCCAACCCGTTTTGCTTTTATCATATAGACATACAAACCAACTTAAATAGCAAATTAAAACAGCACTGGTTCAATTTAGACACCATCAGGGTCTTTATCATACCTAAAGACATCGTTACCGTCGTCTCTGAAGACCTTTGTCGATCTTTGTCGATATTTTAAGACATTATCACAATCGTCGGTTTTTCTTAGTTAAAACAGAATAAATGTTTGTAAAGAATGTCATGAATTAATGCAATAACGCATGAATTACAGACAAAAAAACTTCTGAAATAGAAAAATAAAAATAGCACAAGTTCCATTTAGACATCATCGCCGTCTTTATCATATCAAAATACATGTATATCATAAAATGATTGCCATCGTCATTATATCTTAAGACCTTTGTCGGTATCTCTTTAGACATTATCGCCGACAACAATTATCACCGTTGTCGGTATCTCTCTAGACATTATAACCTTCGTCGATAACAATTTAGACATTATCACCGTTGCCAGTATCTCTTTAGACATTATCACCGACTACAATTATCACCGTCGTCGGTATCTATTTAGATATTATCACCTTCGATATCTCTTTAGACATTATCACCTTCGATACCTCTTTAGATCGTCATCAGTATCGTCATCATAATCAACATTGACAAAACTACATGTATAATGTTCTATTAAAATGAACGATCTGCCTGGGTCTTTGGAATAAAAGAAATAAAATCTGCAATTTATCTTTCATAATAGACTAAAAAAGTATGTAAAATTAAATAAAACGAAAGAGCATTGTAGAAATGTAAAAAAAATCAAGAAAAGAACATTTAAGAAATATATAAAAATAATATCATTTATTGTAAAGACAAATAAAGTTTAAAATATAACAAACATCTAAAGCTTAGATAAAATATTTCAATCTGATTCAACTATATTACAAGAGTGTAATTTTAAAAATAAATTTGCCATTACTAAAAACATAATGATTATATTTATATATAAATTGAAAATAATAGTATACAATAAAATTATATTGCTATGACAGTTTTTATCAAGCTAGAATTCACCTTAATAATATAGAAACAAAAAACATTAAAGTATTTAACTTTCCGACTTTGGAAATTGTACGAGCAAGGCAGGATTTTACCCTTTTAAAAACCAAGCGGTGCCTTAAACTGGCATCATTCATAAACATAAGTATGTAAAAAAGTTCTTATAGTATGTACAGTTTATAAATTAGTACTTGGAGTGATATTTTTTGTTGAGAGTGATGAGAAGGCTGCTTTCTGCCACATACCCTTTGGGTTTTTTACTATCACATTGTTACCAGAACCTTTATTTTCATCACTCTCTGTTTGATTATTCTGTTCGTCAAAATCTTTAGCAAATGCTCCGGTCCCTTCAGCCATATCCTTTTGAATTTGCCTCATTAATTTGTTCATACCAAACAGTGCGTTCCAATTTGCCTGTGCCGCATTAAATCCTCCATTCACTTCAACTGAGATATCATTGATGTCGGCCTTTCCATTGTCTGTATAAACTGTATTAATTGATTTTGCAAGGTTTCCCATGGTTGCTTTGTCAAGGTTATAATACCTTGCCAAACGTTCTTGTAGCATTCTCATATACTGCATATATGATTTTCTGTACACCCTTATGGTAGGGTTATTGTGCAAAGTGTATATCAAAAACCATCGTGCTCTCGCTCTTGCGTTGACAGGTTTAGCTTTGCTGGATTTACCTAATATACGAATATAAAGAACTTAATATACAATCAGGGTCAGGTGGCATCATTATAATCAGTTCAAATTATATTTCAATTAAAATTCAAAGATAAAATATATCTTTGGTCATCGCTGTTCCTCAGCAGGTTTGGAAACAAAACTTATTAGAAGATGTCTGTAGAAAATATAGCATAACGTAGCTGTCCTTTTTAATATTTGACGATAATGTTAAAAGGTGTACATAATGTATTGACTATTTAACCAAAACGTGTCTCAATCTTCAAAATGCCTTGCATAACTTTTTATGTAATTAAAATAGAAAAAGAGAAACCCTACAGAACGCCCAGAACAGCAAAATTGACAATGTCGCACGGTCGGTGTGATTAAGTATGTTCATGGATGGTACGTACTGGAGAGTAAAAGTTTAGAATGTTGTTTACCTTTACCGTTCATTTCAACAGCTGTATGATTGCTATCACTTGACTCTGACGAATTTTTATCCTCATTTATGTGAAGTAAAATTCTCAAAAACATGACCAGAACAGGATGCGTGTGAGCACATTCCACATGTATAAAGCCACAGTAGTTTGCAAAACCTTAAATACATACAATTACAAAATGTACTATATGAGCCGCGCCATGACAAAACCAACATAATGAGTTTGCAACCAGCATGGATCTAGACCAGCATGCGCATCCGCGCAGTCTGATCAGGGCTTACAAACCCTATAACATGTAGAAAAAATGATAGCGAACAGCATGGATCCTGATCAGACTGCGCGGAATCTGGATCCATGTTGGTCGCAAAACCATTATGTTGGTTTTGTCATGACGCGGCTCCGTAATGGATATTGGTGTCAATCAGCAACTTCCGCGTGACTTAAGCCACAGTTAAAACCATAACGTAGAAAATCAAAATACTGGTAACTGCAAGCTACCGTCCACGCCCCCACCCAAGCACCGGCTTCAGCAGAAATCAATATTCAAACATGAAAAATGTCGTATTACTTGTCATTTGAAGCGAACTAATAGGTATTGGAATATAAGCTATACATACATGGAAGTACAATAATCTCATGAAGCTATCTTTAAAGATAGCTGGATGAATAAAAGTACTTTCGAGTCTTTGATATTAAGTTACTAGTTTATAAATTACAATAATCATTTGGAATACTTCTACTTTCAATAACATGATAAAACGTATAATTATACTTTTACAACAGTAAAGTTAAAGTTTTGATGAAACATTATTCAACATAAAATGCATCTGAATTACATCATATCCGACAGAACTTGTTAGAACATATTTTATTTATCTGTTTTTGAATGAGAATGAGTACAAAATGATGACTTTATGTATATCGCCTTCTACTATCCCTCGTTTTAGTTAGGAACATTTTGCCAAAAATTGGTCGCTAGATTCAATACGAACTTCTGAGATATAATGACTATCAAGAGAAAAACAAGATATGTAATGAGTTAACAAAATTGTATATGACGCATGTATTTATAAAAACTTTCAGTTATATACTGGATTTAATTAAGAGATGTTTTATGAATGCTTCCGCTTTGAATATATCTCCTTCAAAGTAATGCCACTTTAAACAAAATAACAAGAACACTTACCGGGATCAAACATCTGGAATCGCCTTGGTAAAGCGCTGTTGTCCAAACGGGGAAGAAATATTGCCCCGATCACGATCGATTTAACGATTCTTAATAAGCATGATAGAAATCCAACAAAGATATTGTAGAAGAACATGAAGAACGTGAAACTGAATAGCACACGTCTGGAAAAAGAAAGAAATAAAAAATTTAGTTTCAACTACATATATGTTCAAATGTTTTTGAACATAAAATTTAAAAAAAATGTTTTTTTTTATCTTATCACATCTTTTGAAATATGTATGGCTTTGTAGCTTATATATTTGTATTGCCTTCAATTATTTTGATAAGTGATATTAAATGTCAGACATCAAGAAAAGATGAAAATCTATTGCGTCCTAAATGAGAAATTATCAATAGAAAATTATAATATTTGTGACAGTTTTCTGTGTGGACCTCGTTTTATATTACAAAGTGTACTTTAAAATCCGTGCAGAGTAAAACAAGTATGGTTAAGAATATAGATATGCAAAAGCTGCATTGTTGTAATATTGGTGCTATAACATTTATAAGGCCAATGCTATCTCACATATATGGACCATTTCTGTGCGAGAAATAATCTAATGGTTTTACCTGTTATCAATTGCCAAAAATTCCCCTCTTCCTTGTAAGAATGCAAATTTGGATAATAGTGTCTGAGTCAACATTATAATAATTGTCATTACCGCAGCTGGCCTGTAAATGGAAAACATTGTGTAAGGTTGAACAATACTTTTAGTATATCTTTACACTGGATGGTAAAATGTCAACAACAACAAAAATGATTCAATAATGTCATACACATTTTATGGGAAGTATTTCAGTAAAATTATTCAAATCATTGTAAATGATATAAACAATTTAAATCTTTCCCTCGTCCATTACTAGAGAACAGTGTTTACATATCTGACATTCATTCTATATCCATGTCATATAAATATAGTTAAGAAAGTTTTCAAAAAAGCTTTACAAGCTTCCTACTCAATCCGTAAATTTTATTTTATGTAATTTATCATGTACATATGTGGATTATAAATAAACTAAATATAGTTAACGTAAATAAACTGAAACATGTGTCTAAAATAAAGAGAGGTTATCCCCCAGCTTGCTCGTGACGAGTGGCAATTACCCCTGTTAGCAATATTATGTACATTTTGGGGTTTTCCCAGCTAATTACAGTTACAGATTTGAAAAAAAAAACAACAGATTTTACTTATCTATTGTGACCAGTGGTGCACCGTGAAGCTGTTACAGTAAAAGTTTGTTTGTACCGGTGGATTGGCCCCTACTCTGATTTGATTTAAATTTGAATAACAATAGATTCAACCACAAACTTAGACATGTGATATCTTGTTAACAAATATGTTATGGTGTAATTATTGTAATCCGAACGTAGCAAATGTTGGGTTTTCCGAACTTATCCCCCGGTAAAATGAAACTTTTACCGGTGCACCTCGTCGGATAACCACGGCCGAACCATTAACATTTATATTACGTCACATAATACTCACGGACATGCACCGGGCACGGATCACGGACGCGAGTCACGGAACGCGTACCAATAGAATAGCGGCCTTAATCAACAGTGGTTATCCGGCGATGCACGGCGCGCTACCTTTCATAATAAAAAAAATCAATCTGCTGCGCTTATTTTCGAAGCAAGTTTGTCACCCGGATTAGCTGGGATTACCCAAGATACTAAGATTACATGTATTCCGGAGTACATCTATTAAACTCGGTAGATTAGGTACCTATCCATTCATTCATTTAACCGTATTGTCAAACTTATCCGATGAGTAGAGTTTTAAATAAACTAACCAAGCATTGAAAAGAACTGTCAGCATCCACTGATAATACCCATATATTATCATTGTAATTATAGTGCACAGGGCAACAGCAATGATCAACAGTATGATGAAATGCAAGACTAAACCTGAAATAGATTATTTATTCATGACTACCAAATGAAAACAACATTAAGTGTGCAATACTGTGTCTTTTTTCAGGCATTGGAGAAAAGAGAAAATGCTCGCGTGTTGTTATTACATTGATTTGGTTGCGGGATTTAATAGGAGGTTCAAGGGTGTAGCAAGAATCAAATCACATGCATTCGTATTAATCTATATTCCAAATACTGACCATAATAATTTGTTCTAATTTAATAATGTGTTGAAACTTTTTATCAAAAGTCTGTGAAAAGAATAATTAAATGAGTTAATAAAAGAATGACATTTTTACCCCATCCGATGTAGGCCACTTGATACCCTGCATATCGCATACTTCCAACCTTAAATAAAGAAAGATAATAATTATAAGAAATAGAAAGAGCATCGAATCGCGAGGCTATCTGATTTGTACGAGGGGGCGTATCCCCCCGAGTATTAATCAGATTGCCGAGTGTTTTGATGCTCTTTCGTATCATAATCAAACATAAAAACACGTTTCCTGTTGCCACAATATGAAACTCCGGGAAAAAATAACCAATGAACGAGCATCTGAATCTGATATTTCTGTCGCTTTCCCTTTCTCTTCCATCACAAAAAGTAAACCCCAGCAAAAATGAGCCAATCAATGAGCATGCTTTGGAGTGCGAGTTACTAATACCTGCACTCCAGTTACCGCACTGTGCATGCATATGTATAGGATTTAACCTTGACACATTTTCAACAGAAAGGTCCCCAAACTGTGATACAATAATAAGTCAAACAACGTTACTATTCTCAACAATCGTTGGTGTTACTTACATAGTACAAACACTGTGACAGTGAAATTCTAAAATTTTAATTTCTAACACAAAACACGTATGACATATTGCACAAGTTCTTCGTATTGTCAAAATATATATGAAATGTGCCTACCAACAGTGACGTATTAGATCTTGTTGACCTATGTGGTATATGAGTATTATCTCCTTTGTACAAGTCAAACAAATTTGTCCTGAAATAGATAGTAAAGATAAGCATAATACATATTCAACGACACTAGCTTTAAATATGGGAATTCGAACAAGGATTACTTTATTCGTACGTCAGGTTTTTAATGTGCTTGAGAAGCGATTTTTAAACAGTCACATGTGTTCATTGTAACACTGATTTTTTAAAGCAAACCTGTTTGGTCTTAACATATCAAATGTGACCTATATTCTTGCACGAAAATCTTAGCCGTTTAGTATGATTAAGTGGCGTTTGTTTCTTGCATATTGATTTTCAATTTGTCGAAATTCGGGACAAAATGTCTACAGCAAAATATAAAAACATGTAAATGTAAAATTCAAAAACTTCTAAACGAATGTATGTATGATTTGGACTTTGTTTGGATGTCTAATTTTGGCTTCCGTTTCATTAAGAACCGTAAAACCTTGGCATGTGCATGAACCAAGCGACAATATTAACAGCAAAAAAATAACAACTCAAGAAATGAACAGATAAAAATATAATTTCTAGTGAGCTATACAGAGCTTTAATCTTATTCTATCATTGATTTTATTGTAGTTGTGATGATAACCTGATTCTTTACCTTGACCTATACATATCAGAATTATTCCATGAATGCTTAAATGCGCAGTTCTTAATTATAGACAGGCGATTCCCGTCAAAATTAAACTTGATAAGCAAACATCTGTGTTCTTTCTTTAATCTTTGTCACATTTGAGCCGCGTCATGACAAAACCAACATAGTGGGTTTGCGACCAGCATGGATCCAGACCAGCCTGCGCATCTGCGCAGTCTGATCGGGATCCATGATGTTTGCTATCAGTTTCTCTACTTGTTTCAAGGTTTGTAAGCGAACAGTATGGATCCTGATCAGACTGCGCGGATGCGCAGACTGGTCTGGATCCATGCTTGTCGCAAACGCACTATATTGGTTTTCCATTGCGCAAACTCTATTACATGTAGAGAAACTGATAGCGAACAGCATGGATCCTGATCAGACTGCGCGAATGGTCTGGATCCATGCTGGTCCCAAACCCACTATGTTGCTTTTGTCGTGACCCGGCTCATTTGTAAATTATTGAACTCCGTATCCGTAATAAGTTTATTCACATAAAAAAACAAAAGACATTACAGTAGACACATACAGGAGGGATAACACGTGCACACAAGATTATCCATCATATTAGGAATAATTACCTGTATGACGATAACATGTGCAGAATTCCCAATATGCCTGCAACACATGCTAATGAGAGGGCAACAATAAAACAAACTGAAATAAAAACGACCGTTTATTTTACAAACAAATTATTATAAAACAATAAATGTGAAATAAAATTTTATATCCAATGAATAACTATTACTTCTAACTGAGATACATAGGTCAGATAGTATTTTAAATCCTTGACATTAATCTAAAGTTTACAACTAAAAACTTTCATCATCGACTTTTACCGTTGGTCCATACCTTTATCTGTTCAGTATTGTTATAAGTCCAAGTCATTCGGAATCATTGACTCCAGCATGTTTAATGTTGAAAATTGTATACCGCTTCAGCCGGTGCTGGGGGGGGGCGTTAGAGATATTGCATATTTACATATTAATCCCTGGTGTTCAGACTTAATCAAACCGAGACTGCAATTTCCATATCATGTTGCTGTTCCATTGCTCCTAACTTTGATCTATTGTCATAACGGGGTCGACAACATCATTGATGACACGTATGTTATAAAAAAAAAAACTTGCTTATCTGGTGTGAGTGCGCAATTCAAACATCCCATTTTAGAACATATAATTTAAACTTTGAACTTTATAAAGAATAAATGAATTGAGAAGTATTTTTAGTGTTGTAGTTTACTTACTTCTTACATTGATGAGAAGGAAATACATAAACTTGGTGTAATCACGTATTTGTTTTACGTATGCTTCTTCGTCTATTTCTGAGTCCCAACCAATAGCATCGAGCGTCAATATAAAACCACGCTCAATGAATGCAAATATCCCTATAGCAAGAGTCATCACTTCGAGAGTGGCCTGTAAATATAAGATACCGTGTCATTGCGCAATATTTGAGCCGCACCATGACAAAACCAACATAGTGCGTTTGCGACCAGCATGGATCCAGACCAGCTGCGCATCCGCGCAGTCTGGTCAGGATCCATGCTGTTCGCTATCAGTTTCTCTACTTGTTAAAGGGTTTGTAAGCGAACAGTATGGATCCTGATCAGACTGCGCGGATGCGCAGGCTGGTCTCGATCCATGCTGGTCGCAAACGCACTATGTTGGTTTTCCATTGCGCAATATTTTATGTTTATATCTTAGTAGTGTAGTGTATTACATAATTTGTGTGCATTCTAAAATCAGATGACACTTCTAAAATCATGCTAGACACTTAACTATGAGACAACGTCTGTACTGCAAGTATATCGCCACACAGTGCAAAAAAGTAGCAGTTTATCAGTTTTATTATTACGATTATTACGACTTAAACAGACTTACGTCATTTATTGATTGGTTACTATACGACAGATAAGTTTACATTCAGGACACAACATTGTAAGACACATGTTTGTCCTTTCTACAGAAAGTAATATTATTCAGAGAGATGATGTGCATTTAATTACAGTTTAGAGTATCATAAGTATATACACTTATCATAATTTACCTTGTAAATCAACATAAACCCAATTAACATGACTGATAGAATTCTGGATGAATATCTAAATTCTGAAAAATATAAAACATAATTTAGGTGAATAAACAAGTTACACCAAGAATGGAGTATACATTAGTTCGTGTAAATTTCACTTTGTTTTTAATTTTCACAGCAGAGGACAAAATTGCTTATGCAAATTTTTGTCTATATATATGATTATCTTTGACACTTCATAGGTATCTTGTTTGTTTGTTTGTTTGTTTGTTTGTTTGTTTGTTTGTTTCATTTTACGCCCTTTCCAACAGTATTTCAATCATATAGGCGGATAGTTTCCTAACCATCGTTCCTGGAGAGTTACACCAGAACTAGACTACCTTCCTCCGTGCTAAACTACCAAAGCATCTCCCGATGATCAAACCCACGCCAGAGAGGTAACTGGACTAGAAGTCATCTACTCTAACCCCACGACCACGGAGGCGGTACTAAGGAACATGTTTAAATAATGTATTACTTAATGATTCCTGAAAGTGGTCTTCATAGTTCTATATTTGTATGAATGTTCATGCACATTGCATTATCAACTGACTTTATCCATCACGCTAGTCTTAGACATGTCTTATATAAAAATTGAAACATTTATCAATTTGTTTGTATTTACTGTAGATATCTATTAATGATTTTGATAGATCGAAAGGGTTATCAATGATAAAGAAATTGAGCCGCGTCACGACAAAACCAACATAATGGGTTTGCGACCAGAATGGATCCAGATCAGCGCATCCGCGCAGTCTGATCAGGATCCATGCTGTTCGCTATCAGTTTCTTTACTTGTTATAGGGTCTGTAAGCGAACAACTGGATCCTGATCAGACTGCGCGGATGCGCAGGCTGGTCTGGATCCATGCTGGTCGCAAACCCAGTATATTGGTTTTGTCGTGACACGGCTCAATTAAAGAAAAAACGAAGTATTGAAATGAGAGAATATTTATACTGTGCTTATTGTGGTATATCCAGTCGCCGATGAAATTCTTCACTATTTGCATCACTTTACCTCCCAATGTTGTCGGTGGGGGACTGAAATAAGTAATTTTGTAACATAATATCGTAAGGATGTGTCTCATTTGAATTTTTTTATAATATTATATATATAATCCCGAGGACGACTTTAATTATGAAATAATTTGTCATTAAAGTGACCAAATGTAAACAAAATAGTATTTTGACTTCCATACAAAATATTTAATCGCTATAACTGTACTAATTGCCAAAAAGCAACAGAAAAAAACATATTGTTATGGTAATTGGCCATGATCAATTTCAAGTAAACCCAAATAAATAGTTTTACAGAAATGAAAATAAAAGCCTTTTTTGAGACATAATGGGCCTTTAAGGGAATTAATTTGCACTACTCACGGCGGAGGGGGTACTGGCCTGAGAAGATGTTTAATGTGAAAGGCTTCTGGTGACAAATCTTGATCTTTTTCCATGTTTAAAATAGACACCATCTCAGATGCGGATAAAAACCGTATTGACTTTTGCCGGACAGACTGAATTAACCGTACTGGGAGGCTAAACGACAGGTACGCCAGACAGAGAAGATTCGGAACATCTCGTAGTATAAGTATAAGGCGAGTTTGCTGGAAAAAAATAATAATATTCTCAATTTAAACCTTGACTGACAAAATTCAGTCATGTACATGTACGTATTCATGTACGGACACTACGAAATCCTGTCCATAACATCGGCAGGCGAAAACTTATGATTCAATTGGCGGATGTTCTTGTAATAATCATTACAATTTGGTTAAACCTCTAATTTGGTTTAAACATATTTATTTAAGCTCGATTGCGAAACAAGTTCTTGCAACTTATATTTATTACTTTCGAGTCCGCTTCCTGGAACCAACCAGTACCAGTGTCATATGAAGAAACCTGGTTGTGACCCGATTTGCGCGCGAACCCATGATCTCTGGGTTTAGAGGCAGTCACCTTAACCACTAGGCCACCGCTCCCCTTTAACCCGTAATTTGCATGTGTCGGTCATACAAAATTTATTTTATATTGTTTTATTTTGTTTTTATTCATTTATTTAATAGTGGGATATCATTGTGTAGAAGAAGATGTTTTAAATGGAAATATTATACATGTTTCAGATAAAAAGATAATTATATCATTATATAAAATATATCATTGCCTATACCGTAAAGAAATCAAAGATTTATGGAAATTTGACAAAAAAAAGAAAATTCAATTTAAGATAGAAAAAACATTTACATATGTCAGATCGCATTCAACTTCCCGAAAAATCTGGATTGCTAGCAATAACCAGGCATAGGCTGTTCCTACTAAATACCCAACCGCCGATTCAAGAGAAAGCGCAGCAAACATTGGGAAGTAGTCCACACCAATAACTATCATTGATAATACTGCGTTGAATACTGCAATAAACAAGGTGTATTATAACGAACAATAAATGTACCGATTGTGTTACGAACTGTTAAAAATGCTTTATGTCGTAAGTATTATTTGATTGCGACATTCCTCTGAATACTTGAGAATAACATTTTATTTTCTCAAATTCTTCAAGGTGAAAAATAAACCTCTTATTATTATTATTATATTATTATTATTATTATTATTATTATCATCATAGTTGATGTTGTACGGGGTTATTAATTCAACATTGTGTAATTTCTATTTAATACTTATCAGGGACAAATACGCTATACACAGTACAGTTACTCTCCATGTTTAGATATAAGTAAACTCCGTACGGACCGGCAATAAAAATAATATGCGGTCTGACCTGTGTTTGAAATCACTAAATATCAGTGTTGCCTATATAGCCATCTGGAGAATAGTCTGTTCAGACGTTGACACTTATTATTACCTGTAACATAAGACGGTCCTTCAAGTTTTACTATCACCGTGCTTCCGAAGACCAAATCAGCGGCTAGAAATGCAATGGAACCCCATGCTGCAGCATACGAAAATCTATGTGACTTGCCCAGAATATCCATAGGACTGAAAATATAGAATGATAGCTTGTTACCATACAAATGTAGTTCATACAAATATAGTTCATACAATATATTTTAAACTAAGCTGTATTGAAACTCAAATGCCTCCCTTGCCCAATCACCCATCGAATGATGAACAATATACCGGACAATTTAAATGAAGTAGTGAATAAAATAGCAAACTTTAATATAATTTATGTAGTTCAATAACTTATTTGAAACAAATGGTCAGCATCGTGTTTGAAGGTATATGATATATAAAATTTATATCAGAGGGTCTATTTCAATGACCCTAAATTTGCATATATGATATATTCTTAAAATTGATCCCTCTGAACCCGAGGTATTTAAATGGCACATTTTTATTCGTATATGCATTTAAATAAAAGCTATCATCCCTGAATCAGGATAAAATCATTATAATGCAGTTTGTAGATTTTTATACGCGACGCAAAAGCAAATATAAATCAATTTAATAAAATTTAATTTCATAATTTTATTTGATTCACGAATAAACAATTAAGTATAATTTATAATTTTCATAGTATGTTTAAAGTGAATAACTATTGTACTGAATTATAGATTTCGTGAGGTACAACCAAGGGACCAACTGATAAGGAAAGCACGACAAGTGTCATATTTTTGCCTTTCCGACCCGCCGAACTAATCTGTCAGTGTGCACAGTAGGTAAAATAAATATCGATTATGGAAATATAATGTAATTGGTATATAATCTATTCAGAAGTGTGACCAAATCATATAAAAATGGGCTTAATCTTTTAACATATTTCAATAAATGATCAATTATATACGATTAGTTCTTCTGGTTAACACTGGAGAGGTAAAATACTTATTGTAGTCTAGTGAAATGCAAAATATCTCCCTACAATTTTTTATAATTATTGTTCATTTAAGATTTAAAAGAGAAAAACCAAGACAGAAATATCAATAATAATATTTTGAGGGGCAAGTGTTTTGAAGTCAACGACCTTAACCACTCGACCACGGACGTCTTTTGAGAATCAATTATAAAATTAAAGAAACAGCATGACTGCTTTTACTGTTAATGACATTTTAAAATCCATTAGATTAACGTGTAGACAGTTCATCTGAAAATCACATGTAATGATTATGTGTCAGCCTCTCAAAGGGGCCGTGGGTTCGAGTCTACTCGTATTGAAGTAAGTTTTGTGATAAATCCCAAGAAGCGGATCCGGAAGTACTTGATATATGTAGCATGAGTTTGTTACCAAATCGAGCTTGAATATCATGTATGTTTAGACTAAAGTAAACTACTTAACGAATATGCCGGACAAGAATGAAAATCGTTTAAATAATAAAATTATGATAGAAAATGTTATTATAAAAAATATAATAAACAAGATCAACAAGGAAAGGCGGCATTCAAAGTAAATTAAGCTGTATTTTTCTCCGTATGGCCCTTTTGCAACACACATATGTACTTTGAATTTTCGTACATACTCGTACATAGATTTCAACATCATGACACTTACTACACTGGTACCGTGGTAAGTTTTGGGTTATTAATTAATCTTCTTGTAAATAACATTTAATTTGCGTTACAAAAGCCGCATAATATAGATGGGTAATCAGTTTTACTTACAACACGGCTCCCGGTCTTCCCCATAGACATGTCAAAAACTTGTTCTTTCTTGAGAACGTGCATGCTAAAAGTAATATCATCAGCACCTGAAGACAGATTTTAAAACTATAAAATATCGTTTACTGACATGTTTCTTTGGTGATTTTGTTATGGAATCTATATATTTAATAATGCCAATGTTAAATTAGTTAAGAGGTCAATTTTCACCTCATGGATATACGAGTATTATAGAATAAGACATTTTTTCTCACTGCCGATGAAAATTGTGTTACATACTGCTAAATTCACACCAGTGACAGAAATAGACCGATATGACCTAGGTATTAAAGTAAACGTAAAAGACCATGGTGTTTTACAAAATCCATTGTTACATTGTGTCAGAAACCTTCAGGTCACTAAATAATTGATCTCAGCATGGAGAACAGGTAACAAAACCTGTATAACTTTGATCATGTCATTTAGTGTCACTATAATACAATGGATAGAATGTTTCTTTGTTATGTTTGGTTATACGGCGAATTAACACATTTATTGTCATAAGGCGCCGAAACAGGAAATATGCTTGTTGCTAAATTCAGATGCAACACATTTTCAGCAACACCAGGAGTCAGAACTACTTCACCTGCTGGAGTAAAAAGATGCATAGACTCAAGTTATTCGAACTATTTTAGCTGTCTCTTGCGATCAAGCATGTTTAAACAGTGGCTATACAATTCTAATGTCTCAACCCGCAACCGTTAAATGCAACCATTCAGCCACAAGGGGAATGAATAGCATGTGTTTTAGAGGATGTTGTATGAATTGCAGAATGATCAACCAGGCGATACGATAACAAAATGCGATTCAGTTGTCATCGAAGCATGGAGTTGAACGAAAGATGACAAGGACCGCCTGAAATTTCCAGCTAGGAATCGGTTTAGGGGAAAGGTGAATGGGAAAGGACAAGAACCCTGGCCTTTATTTATGACGTAATCCAGTCGCGCTAAATTTTCTCTGTACTGCCAAGTAAACATAAACATCGCCGCTTTATTTAGAATTGAATCTTTGCATTATGATGTATCAAGTTACTGCATTGGGCTGTACTTATATATGGCTATTTCTTCAGATAACTTGTTTGTTTTGTTGAACAGATAGTTTTTGCATTAAGGTGTACTTACCTAAACCACTCTTATGCATTCAACTGCACTCACCGGTTTAAAAAATGTTGCATTTATTGCATGCACAGATGGCATTATCATTGCATTTATTGCATACACAGACGGCATTATAATTAAGCCATTATTGTTGCATAAAACGAGAATTGTACTTACAGATGGTATTGTGATCCAAAAATGAAATGCCTGGGTTGATATCTTTGATGTGCATTCTGTCCTAGAAAAATATAAACACACTATTAGAGCATGCCCAATTTTATCAATATACTAGTATGTTAGCTAACATGCTATCTATCACCTCTTAGTTTTTGCAAGCTTCTGCTAAATATCGTTAGCATTGTTGTTGTCTTTTTTTGCCAGCTATTGCAAGGTCAACCAAGATCTAGATCTTGGTTACATATTGATAGACTATGTTTAATGATATAATATAATATAAAAATTTGATATATGTACTGGTACCAAATTACAAATGCATTAACATATTGAATAGATAGATAACATTAAAATATTGTAAAGGGGTATGTGAAACGTATAAAATTGACTTAGCAATTCATTCAGCTATAAATTTGTTCCTTTCTAATCTAGCTTATTATAAAGACGGATGTAAATAATTACTTCATGGTGTATAGGTTTACCATTATTTGCGTCTTTTTTTATTTGCAACAACGCTGTCAATTAGTGATATCCATGCGTTCTTTTGGTGGTATGAAGAGTTGAATAATCGGCCCATTGTCATCTGCAGATGTCAATTATTTATATAAATCTTTTACAAAATATGACTCTAGCGCGTTGTTGAGGCGTCAATTGACGAGAAGCGGACAGACATTCAGACAGACAGACATATGGACGGACGTTTGTACATCGTATAAGCTTTATCTGTCAGCTCTCAACGGTTTATAAACTACGAAATTTGAAACCCTGACTTAACAATGAAAAAAGAACTTGTTAAGTAGGTAGTCCCACTAGTTATGAATTGGGTATAAAGAAATTCACGAATGCAACAGTGACTTATGTTAATATATGACCGAGTTTATAAATACTTCCCTCTTTTTAGCTAGATTTAATCTTTTATGTATAGAGGTCAATAACTCTTTGAAATATAGTGTTACATTATTCAAGGGTCAAAATATAATACAGAAAGTCATTTCAACCAAGGTTTACATAAGATACACTAAATGACTTTAAAATTATATTTATTTGGACCGATTCAGATTATCTAATTTCTTTCGAAGGTTTTCTTTTTTTACCGGAGGATTTTTTTTTGTTTCCGAAAATAACTGTTAAGGCAAAAAAAACCTACATACATTATATGAGAAGCATGAGTTGAAATACAAGAGCTAGCGTTTACGAGTAACATATAATTTAATCGTATGTACGACACAAACAAATCCCCCCTTTTGTCAAGCATCATGCACTCTTATTCATGAAGTAATCAAACTAAGAGGTCACATTATTCTTGTTGAACTACTAAGAATTTGTTAATTTTTAAAATAATTTTGCAAATATGCTTTTGTTTGTTTGTTTGCTTCATTTTACGCCTTTTCCCAACAGAATTTCAGTCATATAGGCGGGTAGTTTCCTAACCATCGTTCCTGGAGAGTTACACCAGTACTACACTACCTTCCTCCGTGCTAAACTACCATAGCATCTCCCGGTGATCGAGCCCACACCAGACAGGTAACTGGATTAGAAGCCATCGAATCTAACCCCTCGACCACGGAGGCGGTATTTGCAGATATGCATGTACTTCTCATAATTACATAAATTTCACTCACGGCAGACAGCATTTATGACAATATTTAGACTTATTTTCGATATATATTCTGTCCATCCACACTCAGATTTAGATATAGGCCGGATAGTGTGAAAAATACATTTTCACAATTTATTGTGAAATTATCAAGTGAGATATAATTTCACTTTTTACAAAAAAATATGTACTAAAGGAGGTTGTTCGAAAAAAGCAAACATCATTATTCCTTTAAAATCGTTATCCGACAAGAAGAGCAATAATCTTCGATGATAAACATTTCGCAGAGCCAGACCAGCGTGTTAGATGGCTGACTAATTTTCATCTTCATTATATGAGCCGCGTCACGACAAAACCAACATTATGCATTTGCGACCATCATGAATCCAGACCAGCCTGCGCATCCGCGCAGTCTGATCTGGATTCATTCTTTTCATGTTGTCCATCAGTTTCTCTACGTGTAATAGAGTTGGTAAGCGAACAGTAAGGATCCTGATCAGACTGCGCAAATGCGCAGGCTGTTCTTGATCCATGCTGGTCGCAAACGCACTTTATGTTGGTTTTGTCGTGACGCGGCTCATATATATTCCCAAAATTCCGTAAACGGAAGCTGGACAAGTTAAATTAAAGAAAAAAACATCAACAATTTAAGTGTGAGTAGGTTTAACACAGCAATCACGCACATATATATTATTATGGGTCATACCAGTTTGAACGTGTGAAAATCGTTCAAAAACGAATTACTTCGCACGCTGGAAAACGTCTATTAAGTTATACACAAAATAATTTCAATACTGATCGGTCACTTTTAAAACATACAAAAAAGATTCTGTTTTCGGTTTATACTTTAATTGCAGATATACAAGAAATCTTAAACTATGAATATTTCTCAAAAATGTCTAATATAAGAGTTAAGCAAAGTTTTAATCACTTAACAAAAATACATTTAAGTGTTACTTTATATTGTTCTATTATTTGTCTGTCTGTCAAAAACAGAAATTGTCAATCAATTTCATATTTACGTTAATTAAAAATGGCTTAATAAAGTCAGACACTCAGTAAACGGCAACTTTGATTTAAACAAATAGTACTGGATATAACATTTATCAGTCGGCAATTAAACTCACAACTGTGTTTCGTTTGGGTTTCAGTGTGTTAATGAGAGGTTAAATTGAAATTATACTTGTTACCACAAAACGCTCCTGAAAAAGATGTTTGCAAGGTATATATATGTATACACATCAATGCACAAAGAAGTATAAAACGGCATTATATGCTCACAGTATATAAACAAGTCTACTTCCTGTACTCGCAAGAAAGATACAAGTCAAAAGATAAAGGCTCACAAGAAGGATACAGTGATTGGAAGTAACATGTGCTTGTACTCGCAAGACAGAGTATACATTGAATTGTACAGGCTCACCAGACAGAGTACACATTGAATTGTATAGGCTCACAAGACAGAGTACATATTGAATTGTACAGGCTCACCAGACAGAGTACACATTGAATTGTTTAGGCTCACAAGACAGAGTACATATTGAATTGTACAGGCTCACAAGACAGAGTACACATTGAATTGTATAGGCTCACAAGACAGAGTACAAATTGAATTGTACAGGCTCACAATACACGGTACACATTTAATTGTACAGGCTCACAAGACATAGAACACATTGAATTGTATAGGCTCACAAAACAGAGCACATATGGAATTCTATAGGCTCACAAAATAGAGTAAACATTGAATTGTATAGGCTCACAAAACAGAGTACATATTCAATTGTATAGGGTCACAAAACAGAGTACACATTAAATTGTATAGGCTCACAAGACAGAGTACATATTCAATTGTACAGGCTCACAAGACAGAGTACATATTGAATTGTAAGGGCTCACAAAACAGAGAACACATTGAATTGTATAGGCTCACAAGACAGGGTAAATATTGAATTGTACAGGCTCACAAAACAGATTACACATTGAATTGTACAGGCTCACAAAACATAGAACACATTGAATTGTACAGGCTCACAAGACAGAGTACATATTGAATTGTACAGGCTCACAAGACAGAGTACAAATTGAATTGTACAGGCTCACAAGACAGAGTGCACAATGAATTGTACAGGCTCAAAAGACAGGGTACATATTGAATTGTATAGGCTCACAAGACACGGTACACATTTAATTGTACAGGCTCACAAGACAGAGTACATATTGAATTGTATAGGCTCACAAGACAGAGTACACATTGAATTGTATAAGCTCACAAGACAGAGTACATATCGAATTGTATAGGCTCACAAAACATAGTACTCATTGAATTGAACAAGCTCACAAGACAGAGTACACATTTAATTGTACAGGCTCACAAGACAGAGAACACATTGAATTGTATAGGCTCACAAGCAGGGTACACATTGAATCGTACAGGCTCACAAAACAGAGTACACATTGAATTGTACAGGGTCAAAAGACATAGAACACATTGAATTGTACATGCTCACAAGACAAAGTACATGTTGAATTTTACAGGCTCACAAGACAGAGTGCACATTGAATTGTACAGGCTCACAAGACAGGGTACATATTGAATTGTATAGGCTCACAAGACAGGGTTCACATTAAATTGTATAAGCTCACAAGACAGAGTACATGTTTAATTGTATATGCTCACAAAACAGAGTACACATTGAATTGTACAGGCTCACAAGACAGAGTACACATTGAATTGTATAAACTCACAAGACAGAGTATATATTGAATTGTATAGACTCACGTGACAGAGTACACATTGAATTATATGGGCTCACAAGACAGAGTACACATTGAATTGTACAGGCTCACAAGACAGAGTTCACATTGAATTATATAGGCTCACAAGACATGGTACACATTGAATTGTACAGGGTCACAAGACAGGGTACACATTGAATTGTTCAGTCTCACAGACAGGCAGGGTACACATTGAATTGTACAGGCTCACAAGACAGAGTACACATTGAATTATGTAGGCTCACAAGACAGGGTACAGTGATTTCGTTTATATAATATGATGCTGTATTTGATCAATGTTTTAACAAACTATCTGTTTTCAATGTCTCTCACTGTCCTGATCATGTTCATTTTCATGTTTTTACTTTCTCTCACACCTTTTACTAACACACCCGACGCGCACAATTTCCTGCCTAGAACACTCGCGAGAGGGGTTGGCAGTACTCAGAGATAGATAGATAGATAGATAGATAGATAGATAGATAGATAGATAGATAGATAGATAGATAGATCACGTTAGGGTTATAAATATAAAGGATCCATGCTGTTTGCAATCAGTTTCTCTTCTTGTTATAAGGATTGTAAGCGAACAGCATGTATCCTGATCAGGCTGCGCGGATGTGCAGGCTGGTCTTGATCCATGCTGGTCGCAAACGCACTATGTTGGTTTTGACCTGACGCGGCTCATATATAGTTCAAGTGATATCCCGCATTTCTATAAAATTACAATTAAAAGAATATTTTACATGAAACAATTATTAATGACATGTCTGTAAATTTTAAACGATGCAGTAAACGAAAAATACCTGGAGTTAGAAATCTCGAAACAAGGTCGACAACTCGTGCTGTTTACTGCTGAAGAAAAACGGTTTAAAAAAAAAACTTAAACTGAAGATAATTTTATTATAAAGTGGGCAAAAATTAAAGATGTAATAAAGATATGATTGAAAATATTTCGATAAAATTTAATTAACAGTTAGACACAAATGTCCATAATAGCTTGATAAGATTCAATGCCCGAGAGAACTTTCGCCTGGTCTGAAGTTCTCCTACTGAGCTAAATGCGTGTTGAATACTACAAGAATTAGGCTCTAATTTTTGTGTTGTCGATAATGAAAACATTCTCACTCAATCAACAAGAACTTCACCATCAACGGAAGATTATTGTATGATAATTTTACAATTATTAACGAAACAAATCGCCCAGGTGCTTGTATTTGTGTATGTTTGTTTTACGATTGAAAAAAGATTTGATTACAACAGAGTAGATTTGATTGACAAATTTACTTTGAAATAGTCATTTAGTTCTCGACAGAGGCAAGTTTATCCCGATTTCCAATGACAGAGAAGAAATAAAGAGAGAAACAAGTGCCATTGTACGTGGTTTACAAAAATTCAGTGAAATTTAACTTACACTTCTGTTTCATTGTCATTTCCCGATCCAACATTCTCGTAGAATCCATTCAATGCAGATAAAAATTCCGCCATCTTCCGGTATATCTTTATGATCTATTGTTTAATTGTTTCCTCTACTTATATGTTATGTACACCTAGTTGTTGTTCATTTCCTTGAGATATGGTTTATTTTCTTTATATATCCTGAAATATGAGGGGAAAAACCTGATTCAATTTTGCACATTAAAGCACTCCTTTTTGGGAGATGTCAGTCGCCAAATAGCTGAAATAAGCAAATAAAAAAGCTTTATATCCTATAGAGCTTTACTGTCTGTAGCATTATTTTAAAGTTAGAAATGTATAAATGACAATCATAAAAAAATGACTCATAAAAAATCCCTTATTCTCGATGTATCGCATAAGTATATCGGTCGGTCGGCAATCGGTCGGTCGCATGGTCAGTCGCAGGTCGGTCGTTTTTCTGTTGTTTTTGTGAAGGGGGGGGGGTTAAACATCGGTGGTGACATTTCAACTTTTTGAATTATCGAGCTCATCTTCACGAATTCAGGTTTTCAACTTCATGCATTCACGATTTCAACTTCATGAATTCACGTATTGAACTTCACAAAGTAGAAATCGTGATTTCAAGAACTTGAATCGTGAAGGTCAAATCGTGAATTCATGAAGTTGAAATCTGGAATTCATGAAGTTGAATCGTTAGTTCGTGACTTCCGTATACTGAAATCGTGAATGCATGAAGTTGAAATTGTGAATTCGTTAAGATGAGCCCGAGAATACTAGAAGTTAAAATGTCACCATCGGTCTTTAACAGTCGATTTTAAGGCCTCAACAGACGGTAGGATTTTGAAGTACAACACCAATTAAAACTAAGATGTAAAGGCAAATCTTAATGTATGAAGGCTACTATTTCTTTAAACCTTATGTCTAGATGTAAGGGATAGGACATGTTCTATTTTGAAAATCTTCTCGTACAGATCTCTACAGACCTCCCACAATGACAATTAACAGATTACAAAATTATCTCCTGGGTGTAATGAATGAAATTCCAGAACAATTAGGGCTAAAAGGTAAACATAGTAGTAAGATGGGGGTAAAAATGATGTTGAAAAACTCTTCAGGAGACCCAAAGTTGTGGTATGTTCGAATTCCAAATTAATTCCGAAAATGATTATGTCACGGTAATGAACTGTTCTCTAATTAGGGGAGGCGGCCAGATAGCTTTGTCAGTAGAGCCGCAGTACAGTATTCGGAGGGTCCCAAGTTTGAGTCTCGGTCAGGCTTCACATTAAAAAAAAATTAAATGGAGATGTTTCTATCAATTCTCATGGCGAAAAAAGTATTTAGTGAGTTAAGTATGTAAAGGATCAATGTAAAGGGATCCTTTTTAGAGAAACCTCAGATGATTCCTACAGTGTAGAATTACCGTCTAAATGCGAGTGTTGTATTGCTTTGGAGATTGTACATGTTATCTCTAATTAGTGCTGTACAACTAAATCCTAACGACTATTGAGGCCTTAAGATAAATTTAATTACTATTGTAATATCGTACGCAAATTTGAATAGTTTTAAGCATGCAGAAGTGCATTTGTATTTCAATTGCAAATGTTCTTTTAAAATCCAGCCAAGCGTTTAGAAAATTAATATAAGTATTTTAAAGTTAAATTCATTTTATTATATTTCCAACAACATTTACTGCTTCAGAAGCCATATAGGTTTTATATTAAACGTATATACTTGACAGTGATTAATAAAGAATATGCAAACCAATACTTTCTAATTTCAATAAACTGCACATTTTATTTTCCTGGGTTTAATGTAAACCTTTTCAAACAGCATATTTAAAGCAGACGACATAAAAGTGAATGTAATGCAAAATTATTTTTTAAAAGGCTCAGTGCAGAAACAGCTAGGCTCAAAATGGTGGGGGATTTATCCCCCTTCCCGTCAAAAATGTATTAGTTTGCTGACATAACACTTTAGTCGAAAAAAGTTAAGACGACTTGAGAAAATATCACGTTCTGTAACTTTATCACCAACTATGAGTTGTTCTAATGTAAAGCACCGTAACTCTAGACTCACGCTATCTTTTATGAAAAATTAAAAAATGTATTTAATAGTAAAATATTGTGAAGTGAACAAAGAAAGTTGCTTAACACGTTACAAATGGCACTCACAATCCACGCAAATTATCAACCAAAGTTGAAATATGCAAAATAATCTTGCGTTGGTTATGCAGATAAATAGTGCAAAATAAGTTTGTTTTCTTGAAATATTTTAGCCAGGCAGTTACAAAATTCTATTGCGACCAGTTTATGGGTCGTGAAAATCAGGCCACGCTTTCATAATGGTAAACAGAATGCAATAATCACAGAATTCCCTTCTCCTGACAGGTAAAGCGATAATATAATCCTTTGTTGTCATCCCTTAGTAAGTCCAGACAATAATATCAAAGTAAAATCGTAGTTACATTAAACAAATATTTGCAATTATACTTAGTTTTCGACCGACCCCAATAACTTCACTACATTAACAAGTCTAAAGTTTATTTTTACTAAAATTATTAGTTACACAAAAAAGAGAGACATATAGAATCAATAAAGGAAGTCCAAAACGGCAAAATTGAAAATGTTGCAGACTCGGTTTGATTGATTTTCAACCACCTTGATAAATTCGTATACTTTCGATCTAATTAAGTTTGCGTTAATATTGTATTGCCGGATGATAAGTTTATTTCTATAAATACAACAATAAAAAAACGAGAAAAAAACCGAACATCTGCGAAATGGTGTTGTACTTTAATGTAGTCAAATATCTTATGTGAAAAAGAAAATAACTAGTCCAGTTATAGAAAATCAATACATAGAAGGTAACAAGTTATTAAATAAATCTAGGTTAAGCAAATGTGTTTAGATATTTGCTTTTCTGAAATACGTATAATGGTAACGTTATTCTTTCGAGAAATTATGTGGCTATGAAATAAATATGAACTTAATTACATAAAACATTTGATTTCACATTATGCGCATCGATTAACCTAGAGTTCACTTACCTATGGTTTTATCCATTCATTACTTAAAACTTGTCCTTCAGGTAAGATCCAAAAATACTATAAAGTACCTCCAAAACCTATTTCAAAACACCACAAGAGAATAAATATAACATTGTCCATTCAACATACCACGATCCATGCGGATCACTCGCTTTTAATCGGGTAGGTCGCCAATGTTTACAAATTTTACAACACATTCAAAACGACTATTCCAACCCAGAGGGGAATGGCAATGCAGAACGTTGTAATATTGCAACGGTTACCGCGTCCATTCGTTCGATCATTATCGGACTACAATGACCTATTATTAACAGGCAAAACAGCCTGCAAATTATAAAATATTAGAAAATGAAACACATGGTAATTCAGTTATATTAAATAATGGTATGAACTGTTTTAATGGAATCATGGGCTAGGTATGATTAATTCATGAAATGCATGCTTTAAACTCCCAAAACAAATTAGATATTAAAGTGTTTGATTAATTCTGTTTGGAAAAAAAATGTAAATGTTACAAGCATTGAATAGTGCTATTTTAAGTCTTGGTTTGATTTCTTTAGTGAAAGTTATTTGCATGGATATGCATACAAATGTATATTACATGTACTTGCAAAATGCAGTGTTGCGAATAATGTATAAAATTAACTTTTAAAATAAATTATGTTATGAACGATCATTTTACATAGTTACACACTTTCATTTAACATAGTTACAATGTACACGGTTACTTGCATAACTTAAGCTGAAATGAATAAGTTACTCTCAGAATACATATACAAATAATAAATATCAAAAGCATGGCTTTCAAAATTCCATTTTATTTAGTTCCGCCCATTAATTGCTTTCTCGTTTAGGGCAAGCGCAATTTTTTACTTGGGGGCCATATGCCGCTTTTCATGGAATGGCACTTACGTGTCACATTGAAGGTTCCATGATAACCGCCATATGAACACATCTGCGGATGTTTCAAAATTCAAATTTCTACCAGTTCATATTAAATGTTGAATTCTGCTTAAGCCGGTGCTTAGGGGGCGTGGTCGGTAGTTTGCACTTGACAGTACCGTCCATGAACAGGCTCAATCAAACCGAGCCTGCAACATTTTCAATTCTGCCGTGTTAGGCTTTCTTTAGGGATTCTTATTTTCTCTATTAATACAAGAAATCAAGCGTGTTTATCAATACATACGAGGGTTGTCCCAAAAGTCCGTGACAAATTTTATAGCCGGTTCATTTTTAACGCCAATAGAAAATAATTCACACATATAACCGTTAAGTTTATTATTTAACATTACAACAAATCATTTACAAAAAATATACCCTAGTTATTTAGAAATTTTCAGTATTAACGACATTGGTTTGAGTTGCCGGCGCACGTCAAATAATTTACATTTTGTTCTGAATAGGCTGAAATTAATTACGTATATTTCAAATATCTGATGATGTGTCTGCACAATGTCACGTTGACTTCCTCTGCTGCTATGTTTAAATCATATCTGAAAATTTTAGTTAAATAACTTAAAAAACGGAAAAGATACGAATAAATGAAAATTTCTTATATAAAATAGGAAAGTTAAAATGGCGACGTTCGAAGAATTTGCGGCGCAGTGAACAGGTCACTCAGGTTTCATGACTATTTCGAGATGACACATGTAACGATTTTCAACAAATATACCAAATATAACAGTTTAGCAACATATTCTGAGCATTTGTGTACAAAAGGCATGAACGGAACCAGAGTTTTGCGCTACAAAAAGCGAAAATAAGGAAAACACGGATAGGAAGACCGATCTTCGTCGCCTATTTCCTACAGCTAAAAACAGGAGTAACGAGACCGGAAGTTCGCGTATAGCAAAAATGAATGTATGCCATCCAAACAATCTACAGACATTAACAACCACATGATTTAAGTCAGAAATTGACGATTTATGGGTACCATTATTGCGTTGAAAGCCATTGAGAGTATTCGAGAAAGGCGCCTTATATAGATTTAACGCCGTCTTTGACGCTGGACTTGCGCCGCGATTCAGTTAGTTGCCATGGTGTTTATGGCATATTTTTGTTGTTTGTTGATATTTATCTATGAAAATTTGTGAAAATGTTTAAATTATATGGGTTTATAACATATTAAAATATCAAATTCGTACCTGTTTTATTTAGCTTTTAATCAATCTTGTCACAGAATATTGGGACAACCCTCGTACATGCAGTGGAGATTTATTTATAGAAGCGATATTTTAGTTTAGACTTTGCTTCACTGAATATGAATGTACAAAATTTCAACAAAAAAAAAATCATTGAAAATCTTTAACCGTATCGCCGTCGAACCATAATTGCATAAGGAGCACTGCTTTAAACTTAAATTTACCAATTTTCGTTTGTAAAGGAAATATTTGTGTAGGCGTTTAATTCACAAACAATTTCGTAATATATGTGTAGTGTTTTATTTCAAAATGTATACATTTATATGGTTATACCTGACTAAGCAATGAGCTAGCTATTAAACTCTTAAATCATGACCTGTATTGAACTACCCACTTTAGTTTATTTGTTTATACCCATGGTCAGTTATATCTGGGCGACGGCTTCCCTGTGAAATGAGTAAACTTCTCTACAAATGACCAACTTCATGCATGATTATGAGAGACAAATGACCATACGACTCAGCAACACAGCAAAACTGCGCGCATATATTTGGTACGTGTATACAAATTAACAAAAATATTTGAGAAATTAAACATCTGCATATAAAGCAATCGAACTCTACACAAAGATTGATTGAACTGTTTACTGTAAAATTAAGAAATAAATAATTTGAAACTACGTTATAAGACGTTTATAATCAAATCCACATACGAGTATACCCGAGAAATAAAATTTCAAAATCAAGTCAATATATGGCAAATTGAGTAAATGTGCTCAATGTTCTTGTTCTGGCTAGAAAATTTCTATATAACAGATGACAAAGGGCGTTCAATTATGCTGTCATACATAACTTCAATACAAACTAGGGAGGCTACGCGATAATTGAATTGTGGTTAAATATAAAGACAAAATGTAAGGACTTTGTAAATATCTCCATTAGCGAAGTGACTGTTGACCTAAGATTTGATGTGATTATATTGACATGTCTTTCCATTTCATACCATCTTGTATGAGAACACATGTTTATTTAAGTTAGATAAAATTCAACATGGTTGTCACCGAAATTTTTTCTCTTTCGTTTCGTTTTCTTCTTAATTCTTTTCCTTAGCCTCATCATCACTATTATTATCAATATCAATAACATTGTTATCATTATGAAAATCATTCTTGTATAGATATCATCATCATCATCGTCGTCGTCATCATCATAAACATTATATATCAATAATTAATATTAAATATTATTATTATTATTATTATTACTTCCTTTTCATATTGTTTTAGGTTACTGAACAATTAGAATCTTATTAGTCACCGTAAATTGGCTTTATTTTGGCTCAGAATTCATATCTTTGGCTAATTACTCCGTGGAAATTTCAGGGAGGTAAATTATCACCACTGACTGCATGGTGGCATGTCCTGGATCCATACGCGACTACGAAAGCTGCATTCGACAGCGGATCGACCCTCATTGAACTCAGACTATAGACACAAATGCTAAGAATTATAGTGAACCTTAATTATTCAGTATAATGATCAGAATAAAAGACAAAAAATAAAAGCATTACAATATATACATGTATTTATAAGGCAACCTAGCTAGCTGCAAAACATGTTTTCTTTCTTTCAACATCATTTCCATATTATGTGAAATTAGGCTAATAATAAATACAAAATAAAGAATGGCGTCTCTATTATCCTGATTGGCGTTTCAAAGTTGTGATACCTGTGAAAATAAAAGTACTATATCCTTGTTGATACTCGATTAAATATTTTCATTAATTTAGAACATGTTCTTCTGCCTTAATTGTAACAATCAAACCTACCATGTTTTGATCAAATCTGAACCATTTCCACTGCATATTTTGTGTTTTGGGCCGATATTTGTGTAAGTACAGAACGAGTATTCGTATAGAGTAATTATTTAAGTAGGGTAATGGTATACTTCACTTTTAGCGACTTGACAGTTAACATGATTGCAATTATCATCAGATTTCACGACATTCAATGGGTCAAAAATTTAGGTCAAACTATAATTTGTATTGATTTTCCCATAGACTTATAAAGAGAAATGGTCCTTAAACCTACATTAAAATGCTAACACGTTACAAGTGCCAACCATAAAAATTGCCAATCAAAATGATCATAAAATAAGAATGCACATAAAAATGCCTGTCGACTATTCTCCCCCTTACCATTTCCTTCCCTGATGTTTCCTTCCTGAGTGACTTACCAGTTTCTTCTCTGAAGTTTCCTCCTCCCTGACTGTTTTCCCCCTATTCTGGGGGAGAATTTTCTGCATTTTTGCGAGATTTGACCACCAAAATGGGACAACTATCAAACCTGGACGGCCCCGTAAATGCCTGATTTAATTTATATCTTTGTTAAGTGGCTGTCAATCTGTCAGCAACCTTTTTATCAACAGTAATTGCATACTTCTTCTTTAATTTTTCTTTTGATACATGTTGTCCTAATATTGAAATAAATAAGATTTTCCAAAATCTACAGCAATTTTTAAAACAAAAGTTTGTTTTATTTGGATTGCTGAATGTGATACAAAACATCCTGTCTGCTGATTTATAGAAGCTTTGACAACATTGACTGGTGTTTGCTGATATTAAGGCAATTGATTGTTTTAAGGGTACATATAGGCAGATTCACAAGCAAAATTGTATTGAGGTATGGAAAAGTGCTTAATTAGAATTTAAATAAAGTGACAATATTTATATAAGTGTGGTGTAAGAGTGAGACATGTCAACACCAGGACAAGATTTACAATAATTTATATCAGTCATCTTGTTAAAATGTCAAACAATTGACCTTCATAATCATGATATCTGGAAAGTCTTCTGCAGGCTAAGGGCATCCATTAGGGGAAGTTTTGGAGTCATTACGAATTACTCCTGATTTTGACTTGTGACTTCAAAAGTGTAGAGCTTTTCCTTCTTTACCTCACCTATATAACGTTTCTTTCAATATCAGACATTTTCTGTCTTCCAAATTTTGGAAGTAAGTGATGCCCTGTTTTGAAATCGCTTTGATGACTATGAAATTATGATACAGGAAAACAAAAGGTGTTTTCAAGAAACCTGTCTTATTGATTGCTCCATAGGGGATGAGGTTTGTGAAGCAAAATTTAAATTTTGATTTTAAATTTTGATGTTAAATACAGTATGAGCTAAGTTAAATCCAATAAGCTAGGGCTCTTGAAAATACCTATTTATAATAAATAATTTGAATCAACTATGTTTTTGGTTATTGATTTCTGTTCACACAGTGTCATGCTTATTAATTGGTAGATACATGTACTACACATGTATGTCATAGTAAAGGGGTACACACCTCACAGATGGACCAAAAAAAATACCTTGCTTTATATATGTTATTCTGATTTTATTAAGTAACTGTCAACATTTTTTTCACTTTTTTGTTTGTATTATATTAATATACAAATTATTTTAGCGATGATATCCCTCTTAAGGTTTTTTTAGAGCACACCCTGTCGGCAATTTTTGTATAAAGTACCAAATTTATATGAAAGATTCACTAAACATAAAAGTATTAAAAAGTTATAAAATTTATCTAAAATATATGACTATTGTGTTTTTCAGTGTACATTGACAAGAATGGGAGAGGTGTACCAGTACCATATTACAATGTTGGTCACTGATGAACAGGTGGATGCTATCAGAGCCTTTTTTAAAGAGAAAAATTGGCCATGCTGGCTAAAAGGTAAGAATTGTATTAAATCTAGAGGATAAATTATGTCGAAAGAACATTGATGTTATAAGGTAAAATTTTGGCTTGAAATGAAATTCATCCCCTCTGCATAAGACTATAAAAATAGTGTCCATGAAGAATTGTCTAACCTATTCTTTTAATAATATTAGTCAACCAAGAACCCATTTACATTTGAACGTTTTGTAATTTGTAATACACATTGAGGTTTGCACATTTTGTATTGGGGTACTTTACTTAGTGGAATCGGCCGAATTACCAGAATCGACCGGAATAGGCGGGGAAATACTGCAATCAACCTGTAATTTTGTTATTACTGAACTTTTAAAGAATAGTCTTGCACATTTTATCAGATACAAACATAATCAATTTGATACTTAGAATAATATTGATTCTACTGAATAAATGTATAGTACATTATTTTACATTAAGTATTTTTACTTTAGTGTCTTTTAAGTTCAAACATACCAGTATCTGACATCATTTTCATACCTTGCAAATTTTGACATCTCTTTCAGTGTTAACAGACGAAAATGTAGCTGGACTAGTTCAGGGTGGATTTACAGATTTATTCCCGATCATGGCAGCCGGACAAGATGGCGGCATTGGACATTCTATATTTACTGAGATCAAATCTGAAGTAGTTGATATAGATGAAGACTCAACTTCATCCGAGAAATTGAATGATTTGCCGAAGAAGCTAGAACCACCAGAGATCTCTGATGATGATGAAAATACAATGGATTATGATATGATGTGTTCAAAAGAGATAGATTCTGGTTCTGAAAGTAACACAAAATCGAATGAAAAAAATGAAACAAGTACAACATGGAAAATTTCTATTTCCGAAGTAAAGGACAATGATGGAAAAGGATCATCGAACAAATTAAAGTGTCCTTTATGTGAAACTACGTGTGTAACAAAAACCATTCTAAAAAGACACTTCAAAAGGCGGCACAAAGGTAAAAAATGGCTTGATGTTGAATGCTCTGATTGCAAGGAAAGGTTTACAACAAGTAAGTATATCATTATATGATATTTTAATTCTGAAACTGAAGTGACTGAAAGTGATTTTCTTTTCACACTAGTAAAGGGCCATGCAAGTCTGCCTTAAGTTTACAACTTCTCTGGCCAGAATCTACATGTATACTGTTCAATGTTGGTAGCTAATTTTTGGCTTGGTTGAATAAGTGCATATCCGGGTTATAGTATAGTGAATGTGGGGTGGCATACAGGCAGGGAAATAATTTTGTAACAGTTTTCTCAGCAACTACTGATCACAACCTCTTGATATTTGGTATAAGCATTAACATGTAGTCCCATACCATGGGAATCAATTTTTCAGGTCTGTCACTCATCCATTTCCTGTTTAGCAATTTTGTTAAATTTTCAACATAAATGGTCAATGGTAGACAATTTTTGTAACATCACATAGAGCCTTATGATAATTGGTATACAAATGCAACCTTGAACGCGGCCATTGATCACTGTGGGTGCTGCTTGAATTCAAATATGAACAATGTCTGATTCATTTGTAGAGGAAGAACTTTGGGAACATAGAAGAGAAGTGAACCATGACCCTCCGAAAGAAAAAACAAATATGGTTTCAGTCAACCAGCTTACGCCAGAAGAACGTATAAGATTGGGTCATTTGAAGTGTCAAATTTGTGCAAACTTTTATCCGCACAAACGATCGCTGAGAAGACATATGAACAAAGTCCACAAAGATGTGCTTCCTAAATGGAACTGTCCTATTTGTGACATTGAATTTGAAAATCGTAAGTTTTAAATTGAATAAAGTAAGGGTACCATTTTTTAATGACTTTTCTGTATTGAACTTTGGGTCATTTTAGTCGCTATTTATCCCTTTTAACCTTTGGCCAGCTGCAGGCAACTGATTTCTACTAATGGGACCAATGCAGACCAAGATCAACTGGCACAGCGGTGCTGTCTCATCTTAGTTTAATGTTTGATATTTATTCACAATATTTCAACTTCCTTTTAGAACAGCACGCCCTCAGATATATGTTAATTTTCATGAAAATTTTGGAAATGTATTTAAAAGTAAAATATTGTGAGTTGAGCAAATATAGTAATTTACATATTGCAATCAGCACTTACAATCCAAGAAAATTACCAAAAAAGTCGTCAACATATGCAAAAATAGCGTTTACTAACAGTGTTAGTGAAGCAGTAGAAATATGATTATAAAACACTGCAAAATCAGTCTTAAACTGCACATAACATGAAAAATGTAACTTGGATCTTAAATGTTTTACCTTTCTTAAAACATTAGTACATTTTTCTCAATATTAATTTCTTGAAATATTTTGGCTCATCTGGAGGCGTGCAGCTTTAAAAGTCATACAAAAATCCACTTTTCATCAGGTTTTTGCATTACTTGATATTGTATCATTCCTATGCGTGCTTAACAAAACAAAGATATACCCTGTATTTAATGACCTGGCAACAAAAATATTATTGGAAAATTCAAGCTATAATTATACCCCCGCACAACAAAGTTGTAAGGGGGGTATACTGGAATCAGATTGTCCATCCGGCCGTCCGGCGTCCGGCGTTTTTTTCTTGTCCACCCAATAACTTAAGATTCCTTTGACCCACAGTCTTCATATTTGGCATGGAGGTTAGTTGTGATTACTAGATGACCCCTATTGATTTTGAGGTCACCAGGTCAAAGGTCAAGGTCACAGGGGCCTTGACTTCAAAAAGCTTGTCCGCCCAATAACTTAAGATTCCTTTGACCCACAGTCTTCATATTTGGCATAGAGGTTAGTCATGATAAGAAGATGACTCCTATTGATTTTGAGGTCACCAGGTCAAAGGTCAAGGTCGCAGGGGCCTTGACTTCAAAAAGCTTGTCCGCCCAATAACTTAAGATTCCTTTGACCCACAGTCTTCATATTTGGCATGGGGGTTAGTCATGATAAGTAGATGACCCCTATCAATTTTGAGGTCACCAGGTCAAAGGTCTCAGGGGCCTTGACTTCAAAAAGCTTGTCCGCCCAATAACTTAAGATTCCTTTGACCCACAGTCTTCATATTTGGCATGGAGGTTAGTCATGATTAGTAGATGACCTCTATTGATTTTGAGGTCACCAGGTCAAAGGTCAAGGTAGCAGGGGCCTTGACTTCAAAAAGCTTGTCCGCCAAATTACTTAAGATTCCTTTGACCCACAGTCTTCATATTTGGCATGGAGGTTAGTCATGATAAGTAGATGACCCCTATCAATTTTGAGGTCACCAGGTCAAAGGTCAAGGTCACAGGGGCCTTGACATCAAAAAGCTTTTCCGCCCAATAACTTAAGATTCCTATGACCCACAGTCTTCATATTTGGCATGGAGGTTAGTCGTGATTAGTAGATGACCCCTATTGATTTTGAGGTCACAGGGTCAAAGGTCAAGGTCACAGGGACCTTGTCAAAATAAAGCTTTTCCCCTCAATTGCTTCAGAATGCCTAACCAGAGTGTATTGATTTTGACATTTTCACATTTGAAGCATGTAGAATACATAACTTAGCAATGCACTGGCTTAGTCACCTCACATTTTGCAGGGAGGTTGTCCTTGAGTTCTAAATGGCCACTGTTGATTCTGACAAAGTGGTATGCGGGGGTATTCACGCCATGATAGTGGCAGTTCTAGTTATAATAGCTGTAATTTCATAATTTCAGACATGTTTCAGTTTGTTTTGTTGCATCAAGCGCTCAAATTTGTTACAACATTTTAAAGGTATATATAATTGTATTTATTTGGTGGTATGTTTTTTTTAATGGAAATTTTATTCTATTTTTAATACTATAGGTGATGCATTATGGAAGCATAAGCGTGAATCAGGGCACAAAACAAATATATGGGCACTAGGCAACTATCAGTGCGACTCTTGCGGAAAAATATACACAAGATATGATTCTTTCCAGGAGCACAAACTTTCTTGCGAAAAAACTGAGAGTGAAAAACAAGCAAGCTGTAAGTATCCATGTGATATCTGCGGTTTGTTGTTCAAATCCATGCTCCGCGTCAAATCACATAAACGTGGTGTTCATACAGTAGCCCCCGTGGTTTGCCACGTTTGTGGGGCAATGTGCAAGAACAAACGTGCATTACTCGTTCATCGCAGGAGGCATGATATGAAGAATAAGAAATATGTTTGTGATGACTGCGGAAAATCCTTTTTTAACAGCACACTTTTAGCTCAGCATGTCCGTACCCACACTAAAGAGAAACCATACAAATGTCCGCTGTGTAACTATGCCTGTGCTATTAAGCAAAATATTCATAAGCATTCGATGAAGGTTCATAAAACACAATGCAAAGCCGTTTGTCTAGATGATGTCAAAGACCAAGCTGAGGAAGCTTCCAATGAAACATTATTACAATCTCAATCACAGAAGCTACGGGACCGACAGTTACCTGAAGTGTCAGGTAGTATGGTGTCCGATAAGAGTCATAATCAGCCATCAGAAAACTCCTGTCATTCAAACTCATTCCCACAAGAAAGTATGGTGACTGATAATAGACATGGTAAAAATTCAAGAAGTTCCTTTGGCTCGGAAACTATGGTGACAAATAATGGACAGAATTTGAATGAGTTCCAGGAAGTTTTGGACTACAGTGTGAACACACAACCTCTAACACATGGGAATTTTCAGCATCAATATCAATGAAATAATATAATACTTTTTCAGTCCATCGTTTTTGTTAAATGTGTACATGTATATAAGTATGTAAGGGCTCGTTTGATTGAACAATTGCATATTGAGAACATATTGTAAAAATTAAGAGGAATTTAAAAGTACATTAAATTGGCATAAAAATAAAATGGAAATAGTAGGTCAAGTATGATTTAGAATTTTATTTCAATTTATTGAATGATATCAGGTAAGATTATACATAGTTGTTATGATTTTGTACAGGTTTGGGGCATTTAAAACTAAGTGAAAATTTGGTGTCCTATCTTGACGTAGATTGAATTACTGAAAATGGTATTATATATTTACTTACCTGTTTTTGAGTTATGAATAGATTGCTACAATGTTATCAATGTTTCTTGAATATACAATTGTATAGTTGTTTTGTTTTTTGTTCATAGTTTTATTTTTCTGTCATTATGTGAATATCACACTGCACAACAAAAAAATACATATAAGTAATTGGATAATTATAGTAAACTTATGTGGTTTCCTGTCCTACTTTTTGCAAAGTTTACCTCCCTTTACAAAAATTCTATTTTGGGAGTTATTTTTCAATATTATATGTGTATACATTTTATTCACAAAATATGAAAATAGGCAAATTTAATAGATTATTTTTACTAAAAAGGTTAATTGTTAAATTGACTTTAGATAATTATTTAATATTAGCAATTAAAGAAATGTGGGAATTTTTTTTATCTATAAAGGTTATGATAATGGGAATGGCCCTCAAAGCGGTGAGTGCCATGATATGTGAAAAGTGTCTATTACTTAGCACAGATAACTTTAAAGTTGTAAAGAGGTTTCATGAAGATGATTAAAATATAAGGATTTTTACATGTATATAAATTATTGGGAATGACCACAAAATTGTGTCCAAGTGAGGTAATGCATTGGGGCTTAATCATGAGTTTGCTGGATACTAATTGGTTTTGATTGTTTTACATGTGGTGGCGTTCAAGCTGGAAAATTTGATTATGTGTTGATTCAATTTCATTACAATGAACAATGTTATTTTTGTATATTGTGTTTATATGGAGCTGTCTAGCTGTTTGTTTCTGTTGTTAAGTGTACTGGGAATGAGTCAGGTATGGAACGGTTTGAGGCTTTTCTATTAAAATGTATCTACCCGGTATATGTTTGTAAATATATTTGTACATGATAAAAAGGTTTTAGCTTCTTAACAAGCTCTTGCATTCTTTGGTTTAGAAGCTTCTTTGCTTAAAGGCCCATTAGGCTTAAAAATATAAATATTTTTAGTTTTCAAAGTTTTTGTTTTATTTTTGATGTTTTATTATTCATTGGGCATATAGCTTAGCCGTTTTGTTCTTCCTTCATGTTTTGGCTATTAGTACAGTTCTAGCGATTGAATGTTTTTTATGGAAGTCAAAATACTACTTCACTACTTTACTACTGTTATCAGAAATTATTTTTCATTCGAACCTATTTACTTCTGGTGATAAACATCTTTAGTGTTCTAATCCATAATACTGCTGGCAGCTGTTTCGCTGTATTTTCATATTTAAACAAAATATAGATGGTTTTAAATTGAATTTACAAATGTTGGTCCATAACACAAAAATAAGAAAGGAAAAGCGTTTTGGAATCTGTTTGCTTGTTATTGAAAGTTTTTTTATGAAACTAAAGTATTCGAGATTTAAAGTTGAGAAGAAATTATAAAGTTATGAAATATTGAAGTTTATGTACTGAAAATTTATAAATTATCAAGCTTTTCTCAAGCTTATGATAAAAAATGAATAATTATACCTTTTCACAAAAGGAAAACTATTTAAAATAGATTTGATAGGCATATGAGTTGACTGTTAAAATCTAAAGACATTTTGCTGATATTTTATTTATCTACACAAGAGATAATTAAAAGATAATTTTTCACATTAGTCAACAAGACAAAATGGCAGCGTATGAACCCGTCTTGACAAGAAAATAAGGTAGCACTTTACCCTAGTTGCTTTTCAAATTCATACTTTGTCCAATATTCCTGAAAATATATTATTTTGTTTATTTTCTTAATTAAAGGTCTTTGGTTTAAACATATTTATGTAAGCTGGATTGCGAAACAAGTTCTTGCAACTTATATTAATTATATGATCTTATGACACCAGTACTGGTTGGTTCCAGGAAGCAGATTCGAAAGTGATTAATATAAGTTTGTTGTATGATATGATTGCTTCATTTTTTTGTTACTTACACATTCTAGGTTCTCTGTGTTTAAATAATCAAAAACACAGGTTGTTATATTAGTTTGTCAATTTTTACATACTTTTACTCTTATTTTTCTTTTGTAAAGAACAGGAAAAAGTTTTTACTTTATTTTACAACGAATGAAATTGCTTTATATAAATTTTTGATTGCTTGAATAATCTACAGAATACCTTCCTTTTGAAGTATTTTGAGACTAAATCTGTAGCTAATAAAATTCTACAATATTTATACATACTGGTACATGTATTTATATATCATTCATGTTGGCAACTGTTTAACCTTTACTTTGAAATGAATCGTAATCTGATATGATAAGTTTCATGATCTCAGATTAAGCAAGTAAGTTTTTTATTTCCACTGAGTCAAACATTAACCATTAAGACATTTTGTCAGCCATCACTGCTTCTTTTTGGCATTTTCATCTTAATATTTTGAATTAAGTTATGAAAAAATACTTCTAAAAGATTGATGTTTTGTTGATTTATTTTGTAATTTTGTTGTCATTTATTGAACAAATTTTTCTCCATAAGCTTAGAAGATTAATTGTTATATTGATTTAAATTAAATGACATCTTTTTAAAGAAATGATATATTGAATTATACATGCTTATTTGTATTTTTGTAAACTCATGTTTCTTGTTGGATGAAAAAGAAAATTTATATGAGCATGTGAATTGAATAAAGCTTGTTGATTATTATAAATGTATTGACACATAACTCACTGAATTTCTCGTATGGATTTGTCTTCTTTTTCTGTCTTCTTTTGAATTGGCACAGTCCCTGTCAAGTTGAAGGGATTTTAATGTTAAAATACAAGGATTAACCCTTACCAAAATGACTTTAAGTGACTTATATGTTTCTTATATGCAACTTATACTTGACCTATAAGAGAACTTTAAGTTACATATAAGTCACTTATAAATCACCTAAAAACCTGTCTAAGTCAGTTATAGGTATATGCTACATATAAGTCACTTTTGGCCATTTTTTCCCCAACATATAAGTCACATACAAGTCACCTATAAGTGCCTTATACTGGTGAAGTTTGAAGTAACCAGTTTCTATGTTAGATATAAGTGAAAACTTAGAACTTTTGCGAGACTTTTTATTACTGAGCAAAGCTGAAAAAATTACTAAGTACAAAAACATGAGAAAAATTGATAAAATTTATTGAAGTTGATTTGTAATTCTTTGCTTTAACACAATGGGTATCAAAATACTCAGAATTTAAAATACTATAATCTTACACCTTAATCACAAGATTTTTTTTTAAATGTTGCTTATTAATTTTTGAACACAGCTGGGGGTTTTTAAATAAGATAATAGGAAAAATGATTATCAATTAAGTATATTACCTGTAAAAAATTTTGGTACATATTCTGTGCGGAATTCAGGGACAGAAATGGCATTCAATCAGTGATTTCTAGGCTACCATGGACAGAAATGAAATTCCATGTCATTTCTTCTCACAAGGAAAATATTTCACATAAAAGTCACCCAAGGCATAATTCTACTCTTGTTTTTTTTTCTAACTTGAAACAGACATTGAAATCTATATGTTTTTACCAACTGTACATCTTACAGACCTAATTTCGGGGAAGTAAGATATTCTAACAAGAAAAAGAGGTGTATTTTTCTTTAATATACAAGTGTTATTTTTAAGACATTTAGGCCTAGTGTATTTTAGATATTTGAACAATAAAAAAAACAGTGCTTGAAATAAACAGTTTATATTGCCCTTTTAATCTATATAAAATCAAGGAACCAATGCTTATATTTTCTACATCCACTGATACACCACATAGATCAGAGGTCTGATAAAACTGGCCACCTGCCTTTGCCACCATATGTGCATGACTAATCTTTTGACTGGTCATTCCTACAAATCAGACTGTTCCATGTGATTATTTTGGGGAAAGATAACATTTCCTATCCTGAATTTGTAAAATAAGGACATTGCATTTTCTTTTTCAAAAATGTATAATGATTTTTAAACTTTACATATCTATTACTTATTTGATTTTTTTTCACATTCAATGATTGTAAGATAGAACTGATGAGTGCTTTGATTTTTGGATTAATACCCTGTTTTACATAACATTGGACCTGCCCAGGTACACAGTTGTAAGTCTGAAACATTTAGGTTAGCAAGCTGGTGGAAATCACAGAGAATCTTCTTGATGTTTTAGGAATTTTAGAGATATTGTTTTGTTTAAGATGTTTAAGTATAGTTATGGTAAATAAGAATGACAAGAAGAATCACCTTGGACAAGAAGATATACAACAAAATCAGGTAAATACCTTTGAGTTACATTTATGCAGAATTGATACAGGTTATATACATTTGTATTAAACAATCAAAGTAAGATGGCAGCAAACTAAAATTTGTAACTTGAGACATCATGGCTGTTTTTATTTCTAAGCTTCATACATTAGATTTACTAATACTTGTAATTGATTTAAATCTAGATTTAATAGTTAAATTAATTGAATTTTTATAACTAAATAGTACAATCAGTAGTTTTATGCAGCTGAATAAGACAGGGTTATCATAATCATTTATCATTTTATTGTTGTTTTCAATGGAGAAATCTGATATTACATTTTACATACATTGCAGGCTAGGGGGACCAGTTCTTACTTTGAGATGCCAGGTGAATAATGATATGCAGTATTGAGCCTGAAAAGGTATATTTTTTTGATCTCTATACTTACTGCTCTAAATCTTTCACAGAAAAGAGCATAATAAATGTTGTTGCAAATAGTGCAGTTAATCAATTCTTATAGAGACTTTTAGCAATTCTTAAACAACACTGTTGACTTGTGCACTAAAATGAGACACTGTGTAACTTAGTATATTTGTATATGCATAAGCATAAATAGCTAATATAGTTTGATGATATAAAAAATATGAAATATAACTGCATATACAATGGTCGGAATTTATTCAACATCTTTTTTAATTAATTATGAATTTTATCTTTAAAGGTGAACACAGCCACATGAAGTTCTCCGAGGAAATAGAAGCAGAGCACTGAAACAGACATCAATAAAAGAAATAGTAGTTTGAATAATCAGAAACATTTGATCAAATTTATGATTTGAACAGTTCCTCACCGACAGACTTCCAGCAAAATAATTGTATAAATAAAGTGTTTGATTCCAAGAAAACCAGTACCTACAAAAACTTGCTGCTAGAAATGAATATTGTTTTTGTTATAGTGAATGTAAGATGATTGAACTGAAGGATATGTATGTTGAATTTTGTATTTTGCTCATTTATATGACTATGAAAATAAATTAATAAACATTTTTGAAATTAAATTACTAAACTTTTATTTTATTTCAAGCTTTTTTGACATCAAGCAATATATATGCGACTTACATGTGACTTATATGTTACTTATAAGTGATTTATATTAAGTCACTTATATGTAACATATAAGTCACTTATATGTTACTTATAAGTTGAGCATATCTTTGACTTACATGTCACATATTTGTGACTTATATATAACTTATACTTCACTTATATGTCAAAATGCCAGACATATACTGCACTTACATCTAATTTGCATTTAAAATACATATACTTGACTTATAGGTGAATTGACTAAGTGAAGTATAATCTACATATAAAATAGCCTATAAGTGACTTATAAGTGAATTCCGTAAGGGTAAGCTATCAACAGTTTAGAGCCTGGTCAGAGACAACACAGATATAAGCAGTCTGCCATGGCTGTGTCCTGGTGGGCAAAGTTTAACACTTTCTGATACAACAGGTTAAGGATTTAAAGTTTCTCACATTTCTACATTTGTCAGTTTCAGTTTTGAGAAGGCTAACTTTAAATCTCAGATTCCTAACCCTAAATTGTTCTGTAAAGGGCATTCAATTCCGTTAGTGACTCATGGTAACTTCTGTCTAACCATAACCGTAAAAGACCGATTCATATTGACCCTAAATCTGCAGAAAGTGATTAGCCTTGTCACCAATAAAGAGCCAGGTCAACCTGCATATCAGTTTTACTGTTGTCTGACTATACAAAAACTTGATAATTGACACTTCAAGAAGGAAAATGGAAGCTGGACAAACCCATTGATATATTATCAGTTGAGGACATATCACCAATTTGTAGAAAAATATTAGTAAATGAAGAAAAAAATAAAGTGATTTATTATTGGAAGTAATGAGTTTTTAGCTCACCTGTCACAAAGTGTCATGGTGAGCTTTTGTGATCGCTTTTCGTTCGGCGTCTGTCCGTCCGTAAAGTTTTACTTTAACAACATCTCATAAACCTCTAAGCCAATTTCATCCAAACTTCACAGGAATGTTCCTTTGGTAGTCAACTTTAAAAATTGTTCAAATAATTAAATTCCAGGCATACAGAACTCTGGTTGCCATGGCAACCGAAAGAAAAAACTTAAAAAAATCTTCTTTTAAAAGATCGAAGGAGCTAGAGCTTAAATATTAAGCACGAAACATTGTCTAGTCAGTGTCTACTAAGTTTGTTCAAATAAAAGCCCTTGGGTCAAATTTGGCCCCGCCCCAGGGGGTTATTTATTTTCCTAATATGTGTATAGTAAAAACTTAAAAATCTTCTTTTAAAAAACCCAAAGAGCTAGAGTTAAGATACTAAGCATGAATTATCTGCTAGTGAGTGTCTATTAAGTTTGTTAAAATAAAAGTCCTAGGGTCAAAATTTGCCCCGCCCAGGGGTCATTGTTTTTCCCCTATATGTGTATAGTAAAAACTTAAAAAAATCTTCTTTTAATAACCCCAAAGAGGTAGAGCTTAGATATTTATCATGAATGGGTGTCTACCAAGTTTGTTCAAGTAAAAGCCCCTGGGTTAAATTGGCCCCGCCCCTGGGGCCTATCTACAGGTGAGCAATTTCAGGGCCATCATGGCCCTCTTGTTTATTAATTGAATACTTGCTTTAGAGTGATATGAGTTTCTTTTTTGCATGTATTTTATATAGTTTGTCAGTAAATTCATTTAAGCAAATGTTAAATATTACCTATACATTCCAACAGTTTATTCAGACTAGAGAAGAATACCAAAAACCACAAGTTTTATTTTTTTCAATGGATTATTGTGTAGCTAATAAGTGCTCAGAGGCTAGCTCTTGTGACCTAGTAGTTAGTAAATGGCACTTTTCCAGAAACGTTGCTGCATGCTGACAATTTAGTCTAAAGTAACAGAAAGAAAGCCAACTTAGGAAAAGTTACATTTTGTTTGTAGTGTAAGGAAGTGTATAAATTAACTATATCGGTGATATTTTGAAATGAAATATGCAAAATACCACATAATCAAATTTTTATCACCATATTTCTTTTATGAGGCATCATGGCTGAGTGGTTAAGGACTATAAACTACCGTTGTGGGTTCAAATCCTGATAGGGACTTAGGCTTATTTCATGTGAGGTAGCTAGCTATCTAGCTAGCTCATGGAACGTTGGTGGTTCTACTCAATTGCCGGTTTGTGCCAGGAATAGTGCACTGATGGGCACCTGAGGTCTTACTCCACCATTTACATAAAAAACTTGAAATTAACGGTTTCTCCAAAATCACATGGGACAGCATTTTTCTGCAAGTTTTGAAAGTTGTAACAACGATATCGGACTTTTTAGGTATATTTATATTAATTTAGGTGTGGGAGACAAGCCCACATTTGGCATCTTTTTTAGTCCCCTACCGGTTTACCGGAGGGGACTTTAGGTTTACCCTCTGTCCGTCCGTCTCTCTGTCAGTCCGTCAGTCCGTCTGTCCACAAAACTGGATCCCGCGATAACTTAAAAAGTACTGAAAATATTTTT